CACTTGTGGCTTCATAACTTAGGAGGGATCTATATGCCCGGAGGCTGCCTCGTCACAGAAAAGAGCGACATGCTTTCAATGCAGTGGCAGTGGTGACATAATGTTTGTAACAGCAGGCAGCCTGCCTGCATCACATGTCTACTCAGCTGTACAGTATTGCAGTCTGCCCTGTAATGGGTGGGCTTGTCTCACCTGGGTGGCAAGGGCCCTGATGTGGGAGTTGTCAAGCCCCAACTCGACTTCCTTGACAGCCAGGAACTCTGGGCAAAAGTTGGGTGCATCTGACAGGGCGAGCAGATTTAGCTGCGGCGCCTGTTTAGGAAGCAGCGCCAGCAAGGCAGACACATGCGGCCCTGTCTGCTTTGCCCTGCGCAGTGCGGCACTCCCTGCAGCCAGATGCTACAATATCAGCTCAATTGCGTTTTGCTTCTCACAAGCTACCTTCCTGAAACTCTTCTGTCTTGCAGCTTGGATGCAAATAGTCAGGCGTGCATGCGGCAGAGCAACACATGATAATACCTCACTCAAGATTGCATGGAGGCAGGATGTGCTGAAATTTTGCTGCCCAGGGGCCCTGCCACCAGCTGGCACATGGAGTTGTGATTTGCGGCTTTTAAGCAGTTCTGAGAACGTTTCCAAATTTAAATTTCACCTCCTGCCCATGAGTCTGCAGCCCTGACGGCGTCCTGCAGGCCGCATGCATGCACGACTTCCAAGCGAATGGTCGCCTGAATAGGCTCCGGTTGCGGCTCAACATACCTCCCTAACACACACAAAACCTGCTCAAGTCCCTGTGTTCATCCCTTGGCCCTCTAGTCATCTCAGCTGCCAGAGATAGTACAGAGGGAGGCGTACAAAAATAACTGGCTCCAAATGGCAGTGTGCCTTGGGTCAGAGTGAGCTATCGTTGCAAAGTCACAGTTCAAAACCTTTTTTTGCTCAAAGCATCTCGTGAAAATCCAAGGGCCTGAGGAACAAAGAATTATCTGTTTCTCACCTAGGTCAATGAAAGCAGCGCTGTCCGAATCGGCGTCGCTCACAACCCAAGGAGCGGCTACCCCAACGGTGGCAGACCTTCCAGGCGACTGCACATCTCCATCTGCTGCACGGTTGCCGCCAGGATCGCTGACCTGGCCGCCCACGCCGCCGGCACATGCGCGCGTGCTGCCGGCACATGCCGTGGCGCTGTACTGCAGTAACAGGTGCAGCACCACACCAGCAGGTGGATCGCTGCCTCCCAAGCGCATCTCAGGCTGCCTTCCTAATTTCTGCACAGCTCCAGAGAGGGCCATTGGCAGCGCAATGGCTTTTCTGGCTGTGCTGGAGGGGGCAGGTGTTCCATCTGGGGTGGCAGCTGCCGAGGCGGCTTCCGCTGCAGAGGAAGCCAGAGCGGTGAGCTCGGCCAATGGGAGCTCGGCTGCCGCGCACAGCAAGTCCGGCATTTCCTTCCGCTTGAGCCACAGCTGTGATAACACAGCAATGACGCTCAGACTTCTGCTTCCCATGCCTTCAAGTATTGTCGAGATGTCAGGCATAGTGGTAATTGCAAGTTGTTTGCCCAAGCATGTACAATATTACGCAGGTGGCTAAATGCCCCAGTGTAACAAAAATCTCAATCATCACGATATTAATGGTGGCTTGGTGACCCCTGCATTCATGGTGCTACGTACCCTGCTCATCTACATGGAAGCATGGCAAAGCACGGGATATAATGAGGAAGCGGCCTGAAGTGATTAGTAAGATTAAAGGAAAGGGTGGATCACCTCAAAGCGGAGGTCCTGGGCGAGGCCAGAGTTGCCGAAAAGCAGGAGGGCAGACAGGGGCTCTGCCGGAGATTGAGTGACAGAGTGGCAGGCGGTCGCCTCAAAGACGGCCTCGCCACTGTGGCTGAATGCCTCTTTTGTGTACAGACAGTCCTCCTCGCCTGCACGATGAAAATCCATTTTGATGAGGATTTTCTGTGCCCTCAAGAGCTTATAGGTCGTATACTCACAGCAGCATTTGCATCTGCATATATGCGGGGGGACAAGCAAGGCTGCAGAAGCATATTAAAAGCACAATGATGCAGATCGCAGCGAGTGTATGTGCTTGCCTGGGAAGTGGTAGCAGACATAGCAGGGGCCAGCACTGTCACTCCCTCCATCGGGCACTCCCTGGGCGGCCTCCACCCTCAGGATGGTGACCTCAAACGCATGCGTCACCGCTGCACTGATCTCCCGACCGCCTGTCTGCCCGCTAGTGATCCCTGCAGCACCCTTCTGCTGCTCAGCAGGGGACACTCCACTGCCCTTTGGCGCGCCGCGAGACCCAGCACCGGGCTGCGCGATCGCATCGGCTGCGCGGCCGCCGCGCATCGGCGAAGCAACTGCCGGGGCACTGCGTGGCCGACTCTCGGCCGGCTCATTGGCGCACATATCTGCTGGTACCTGACCTGGCACATGTGATGAGTCATTCATGCGTTGGCGCGTCGGCGCTGCCAAGGCGTCGCCGCCGCCGCGCGCATCGGCGGCCGCGCCGGCCTCCGCTGCACGAGTGCGCCTCCTCTGAGACGCGCTTTTCAGCCGGTCGACTGGCCCTCGTTTTGCCCTGTCGCTGGCCACCTCTGTGGCCATCAAATCTCCAGCAGCTGCTTTGCTCCAAAACGCTCTGCCGGGCGCTCCCTTTCTGCTCCCAGCTGTCGATGCGGCCGGCTTCTCGGGGCTGCCGATCGGCCGCGTGCCAATGTTGGAGGTCGGTAGGATCCCCCTGGATGTTGGGGGGCTGCTGGCTTTTGGCGCAGGAGCCCCGACAGCAGCCGTCATTTCGGCGCGAAGCCGCTCCGCACGCTGAATGAGCATGTCGATCTGGGGGCCTGACTGTGCACTGGGCCTAGCCGCCGTCTGCTCTCTCTGCAGAGGCTGATTGCCCTCCCACACGCCCCATCCGCCATTGGCTGTCGCCTGGTGTGGACTGATGGGGCTGAGAGGCACTACTGGTATGCCTGTCACGACGGAGGGCTGCCTGATCTGGTTCTGGTGGAATGTTGGCAGCTGCCAGGCAGCCGCCGGGGGCAGTGCGGCTTCCGGCAGCTGGGAAGGTGGCGCAACAGGGAACGCCTCCGCCAGCCGTGGCAGGCCTGCACTGGCGTGCCCCGCTGCCAGCTGCGACCACCCAAACGCTGTTCTGGGCTGCGGTGGCTGATCAGACACGCCATCATTGATGAAAGTGACACCTCCAGCGGCTGTGGTAGCTTCCTGCTGCCTAGAAGCTGGCGTAAAAGTCAGGCTGCCAGACATCCTGCGGCCGCCAGAGCGCGGCCTGGGCCCTGCTGCGTCCTGGTCTGTACTCTCATGGAGATCCAAGGCGCTGCCAAATCCCCTGGAATATGCCTGATCATGTCCAGGGCTGTCCTGCTGTGCCATGGCGTTCCTGTCTGAGATGCTGGCCCCTTCCTGGGACGATTGCCGCTCCAGTATCTGCCCCGGTGCAGCTTCCTCCCCGTTGGAAGCTGCCACGTCAGCCGGATCCCCTGAGCTTGCCAATTCAGCTGCATAAGTAGATCTCCTGGCGTTCTTTGTAGGGCCCTCTTCTGCTTTCCTGACCTGAGCGGCTTCAGGGGCGCCAGTGGGCTGACTCAGTAACGGTGTGAAGCTGACAAGCACCTGTACGCCAACTCTGGCAATCTGCCGCTGCTCCCGGCTTCCGAGCCACTGCCCACACACAAATTTGAATCAACGATCTGTTGTTGGTCAGCAGCCAAATTGCCGGCAAACTCTACCCGATGACCGTTTGTCCATCCTAGCCATTGCAAGCCTTAGAGATCCGGGGATGATGACATGGGGGGACGCCTTACCTGTACAAAGGTGACACTTCCAGCGAAAGGGGTGGTTTCCCCAAGTGCTGTCACTTTGACAGCAGCCTCCCCGAGCATGCCGTTGAAGTGATCCTCCAGCGTCAGAGTGAGCCACTCCATGTCAGCCAGGTACTGCCCAAAAGCCCTGGTATCATAGCAAGTGGACAGATGACAATTGATACGACACTATTAACGCTGCATGGCATCAAGCTGTCTTGAGAACGCACAGCGTGCAAAGCAAGAACACTTCTTCAAAAAGAGGGTTCTGTCATGTCACTGAAACCTGTGGTACGAACCTTGCGGTGCAGCGTACTGGAAAGCACACAGCAGCCTGAGGCTGGCCTGGCAGCAGATGCAGCAGAGTGCCGGGCCCACGGTCGCCCCACCATTGGATGCGAACCTGGGAGTACGCAGGAGCAGAGTCAGTCACCAAGGGGTTTAGGCTTCGTCAGCATATTTTCAGCTCTACACAAGACCATATCTACTTAAGCCAAACGTGATGGAATGAAGACTGTTTCAGGTACCTGATGCTCTTGAGCAACTGAAGACGGGGAGGGGCTGTCCTCCAGTACGAGTTGCCTAACGCTGATGAGCACTTCACCTCTTATGGCACCGGTCACATTAGGAGGCAGGGAGAGTGATGGTCCAATCATCCCAGCCAACCCTGTCTAGCAACGCCAGGCTGTTCTTGCTGCCTGCCAAGCATCTATCTTCATAGATGTATTCTTTCGGTTCTCATCATTACACAAAAGCATTATTGGCTCCCTCAGCAAGCACAGCTGTCCTGTACGTGAGTGATGGCCTTCATCATCCAGCAAGAAACTGGCTTGAATCTGGCGATGTATGCTCCCCTCAGCGACCATGAATCAAGTGTTTGATCTATTCTTTCCCCATAGAAGAGTTCACAAGCAACTCTAAGGCATTCAGTCATACGCTCGAACCGATGTTGTCGTGAAGTACACCGGTCGACAGCTTTGCCTTGGCCTTTCATGAGACTTCACGATAGTACAATGTTGGACAGGTAACAAGCCAAGGATCACTTGCATGAAGCAGGAGCGCAAAGTGTTTTGTTTCTGGCAGAGCTCAAAATTGTATTATGTGAGTAACGCATTAGTAACGCACGTGATCCCAGATGCTAGCACCTTCAGGCAGCAACAGGAAGCAACCAGACTGAAAGCAAGAATTACAGCATTTTTCAGACCCAAATGAACAAAATTGCACCCACATGCAGTCAGCATACACCTCTTTTCCTCTGATCACGAAAATAAGGTAAAACTAGTACTTGGAAGCCGCATTGCAGCCGCTGCAATGCGGCTGCAATGCGTTAACGCGTTACTGAGTAATAGCTGCGCTCAATGATCACCTAGGTCGCCAACCCTTAGGTTGGAACAACTGCAATGAATTACAACGCATGCAGTGTAATCTGCAGAAAAGCCGGTGGATGCTCGCCATGCAAAACATACATACACACCTTGCTTCCATGCATGCAAGTGAAAAGACTATCCAACAACACTTCTCAGTACGAATATTTGCTCTGCAAGCTCTGCAGGAACAGGGCTGCGCCAGTCTGAACTAGGTCCAGCTGGAACTTGGGTCTGCAGACGAAATAAATACCTTTCTTGCCCAACACCCCGGGTGTGCTGGAGGGCATGCTCATCAGCTCTGAAGCATTCGCTGTGCACATGGGCACGAAGGTCCTCGTTTGTATCTAAGAGACTCAGAGCCAGATAAGGTGTAGCAGGAGCATCCGGTTGATGTTCAGGTGTGGTAACCCCCGTTGGGCAGCTTCTAGCACTGATAGCACTCCGCAAAGATGCCAAAATTATGCGACTGCACCGCACAAATGCTCAAAGCCAGCCAGAAATGACCCCAAGAACCCAAAAAAGGGATTGGCATTGCAGGTGCAACCAGTGGGCTTGTGTCAGATGGGCTCCTCTTATATGGGCTGGTAGTGGGCTGCTAGCCATAGTGGTTGCCGCCATTGGCCAGCTTTGGGCACTGGTAGCATTCTGCAAATACTCCGAACGTGTATGACTGCGAGACAGGACCCCCCGTCAGCTTCCAGCAACAGGTCTCTTTGGACCCCCATTCTGACATGTGATACACATGTGCCAGGGGACTCACGTTTCTCGAAAACGAAGCAGCCACAACAAGAGTGCAATGTGACCATGCATACTGTACTATTTCAGCATGCATAAGCGGAGTTGAGGTGAGTAAAGATGGGCACAGACCTGCTGCACAATGCGCTGGATGGAGAAGAAGATGCCGCCGACAGTGAAGGCGGCGTAGACCACCATGATGAAGTAGTTGAGGGCAAAAGCCACCTTCCAGCCAAACTTGTTGAAGGGCCTGCAGGCATAATTTGCACTTTCATATGGGGTTGTGCACATCATCAATGACAATTTTGTCAAGGCACCTGTCATGACATCTGCTGCTGCTGCTGCTGCTGAATGAGGATCACTGATACGCCAGAGTACTCAAGCATAAAGCACAGCTCATGAACAGAAGACAGGCGAGTTTGGACTAAGCACCAGCGACAAGGGGTGCGGGAAAATGAAGTCCTCCTATATACTGTACACCCCTTGACAGCGAGGGACAGGGGGATGCTAAATACTTCACATTCTCCCTGTAAAAGACAGGCACTAAAGTTGGCTAAGACGAGAGTAATGCAAAAGCATTGGGTGGCGCACGAGTATGGAGGCAAAGCAGAGCTGTTGCGGCGGGCCTCGGTGCGGTAGTACCAGTTGAAGGCCACGGCAGGCAGCACAAAAGAGGTGGTCGGGACAGAGATAGCGCCCATGAGAGAGTTGATGGTGCCTGCAGCAGCAATCACAATCCATACTCAATCTGCATGCCTTCATCTAAGATGTTGCAAATCAAACAAGCTGTGTACAGCCACCCAGCTCAGAGCAGACAATTAAATTTGAAGTCATGCAAGGCTGTGTGCATGCCGCAATGACACAATCTCTCTTCTTATCCCAAAACGCCCCGAAATGATATGTCGAGTGAATTTATTTCAGAAGGGAAGTGTGGTGGAAGCGCACCATAGAAGGGGAATGCAACTCCGAGGAAGAAGATCACAAGCGCTGTATAGCACAACAAAAAAGTGTCAACAACCAATCTGCAAGCAAAAGTGGTACCCAGAGGACATCAGAAACATTACCATGAATCGTAAAAGGGGGATTTTCACCTCCAGGCAAACGAGCTGGTAGCCTGATATACCATCTGGCATGGTGTGTGCGCACCAGCTACAGACAGCAAGAGCAATTTGTTAGTCAGAACTACGCAGACCTCCACAAACTTACTGACATTATCAAGTTGCCTGGACTTCTGACAGAGGAGAGTGCTGCTTGCACGGCAAGAGAAGCAAGAAGTTCATGTGCAGGACTGCTACGCACCTTCTCAATCATGTAGAGGAGAGGAGTGACGTACAGAGCAAATGCCACAAACTGCAACACACAGACATCCTGCTTTAGTAAGATCACACCAGCATGCTATGTAGATGACTGGGCCTTGTTCGCCAATATGATCCACGGACAAACACAGCACAGCAGCTCTTAATGTTGCATGATCTATCCTGTTGCCGCGCATCGATGAGGAGATGGCCCCATTTGTCATGTGTGTTGGGTCAGGTAAGCAGGACACCCGTGGTCGCTGCTTCCCCAAAGTGCACCCTGCCATGTGAGGGGATGACTACGTCATGACACATCAGCAGGGCTCACCTGGTGGATGATCATGAGCCAGACAGAGAGGCGCATGGCGTTGGAGAGCGGCAGGACTCCGTACACGTTGTCATTTGTAGTAATCAGCTTGGGCCAGGCCAGGTTGACAGCAATGGAATGGGGCATGGTCAGCAGGATCGTCCATATCCAGCCGCCAAAGTAGGCCGCCACATACCTGCCAGAACACTTGTACTTGAGATAGGAATTTTGAATCAAAGTATGAATGCATTGCGTCCAGCTGGTTATGTGTGGGGTCATGCCGGGCAATCAGAAGCCTGTGTAAGAAGCATTTGTTTGCCACAGCTGTCAGTGAAGAGTAGATACACTAGAAATGAATCAGGCCTGTCTTGTGGGCTGGCTTCCACATCTCTTAGCCACACTCAGAGCGCTCAACCACAGATTACTAGACCAACAAGTCCTGACTAAGATTAGTCAAGGATGACATCATGAAGCATGGCGGCTGCTGATGAGTCACCTGGAGGAGTCCTGCATGGCATCGTGCATCTCCAGGGCGATGCCGTGGGCGCCCATGGCCTGCATCTGAACAGAGGTGCCCAGGAAGAAGGCCTGCGCACTGACCGGCTTGGTCAGGGCCGCTCCCGGCTGTATGCCCTTCTTGCCTGCCTCCACCAGGATGAACAGCGCTGTGAAGCTCGTGCCTGTGCAGTGTGGCACATGCTCAGTCAAGTATCATACATGATGTGACTGGGTGATGTTGCACAAATGTCAATGCAGTTTACATGTGCCCTTCACCCTTTGGCTCTGGGTTTGTAATACCTGTAATGTATATGATATTACCAATATAATAGTACGCTTTCGCACAATTGCAATAAATGGTCCAGTGCACTTGTAGAAGAACATGCGACTACTGACAGGATGCTTAATTGTCCATCTCCTTGGAATCTTAAATACTGCTTCTGGTGCGAAACGTATGGCAGTTGGCAACTTGTGCTTACCAAAGAGTGCAATGACATTCAGGACGCGGAAGTGGCGGAATGTCTGCAACAGCACCACCACAAATACTAAGCTTCAGTCGAGGCATAGCCTCTAAACCTCCTGGACCAGAAACTGTCAGAGGTGTCTGTAATTAATACTTGTGCTTGCCGCTGAGTAATGTCTTTTGACATTACTCTTAACCTGTATTGCCAGCGCGCAGGGGCATGTGGAGGTCCTCTCACCGGGACAAAGGCAAAGAGCATGAGCACGCTGCCAAAGATGAGCTCGTAGGTGCGCTTGCTGTAGGACTTGTCAATGTAGTACATGTCACCGGCGCACGCAATGACCTGCGCCCCAACACAGCCCACTATCAAGAGAATGAACAGGAATCACTGGAACCAGGATATTTATTCCTTGGCCACATTAGCAATAAAGCAAGAGGGACCGTTGACTGTGCAGGTTGATAAGCGGCTCCCCACAAAAGGCAGAGATTCTGCCAAAAAGTGCCTCACAAAAGAAATCAAAAAAATTCTGTGCAGGATGCATAGAGGCCCAATTGTGAGGAGGAGCTCATCAGCAAACAACGGCGACAGTGGCAGGGGAGATTGTGTTTGAAGCTCGCCTGAGCAATGCCAGTGCCAGCGAGGCCGAGGGCAATGCAGATCTGGGCGAAGATGCCGACAGTCTTTCCAAGGTGATATCCCACCACGTCATGGTACCTGCAGTTGTTTGTTCCTCAGTACATGCTAGCAGATAATGCATGCATGCACTCTAGCCTGAAATGTCCTTATAGGATTTCAGGACAGGTAATCACATGTGGTGCCTGATCATCAGAAAACAGGCACGGAACAATGCCGCTGGAGTGAAGGGGCTTACTGCGTGACAGTGCGCCTCTTGCCATCAATCTCATACCTGCACAGATACTTACATCAGCACTGCTGTGCTCACTGCTGGGATACAGGTAAAAAGAAAGTGTGCAGCATGAGTTATACTAGGGAGGCAAGTACACGGCAGAGAGCACAGTCAGTGTGGATATATCTGAGAGAAGCTCTTGTCCGCACCAGGTCCCTTGTTTGAGCTGCATGCAGAGCACACAAACAGTCAGCTTTCAGCATGAACAGTTCAGATTGATTCCACTGTCAAGCATTGCCACACACATATCTGGAGGAATTTATCGCACGACCCGCAGCTTGCAAGCACTCACATCTCGCAAAAGTTGGTAGCACACTTTCAGTCTTTGAAGCAAACTCGCCATGAGCTCAACGGCAAATCAAGTTATCACATCCATCATGCACACACTGAAGGCAAGGGCTCACCAGGTCGCGCTTGCGTTCTTGGTAGAGGGCTGAGAGCATATACATGGTCCACAGCGACAGGAAAGCTGTCACCATGCTGACCACAATTCCGGCGCTTAGCCCAGTCTTGGAGATTGCGTTCTGCACACACACAAGACAATTTCAGGACATCTGTTTCTGATTTGCAGGCATACAAGGGAGCTTACACTTCAGTAGGGATGCCACAGCACGGAGAAGCCTGCAGTTACCACTTACCGGTAGTGTCAGCATGATCTGCCCAATTTGGGCCGCCGCAACTGTCAAGAAGGCTGCGATGCATGGCACAACCAAGCATCAAAAGGCTGAACATGACCGTCTGACGGATCGAAGCACGAGGCAATGTCGAGCTCAGGTTGGGAGAACAAACAATTTCTTGAGGACCGAGGTCTTACCGTCGGTGACAGTATGTCCTTCAGTCAACACTCTAAGAACATAGTGCGTTTTCTTCTCACCCTTTCCCGGGGTCCACGAAGGGTAGTTGCCTGTGGCCGCATGCGGGCTGTTAGCACGACCACGATATTCACACCGCGAAATCCTCTCTGAGAACTGAACGCCGACAGCATCAACAGGTGAGTAGAGAGCAGCCATACCTTCTGTAGGTGACGCCAGCTGCTTGGAGTTGCGCTCAAGGCTCGGATTGAACCCTGCCTTGCCATCGATCGAGTCGATCACTTTGCCATTGCCGTTGCTTACGCCAAAATTTGTGGTACGAGTAGCGCCATTGACGCTTTTCTCGTTGCTTCCTTGCGCTGCGCCTGTCATCGGGCTGCAACACCTGCTCGAAAACACGCACGGATTTCATGGTGTAAGGATCAGACGTGTTCGTCATAATGCCTCGATTCTAGTCATGGCGCAGCACGAATTTGAACAATAACCTTCAAACAACGTAGTTCATCAATGCAGCTGCTGTTTCGACCAGTAGAAAACAACACTTCTGCACGACGGCCCTTCGACACGTGCCGCCGTCAGGTTTGCACCTGCCCTTTCATGTGATGGCAACAGGAGACAAGGGGCGAAAGCAAGAAGCGATACCTGGGATCGAGGAAATGTGACTAACTCGATCAAGTACGTCTGCTGAGGTTGTGACCTCGGACGCCTAATGCGTACTCGTACACCCCGTGACCTTTGGGCAGCCTGCAGGCTTGTGACGAGCTTGCACGCTTCCAATCAGAATTTCACCGGGTCACCCTGTGGGAACCGCTTGCTTGAAGAACATATAATGTGATCAAGCACAAAGACGCTTCTAGGAAACCCACACGCCCGACAAACCGGCCGACCTGACGGTGGCACGTGTCCACATGCCACCCTCAGGCCCTCAGGATGACCAAGGCTGAGGTGGCCGTCTTGCTCTCTAATCAAGAGTGACCCCTCCTTTGGTAGTGAGGGAAAGTCCAGTCCGTGCATGAAAGAGACACGGCAGCCACATAGGTGAATGATCAGCTGCGCCTGCTCAGACCCTGTACAGATCTGAGAGGACTCATGAGTCTCATAACAATGATGATCACAATGGGGCTCAGCCTGGCTGACAACGCCTCAACATATCCATTCTCAGTGCTATGATCATGTGATCAAAGGTGATCATGCATACCGGGTATGCCATACCCCCCCTGAAGCCGGATGGACCACAGTTCAGTGTGCGGATAATTACCAGTGCATGCACTCGTGTCTTGTCACATGTGATAAGGCCCTTGTCATGCAGGGCATGTCATGTGTGATAGCAACACACTCAAAAGAAATTCTCATCTTTGGCACTTATTCTAAAAAGCTCAATGGATCAAATACGCAGACTTCAACAATGAGAAAAGCTATGGCTGCGATTACGATCACAGCAAATTCTCACCTCCACGTGGAGCACCAGTGATGCACCAGTCAACAACGTCAGAGGTTCCTTGCACTTCCAAATCGACCAGATTTTCCAGCTGAAAGACCAAATGACTTCCCTGTGCTTCCCCCTTCAACCCAACCTTGTAGGAGATGCATCACTTGACCACCTCAGAGCTGTGTGAAGATACAAAATAATTCTCAGTCATGTACTAGGAGACATCAGCCACAAATATAATCCCATGGCAATGTTCCAGGTCCCACGGTCAGCAAAAGACACGCAATGCGCTTTAAAAAAGATAATCAAAGTCTGGCAGTCTTGCAGTCACTGGTCCATAGAACCCACCCTCTATGGTACATGAATTGAGTGGCCAGACTCTGTCAGCATGCCTGTGCAAAGATGGAGCTTGCTTGACCTCGAATCTCCACAGAAAGGAAAGATCTTCCAGACTCGCCCCTATCTCTAATAGAGAGACAGCGCTAAAGCGCCATTTATTAAGTATTCTCATTAGGGGGGCTGCGACCCCAACTGAGGTGCAATTCATTTGCTGCAAATGCCAATGGGAAGAGCTGAAGAGTGACAAGGCGCTCTTTTGCAAAGATGGCTGTCAAACGGGTGGCACCATGGCAACAGCTCATACACAAAGTTCTGGCAAAGGGCTATCTCTCAACGGGAGCTTGTTGCTCTATGAGACCCTGATGGCCGCAGCATCCCACTGTATGGACACTGCCAAACACTAATCGCCTTCTAGACAGGTGAAGATAAAAGCACAACAATGTGCTGCACAAATGCATTGTCATGGCTCTATAGCAAGGGACTTGAAGCATGACATTGAGCACAAGTCATCTCGATGATTGCACTACACATGTTATAGATGGTTCGTGGATTTTGTAACGGAATAGTTCCCAGTACGCAATGTAACTGGAAGCATTGCCTCCCAAGGATGGGTATACTTAGCACACCACATATAACACTGAAGATGCAGCAGGGGCTTGCACGAGGACACTTACTTGCTGCCCTCTGCCCATGCCACCCAGAGCGGCAATTTCAAACATATTTGTGAAAAAGAGAAAGTCTTCAACCGCTTGCTGCAAAGTCAATTATTGAAGAAAGATACCCGGGCGCCTGATTGGTGATGCATCCCAGGGCCTGCATATGCTAGGCTGGCCTCTCCTTGTGTCATCCTCCCGCCGAAACCCAAGCCGCCTCAGGCCGCACATCTGCACTGCTGCTGCCAGCGCAAATGACGCACATCATATGTCTGGGGACTGCCCCCGTCGCTCCAGGCTGAGCGTGGAGAAGAGACACCAATTGGATCTCTTCAGAGCCAACAGACCAGCTCTTTATGAGCAGTAAATGACCACAGAAGACTCCCACGCAGAAGATTTGGTGACAGCACTTCGGGCCAACAGATCACCTTGGCAAGATCATGCCAAACCGCAGCAGGCAACTAAAGAGGACTCAACCGCGCCCATACGCAGGAGATCATAGAAGGATGTGTCAGGCAGCTGCAGTGTGCCCTCACGCCCTGATATCGCGTGCAGGAACTCATGACTGAGCATGCCTCAGGCTGGAACAGACAAGGACTCCAAGGATAAGGATCAAGGCTGGGCACGTCGCAAACTGGTGCGCCGTTTCTTGACGCCGGCTGACTGGTCGTCCTCTTCCTTGGGTTCTGCGCTGCTGGGGGCTGCTGGGGGCTTGGGCTTGGGCAGCAGCAGCGCTGGCAGGGAGGGTGTCTTCTGCTGCCCAAAGGTGTTCCCTCCTCGACCCCCCGTCGCCTGCTCCTGTGCAGCCCTGAACAGCCGCACACCTACGCAGCCAGAGAATGAATTTCAGATTCTACTGGCCAACCTGATCTGCACGTGATGTCATTTAGACCATAAACTAGCCAGATCTGCAGGCTTTAGCAATACGGAGTGGGATGAAATTGCGCGATTTTGGATCACAAGATGGCTTGCTGTCTCAGAGCCGTGGTGCTCTCATGCCTTGCAAGAATAAGCCCAAAGCACAGGCGCTTGAGCCACACAAAAGTGGGGAAAACGTGCGCGGTCATGAATCACAGGTGACTTTTTGCCTCACAGTCACGATTTCACGATGATCTTACGATAAGAGAAAAAGTGCCCAAATCATAGAATTGCAGCGACCGACCACAGGGCTGCTGGGGACCAGAGAGGGTAGGCGGACCTAGGGGGCTGACGCGGCGGTTGAGGTAGCCCAGCACGCCCTGGCTGGTCAGGCACACCGTCCACATGTTGGTGCGCTCAGCGCTCGTTATCTGCCGCCGAGGCTTCACCGGCTCCGCCTAAATTCACAGCAGTATGACATTCACTGATGCCTCAAAGAAGGATGCCACCTCAAGTGCTGCCGATGACGCATGCAGAGTGTCCGATATCAAGCCAGCAACAACCCTACTAAGCAGAATTTGGGGTGTCAGGTTTGGCCAAGGTAATTAAGATAGTTTCTCTGGCAACTATGCACCTTGCACTGACTCCGCCCTTCCTGACAAAAATAATGGAGTGTGGCAACGTGCAAGAGCCAATTGTTGCGCGCTCAACAAGATGCTCTGCAAGTGCTCGCATGCAGCCTGCACTGACCGCCTGGAACACTGGCGACTTGTGGGGCGGTATAGCTAAGACTGACGAAAGAAGTATGAGTCATCCTCGAGCATCATGCCGCATGCTGCCGGCAGGTGCGCCCACCTGTTCGAGGGCGAGCTTGATATCGGCGGAGGTGACGTAGAGGCGGTGCTCGGGCGGCAGCTTGTCGCTGTTGCGCCAGAAATGCTGGTGCCGCACGCGCCTCCGTTTCCCCGGGTTGGCCGCCACGTTGCCGTCCAGGGACAGGCTGCATGCAGGGGAGACAAATTTAGGGCTCATTAAGCTAGTGAAGCATGCAAGGGCTGGCAGCAGATCGAAAATCAGCAAAGATCGGCTGCGCGCAGGGGAGACAACTTTGGGGCTGGTAATAATTGTGCAGCATGCAAGGGCTGTTAGCAACTTCCAAAATCGGCAATAATTGCACACGTCAATAGGCACCTCAATTGGGAATCGATCAGGAGCCTTCATTACCCAGCAGACAGGACATGTGCATGGGCAATGTGGTCAGAAGCAGCCACCACACTGCCGAGCCATGGCACTCAATTCTTCGCATGCCTGCCATGATTCCTTCACTGCTGTTGTGATGTTGGCCGGTCCCTCATTAGCCTAGCACATGCACAAAAGTAGCTGCGGGACGCCTGCTGACCTGTCCAGGTGGGTGAGCTGCTCAAAGAGGAAGAGTTGGCGCGAGCCTTCATGCTCCTCCACAGAAGCAATCGTCTGCAGCCCAATGAGTCCCGCCACACAGTTCAAGTCCTGCTCCACAAAGCGCACCTGCAGGAACAAAAAGGAGATTTTGAATTTGCTGTCCACCAGGACAGAGCTTGGCGCTTGCCAATTTTGGGGTACCATCCAGACAGGAAATGCAGCCTCAATGCGGCAACCAGGGTTCTTCTCCCTCCCGCAGGATTTGCAGTTATCTTGAAGCTGCGAAGGGACCTCAGGAAATGCCCCTGGCACCTCAGGGATGGTAATATACGTGCATGGCCCTTGCTGGCCAGGAGAGGAGTCAGGTAAGACTTTTTCTACAGTCTTCAGGAAGGTTGACTTTCACCACAACTGGCTGTCAACATTTATCAAGATTAACTGTTTCAGTTAAGTTTCGCAATGTCAGCTGGAGACACTATCCATGATTGTGCACAACAGCTGCAGAAGAGGGCTGCACCTCCGAGCTTGAACCAGGGTCATCAGGCAGGAGCAGGTCTCCGCTGGCGTGCGCGGCGCCGTCGGAAGCTGAGCGGGAGTCGGCGAGGTAGGTGCCGGAGCCGCCAGCGCTACCAAAGCGCTGATGCGTATCGCTGAGATCACTGACACTGCGCGGCAGCGGCAGCGGCGCTGACCGCCGCTTGTCCATGTTGTCCACCAGAGAGGCCTACGTGCCATGTTTTTGTGTCAAGACTCAGATCTTAGAATTTTTGAACGAAAAGTGAATCATAGCACATGGCCAGTGACCACATCGTACACGGGTGAGGGACTGGGGCGCGCGCAATAATTGAGTTGCCAACACTCCGTAATGGCACAGATCACATGAAATTGAAGGGTCCGGCACAAAGGCCACCCATAGTTGCAGATGCCAACATTCATTGCAGCTGGTTGTAACAGCCGTGACGATCCTCATTATGTCAATAATTTGAATGCCTAGATTGGCATATGCTACTTGCACATGACAGATGAGCTGGGTAGTCAGAAACACACCAGGGCCTGGTTTGCCAGGGGAGTGGGGTCGCTCAGGTGTGCAGCCAGCCCAGGCGGCGAGTGCAACGCGGCCGCCGAGTTCTGCGCATTCTGCGGTACCGGGATGTCCGGCATGAACGTCTGCTGCGAGGACCACAAGAATGGGTGTCAGATCCAGACCGCTTGTTAGACAAGGCACAATAGATAAGGGACGAGGGTGTCACACCCCTTTGGCATTGCAGCCATTGGCTAAAAGTCTACAGAGGCAATTGATGCTATGTAAGGGTTGATGGTGGAAACCATATACTACTTCAACGCACGTGCTCGCAGGAAGTGCAGCAAACACGCGGTAACTTGCACAAGAGAAGCAACAGGACCTGGCTTGCGCTGCCCCAGGGGACAAAAAAAGGCTTCGGCTGGTATGACAGTCAACAGTAAACAACCAATTTACCAAGGATTTAAAGGGGAGATGCGAATTATGACCTGGGGCGCGCCGCCGATGTAGAAGTTGGGGCGGCGCCAGGAGGAGAGGTCGGCGGTGGAGCGGCGACCGTCGTGGGAGCGCGAGGGGAAGGCGCCCAGCAGCTCCTGCCGGTAGTTGTGCTGCGGCAGCTCCGGCAGCGACGCCGTGCTCCGCTGCAGCTCCTGGCCCCTCTCCGCCGCCTCATACTGCGCGCACACACGGCATGCACTCATTCTTGCATGCCTTCAATGATATTGACCTTGAATTAAGTTTTGCCGTCTCATGGCAGGCAGCGCGCCCCCCGCCTGTGTGGTTTGATGATCAACTCGCCCACAAGCAGACGAGATGGAAGGCTTGCCAACAATCGTAGACACAAGCAGAGCTCCATCAAGCATGCATGAACAGTCAGCACATCCCACGGAATTGCACTTTTACCCTCTTCATAAGGCAAAGCAAATTGGTACTGTCAAGTATCTTGATCACTGCATGATTATCGCATCTACATGTGAACACAAAGTAAACCGCCCAGCTGTGGGGAGCCCACCTGTTGCGATGCATCACTCCCCTGAGGGTAACCATCCTGGCCGGAGTGGCTGGTTATGGGCAGAGGGTACATTAGCGGGTCAGCCCCAGAGAACTGCGGCTGTGAGGTGGGCGGGCCGCCCCGAATGTCCCACTGCTGCAGCCGCCAGCTCCTGTTCAGGCCGCTGCTGGCTCCAGGCAAGGACAGTCCTGCCACACAGGGAGGATCAGTAACATATCCAAAGTGCCTAGGCGGGCCTGAGAGGTGCTTCTTGCCAGGAACGTTGCATGTTGCACAAAGCTGCCTTCCCATCAGGAATTGCCTCGCAGGCTGACAAAGTACAGTAAAAGGGATGTCATGTAATCATCATAATCCCTCATTGTGTCTTGTCACCCACTTTGCATCAGCCTCAGCATCCAAAGAAGAGTTAGTGAAGCAAGGTTATTAGGTCATTAGACACAGGTGACAACTGCAGTTCACCCCGGCTCATGGGTTTGCTGCTGATCCTACCTGTGTGGTCGCTGCTGCCATACCACTCGCGCATCTGCTTGTCACTGGCACTCTGGGCATCAAAATGGTCCAGCGCTGCTGCCCCCCAGTGGCCCCCCCTGGCCCGATGTGCATTTGCACTATCGGGCCAGGATCGCTGCTGGCTGCTGATATTCTGTGCTGGCGGCGGAGGCATCTCCCCAGCAGACCTGCAAGGACACCAATACAAAGTCACGAGACAGCCACGTGCTTCCTCTATGGCTTGACGACCTCACCTCTGCAAAAGTGGTGCATAGGATCACACTGCTCCTCACCCCAGCAATCTTGCTTCTGAAGAAGAAGCCTCGGATAAATCTTCAAAGAACTTCTGCCAGTGATGCTTGGGTCTAGTCAGTGGCACAGATCAGGCCCACATGTTTGCATGGCGGGTCCTAGCAACCTTGTGACAATAAGTGCACGCCTTGGATTAGGAAGCTGATTGCGGGACACATCTATTATACCTGCCAGAGCTGGATGGCCGCGACCCGCCGGCAGAAGCCGACGGGTAGCTGGCTGGAAGCGATGCCACTAGGCTGCGGCCATTGGGGGCCGGCGGCCGGAAGCTGCCCGGCAGGTGCTCCTTGCTTCCGTCAGCTTCCTTGCCAGGGGCCCCGTCCATGAAGCTGAGCAGGAAGGAGGCGTTGTTCGGGTGGTCCATGGTCTCTATGAGAGCCCCGGAGGCCTGCCGCGACGCCGACGGCGCCTCTGCTGCGCTGCTGTTGGCGGGCCGGGAGTGCCCATTGGGCTCCCCAAGCCAGTCCAGGGCAGGCATGCCCACATGGGCATCCATCGAGCGGTCAGGGGCGTTCCTGGGCCGCTCCACCGGCTGCGGGGGACCCATAAGATTTTGCCGCGACCCCTGGCCGGGCTCGGGGGGACTGGTGCCAGTGCCGCCCCTCAGCCGGTCTGCAGGCTGCCCCCCCTGATCAGGCAGCGGCTGCTGCTGCGGCAACGGCGGGTTGGCGGCACCTGCCGGCACCTGCAGCCTTGGCTGGCCCGTGCTGACAGAGTTTGACGCTGCCGGCTCCCGGCTGCGTGGATCCTTCTCCCACGCTGCGCTGCCCTTCATGCCCGTTGTCACCGTTGCGCCACCTGTAACGGTGCCATACCAAAGTGTGTCTTGCCGGCAATGATTCTGACGTGTAATCCATACTGCGAAAGTTCAAGCCTTGAACTTCAAGGTACAGGCTTGCCAGGAAAGGGACGTGCGCTTGTCTAGGTAGGGACAAGGGCTGCAGTGGGTAAGCTGAGTACTGGAAGACCGAGTGCAGAGGTTTGTTGGGGGATGAGAAGAGCGTTGAAACGCAGGGGAAAGAAATCTACTCACCGCGCCTGTCCTTGAACCACTGGTCTATCTTGTCCATTTCCAGGCCTGTGTTCAGGTGCAGCTGGTACTTCATGTACTCCTCTGGCACAGGGGCTACTCTATACACGTCCTCCAGTTGCTGCTCTGCCGCCTGAATGTCCACGAAGACTGTTTAGAATGTCTGGTCAACTGCAAGTTCTCAGCTTCCAGACAGCTGGGAATTTGTTGGGTGGGGCTAGCACTCGCAAGGCCAAACAACAGGGCCCATCAAGGGGAAGGTACAATTTCCAGTTCCCCAATGGTGGATTCCCTAGGTAATATGGGATTAATGAAAGCAGAATAGCCATGAAAGAAAAGCCTCACTCAACGCTGAACCTGAGGGTCCATGGCTGAATGGGGCGTAGCAGTGGGAAAGCACTAGATTCGTGAATCTCAAATAGCCATGCACTAAGAAAATCCATATGCAGCCGGATTTTCTCGGAGAAATTACTACCCTGTGTACTCACGCACCTGCATCTCCTCCTGTGGGATGTCGATGCGTCCCAACCGAGCAACAATTATTTTTTCGACGGAAGAAATCTTGTGCACACCAGTGACAAGAATTTGACACGATCAGACTTTTAAGAATGCCAGAGGTATGCACACTTTGCGCTGTGTCCAGTTCTGCTCGACACAGCCACGCCTTCTTTCGTTGCCTGCCTCCAGTCCGCCCTCGACTACTTGATGAGTCGGGTAGCATGTAAGATATGCAGTGATCAGTTCTCTTAGTCAAAGCCGGACATGCAGACGCTCGCTAGCTATTTGAGAAGATTTTCTTTGCTCCCAGACAGACTCCGCATGGTCAAAACCCTGACACCTTCAACCCAGCTTCCGGGTTCGAGAACGGAAATCCTAGATATAAACCTTGCAAGGAATGTACCAATTGAGGATATCTTCTGGGTTTGACTCCTGCAAGCAACATTGTGACACCAGGCCAAACCAACACTGAGCGCAAAAGGGAGTTTTTGCCAGATCTCGTGTTTACATCAGAGCTCCAGAAGTTTTGATCTCGGAGGTGTGGCTGGGATTTGCAGGTCAAATGGCTGCTTCAATACTACCGACAGACAAAAGAGTACTTCTAATCCCAATTGATGACAGTGAGGTGAGTTGCTTTACCCACATGCTTGTGATACCCATCGCATGCTTTCGTTTGTCTTCTTGAAAGTACACTACTGACGCTAGCAAGACTTCTACTTAGATGATCGCTTGAAAATTTGGCAATATGCGCAGAAGCATTCATTCACGGTCACGTGTGCGACGTGCAGGACGCAGAAAAATCGGTTTCATGGACGCTGCAGAACCTATACAGACCAGGCATGCAGATGCAGGCATCAATACCGTACAACACAAAAATAGCGCTTCAAATCGTAGCCTTGGTTGAAGGCGACCAACCTGCTGTGCCTGACGCAGCAGCTCACCCAATGTATGATGGCTTTGCCAAAGGCAGCCTGTTTTTCAGGTGGAGGCGATCTTCTGTACTTCCTGCACGTGGTCCCAGAGCGGCAGTTCGATGTTATTGGGGGGGACGCTGCTGAGACCATCATCAACGAGGACGAAGATGCAGAGCGCAGAGCGGTGCGTGCTCCCTTTGGAGCGCAGTTCTTGTGCATGCCCTGTATCACCTCCACTGCTTGATTTTACGCACATCAGTGGCCATAGCGCAATGGTATGATGAGAAGCTCTGAGTTATTTTCTGTGTCGCCATGCCGGGGGCCTGAAGCGAGTTGTCCCTTCTGTACAACACCTGAAAGCCACTGCATTTTTGGCCGAAGGTTGAAGGCAAGCCAGGCAGTAGGGCAGTAGGCTGTAGGTGTCTTGGTGGTATCAGCTGACATGCTCTTTTGGAAATATCTGCTCAATATCTGGGTGCTGCATGCACAGGTTGCCAATGCCAAGGACTTCATCAAGCATCGCATCTTGGAAAGAATAGAGGACAAGCAAGTGCCTCACCAGGTAAAGTATTCATGCTCAGCCAATGACGCCTGGTTGTTGCAGCAAGGGACTCACAGTGTCGGCATCCCAAGTGGCGCTTGCAGCTGTGTGCTTCATGCTCCGTGTCCTGTGAAAAGCTCCGTAACAGTGCTGCTCCCTTGCAGGTAGAAATTGTGCGGTTCCGCACTGACAGTGAGTCAGTGGGAACAGTCATCTCAGAACGGGCTGCCACCCTCAATGCTGCAGCTGTGGTAAGGACTCCAGAAATTCTGCAGCTTGTTGTACGACTGCATTCGCCCTTCTCTTCTCACCAATGTACTGCAGCACTCAGCGCAGACTTTGGTTGACGAGCAGATCAAGCGCCTCCTTCCGTCTGTGAAACAGGCGTGCCAGAGTCCTGCCTCTTCAGTAAATTCTGCTGAACGCTGTGTGGCGGTGTTTAGGTGATGGCCAAGCACAGACAAGGAGCCATCAGAGCCTTCTTCATCGGCAGCGCGACCAAATTCGTGGCAAATACCTGCAAGCAGCCAGTGGTAGTCCTGCATTGAGGGTGGTGCAGTTTCAAGTGTCCTGGCCAGAGGGGTGTGCATTAGAGGGAGTGGTGGTGTGAATAGAGGATGTTGCTCTCTTTTGTGTGGTGTATGAAAGTGGGAGACTTTTCCGGATCTTGAAAGGATTGCTGTAGCAGTGAACCGTGCAAGATGCATAGCTCTCATTTGGATTGTGCAGCAGGCCTCAGCATTGAGGCTGCCTGCAGGAAGGCATATGGACGCAATCTTCAATTTTGTGTTAATCACCAAGTTCAGGAAGCCAGTTGGACCGTGTTCCAACCAGTTAGGATCTGCTGGATATGCCGCATACTGGTACAGCAGAAGAGCAATACATCATGCATGTCAGTGCACATGATGCCCTCCAGTACCTTTATGCTATATGAGATATTCCTTTGACAGAGCAATGTAGGCAGAGCAGAGGCACTCAATGATTATGCTGCATGAAGCTGCGAAGGCCACAGGCATGTGCCTATTTAGGTGCCTAATAATAATTCTGTGTCAGCATTCAGCAACAGTATACGTATAGCTGTGCCACATAAGTGAGAGACTCTTGAACGGTGTGCATGTGGACAGCAACGTCACAGCGCTTTATGCGCGTAATGATGTGCGTGTAAAGGTTACAATCTTTGGCGCTCGCAATATCTTCGAGTCTTCCATTCTCCCTTCTGTCACTTACTAGGTAGTACCTTCTTATATGATGCATCATTGCATACATTATAACGCCTCCCCCACTATTTCATCCACATGAGCACCCTTACATGCAGTTGCGTTCAAATATTTTGGATTCTGATCAGCGACGTGGTCATGACCGGCAACGCATGCTGCACATCCGTTCATGCAAATCTTTTGGCCTCACCATTGTGATAGCGTCGTAAAATGCAACACTTTGACCCCGCAGATCATCTCGACTGCCAATCACAAGTCAGCCAAGGATACAAAAATATTCAGGCTTGCAAGGACACTTGTAACTGAGACAAATTGTCCTTATCCTGCATGCAAGGGCAATGACCTTCTCACAACAAATAAAATGAATGCGAGCAAACTCTGAAATGATCAAACATAAGAATTCATTTATTGCTGCTGTCAGGCAGCGTGAGTCTGTCAGTTTCCAGGCCGCGATGTGGCTCACATCAGAGAAACACACAGACCTGTCAAAGGTCGTGATCTCCTTCGGACCCTTCATCCTCCCTCCTACAGCCCCTACCTATGAAGTTTGCTGCAGCCCTCACCAGGGGGTTATTGGGCAATCCTCAAAACCCCCTGACATCATAAGGCTGCCTCCTGGTCTTAAGTTCTCTATTCGTTTGATACATTTCGCATGACCTCAACATGCATTAGGCGCGCTTGCACCCTCAGGAAGGACCAGGGCCACAATGCTGTTGCTGTAGACACCCTTAAATTGCGCGATGTAAACAATTAAAGACCACCATACAGTGTCCTACCAGATGAGCTTTTTACGGCCCGTCACATTATTGAGCAAGTGCATGCGGCCTTCCAAAGGTGAATCTGTTCCCTCAGGCACGCGCGACCACTCTGGCAAGGGCGGCCAGCCCAATGCTGCCCAATAGGGCAGCCCCAGCCACCAGTGCAGGTCTTTTCTCCAGCCCAGCAAAGGCCACTTCCTTTTCCGGCTTCTGGGCAGTTTCGAGTCCCTCTGTGCTGATGGGCGCAGCTTCCTGGCAGCTGGAGGCGGCCTGTTCAGGCACCAGCGGCCGGAATTCCTTTTTGTTTTTGAAATCGTTGTATTCCTCCTCCGTCGCAAACGAGCGGTTGTCTCTCGTAGCGTCCTTCGCATGCTTCTTGTATGCGGCCTCCCCTTGTTGCTGCAGCCATGACACATACACATGCATTCCTCAGACCGCAGAGCAATGCAAACTTTTGTGGTCCGCTAGGCTTTATGATGATGGGCACTTTGCATGCGCAGCCGTGGTGTACAGGCTAAGATGGCTACTGCAATGACACCTGCTCTGAACTGAGATGTACACAGTACTCTGCGGGCCAAATAAAAGACTGTGAGTGCAAATTATCATCTGGGAAAATCATCTCTGCCCAGTGATGAGAAGCACAAGCGAGACAACCTGTGACAGGATGTGTAAGGCAGCGGCATGCCCCCAACACCATGTCTGCAAGGTCAGTCACCGGAGCGGCAAGAGCATGTGGAGTGCAGTAGCAATGGGGGTAAGAAACTTTGAATTTTTAGATACCTTTCTAGCGAGGAAGGCACTAGCAGGGAACGCGTCGCACCTGAGCCTTTTTCACAATGACCCCGACGCGGGGAATTCGCTCGAGCTCAAAGCTGCGCAGCGCCTCGGGCGTCAGGCCGCTCTGCTGCACGTGCCACGCCAGCTCTGCCGCGTCCTCCATCGTCATGTTGAGACCCTGGCCTGCACGGCTATTACACAATTGTTCAAGAACAGGTGTACAGGGTTCCCCACCAAACCTCCAGGCGATTCTGATGGTATTGGACGTGTCAGCAGATGCCTGCACGACACATCACCACTGGCGGCTCCACCGCGCTGGCCACTACACCCTGTCAAGCAAGATATATCATTGCATCAAGCAATGCACACCTGCACGGCCCAAGCACTGAGGTGCACCGCTGTCGAGCATGCTGTCGATTGCAGAAATTGGCACAGGCTTGACGAAAGAATTTAAAAAGGAGGGGCGGAACGGACCGGCGGGCACATGGCACAAGCATGCAACAGCAAAAGGGTGTCAAAAAAGGGTATTGATAAGGATGGACGCACCGGTGGGCCGTACGGGGTGTGCTGCGTCTCCGACGAGGGTGACACGGCCGCGGCCCCAGCCGTCGGCGGGCAGCGCCTCAGCCTGCCGGGTGAATATGCCGTGCTCCGCCACCGCGCGCGGATCTGTCTCCCGAATGATGTCCAGGAAGGTCTCGGGGTAGCCCGCGAACACCTTGAGACACCTCTGCGCACAGGCATGGACGAGGCAGACACATCAGTGCGGGTTCATTCCCCTAAAAACCTCCAAAGATATGGAAAGGTAGCCGAGAGAACACTCATTACTTGAAGAAGGACGTCCCCAACAATGTCCAGGAAGGTGTCCAGGCCGGCAAACACCTCAAGACACCTCTGAGCAGATGCGCAGAACAGTTGTACATCAGTCGATGTGCAGATTTTCTCTGCACATCAGCCACGGGAGGTGCTACCGATCGGTCCAGAATAGCATCTGCATGTGTAATTGACTGCAGCTCTAAAAACTTCATTTCTATAAGGTACACTTTGTCCAGCTAGGGCCAGATCTTTGTATGGTGGTCAGCGATCTTCACTTTGAAGAAAGAGACATGCAGAATCATCAAGGCAGTGCAAGCGCCAGGAGATACATGGAAGTGAAGGAACATGAAAGAGCAACACTACAATGATCCCCCGGCCCAGGGGCCCGTGCATTTCAACTCAATATTGACACCCATGCAGAGTTCACCTCCAGAGCATTGTCGACGCCCTCAATGGCCTGTGTGGAAGCACGGAAGCGGCCGCCGTTGGAAGGGTCAAAGTCAACCCCAGCCTCCTTCACCAGCCGGATGGGCGCAGAGCCCGTCCACACCATGTGGTCTTTGCTGATTGGGTACAGCAGGCCCACCTGCAAGAATAGCGGCACTTGCTCTACACACGACCTTTGTCACTGTGAGATTGCAGAAAAGCAGCAATTACTCAAATGGTGAACTCGCCACTCTGATACCGCAAGGCATAGGATGACTGCACGCGGCAGAGGCAGTGCTGGATGAAAAAGTGTTATTAGGCCCCAGCAACAGGAATAAAAAAATGTATTGTCTGCAATGCAATACTGTATTTTGGATGTGTTGATCCTGCAGGGGTACAGCGCACCTTCTCTGCGCCAAAGTACCAGCTGCTGTGCTCCAGTGGCTGCTTCATGTTCACCCTCGCCCGCCAACACACCGTGCCCTGTGGATTCCGCACATCACTCGGTAATCTCAACCACATGCTTGTACAGTAACAACACAAGGAAAGGGTGTAAAACTTCTATCAAGCAGCTCTCTGATAGACGTGCACTAGTGGTGCTGATGACAAGCAGCCCCAGTGCAACATTTAAACGTCAGTAGGCACCACACAAAGCGAGTGAGATCCTCACCGCAAAGTCTGGGGGACCATCATCGAGACACTGCTGCCGCACTGCTGAGAAGTAGCCATCTGCGCCAATCAGCACCTTGGCGCGCACTGGGCCTGGCTCGCCGCCCTCAAACTTCACTGTGACCCCTTCGCTGTCCTCCTCATAAGACTCGAACCTGCACCCAAGCCCATAACGCAGATGACCAGAAGCCAAGAGGCAATGCACTCCATGCATCAGTATCAAGCCTAGTCGTCAAACATCTTCCTGCAAAAGAACATCTTCAAACATCCACAGATCAGACCCACAGTATCGTGGAGAGCTCCAGACAGATACTTTGACGCTTCCATTTGAAGTGACAAGGGCTGTGGCAGCAGGTTCAAACCTGGAGTCAAACACCACAGTGTCGGGAGGCAGGGCGCGGTAGAATGCTGACTGGATCTCATACCAGCCCAGAATGGTTCCCCGCTTGCCGTACTTGCTCAAAGATTTGCTGGGGTCCATCTTTTCCGACTTCACCTCATTGCCTGCACAATGTACCACAATTTGAAGTTCACCTGACTATTAGATGCTGGCAGGCACTCTGGTGCCAGCATAACCTTTTGCAAAAGGCCACTAGCCTCTCGGTTGTTCAAAGGTTGACAAGTGCAAGACGAAATAGTGAATTAAAGCTCACTATTGCATATGAAAGGCAGACGGGTATGAGAAGGCTAAATGCCGTGACTCACCTATCTCATCAAAAGTCTTTGCTACTGGGACAGTCCATCCGTTGTCGTAGAACCATTTCTCTAGGGCTGGATCTATGGCCTCTATAGCCTTCATACCATTGACGTCCATGCCTACCCCAGCTCCCAGCGGGCGGTACTTCTTTGCTCGCTCGAACACCTGTGAACATGCCAGGTCACCTAGCATCAATATTTGACCATGGCCTGCTATCGCAATGTAACACATTGACCATAACTAAAGGCAATTAATTACAGAAGATCTAACCCAATTCTTGGTTAAGGATCCGAGACAAATATAATACCTTTACTCGGGTGCCCTTCACTGCTCGGGTGATGGCCAAAGCTGTGGCCAGGCCTCCTGGACCACCTCCTACAATAGCTACATCCAAATCAATGGGTGTGGGTGTCATCGTCAACGAGGGAGGCTGAATAATCACAGGTTGTTTCTACAAAAATGCGCAGATCAGCTTCGCAAAATTGCAACTTCCGCAAACTGACACTAGACTAACACTGGTAAGACAAATTCTCTGTAGTGATCTATTTGGTATTCAGTAAGTAGCTGGGTGAAAATTGATAATTGCAACGGTGTTGGAAGCATAAGGCGACGTGGGCGCGCTAGGGCGACCATTCGTTTCGAACTTTGCAGGGCTGCACCCTTCAAAATCTATAAACCCTACAAACAGCCAGACATGGAAGCCGCAGAATGTGATGTTGATGTTGTTTTTGCATCTTAGATGCTGATATTCGGGAAGCTGTTATTGGTGATATTCCCCAAGTACCGTATTTACCGCACAGGTCGATTATATTAGCGTTGTATCTTTCACCGATCGGGCTTGCAAAAGCCACATAGTAATTCAGGCTGCGAGCTCTTGAAGACGATCGTCAAGGAAACTTGCAATATTGAGTTTGCATCAAATGGCGCCGACGACCGACGACAAGAAGAAGAAGAGCGACAGCAAGGAGAAGAAGGACAAGGATGTAACCAAAGACAAGAAGGAAAAGAAAGAAAAGGATCCTGCCAAGGACAAGGATAAGAAAGAGAAAAAGGAAAAGGACCCATCGAAGGAGAAGAAGGATAAGAAGGACAAAACCACTTCCTCCAAGGACGCATCAAAGGACAAGGACAAGGACAAGAAGGGCAAAGATGTCAAGGACAGTAAAAGCAGCAAGAAGGTGGGAGCAATCTCGACTAATTCTGACTTATTGACTAATTCTGCTCCTCTTTCCATGGGGTGTTTGGCATAGGTGGATGAAGTTATTGCTGGTATTAGCAACTTGCACCAGCATCAACCATGTGCACTGCAGATCAGAATATGCCTTAGAAATAATTGAAGCCATTCTTCTCCGAGCAGGATGAAAAGACCAACGGGGTCAGCAGAGTACCTCAGCCCCGCGTGGTGCCTCCGCCACCTAAGAAGCCACAGAACGACTATCTGGGAGACATAGACCTGCCCTCCAGCAGCAGTGAGGATGAGGAAGAGACTGAGAGATACACCCCCATCTATGCAGCGGATGACAAGGACAACGAGCTCAAATCCATGGTGTGTTGCCTTCTCTCTACATGTCGTAGTCCTTGCATGCGAAGCCGAAAAATTGTACACGTTGCAGAGCCTAATAAATGACACGTAGTGCAGCAGAGGAAAACGCTGATTGTAGCTTGAACAGGACTGTCATGGTTCTCTGTGCGGAGCTGGCCATATGCAGAGTGGGCTTCATGTGCTAGCTGCAATACATGCATGACTTTGCAGTGGCTTGCAAATGTGTTTTGGTGGTGTGCACAGGCGACGTACAGGGACAAAAAGAAGCTGGCAGACAAGGAGCGGAAACAGATCGAGGAGGCTGCCAGGGCCAAGGTGGCAGCGCTGCAGGACGATGATAATGTCTTTGACGTGGCCTACGAGCAGCAGGGTGGCGCGGGAGAGGCCTCTGATGTGCTCAGCGCAACAGACATCAAGGTGTGCCTGTGTGATGCCGCGCATTCTGTCAGCCCTCAATGCTGCTGTGCAAGCCGGATTGTACCCTTGCTTTGGAAAGGCTGCCCGTGTGACCCAGGCTGCGACTTTCACCAGGTATATTCGGTGCATTCGGGACAGCAAGGAATGACGACTCTTGGATGCACTGAATCAATCAGGCTCGCAAGTGTGGTCAGCTATTGCTACTTCATAGGAGTTCCGCGTCATGCAGCCAGTGAGAATTTAGCCGGCGCAGCACGTTGTGACAGTCACATGCCGTCCTTGTTCATCCTATATAATTGCCATCTAATTAAGTGTTGACCAATGTGGTGCCGGGATGTGGTGCCGGGCAGGTGCACAACCTCACAATCCGCGCAAAGGGCAAGGTGCTGCTGGAGGGCACCACTCTGACCATCACAGCAGGACGGCGGTATGGCCTGGTGGGCCCCAACGGTATGGGCAAGTCAACACTGCTGCGGATGATCGCGCGGCGGCAAGTGCCTGTGCCAGAGACTCTCGATGTACTCCTTGTAGAGCAGGTGAGACATCTCCCAATCTCCTTCAACTTCCTGGCGGGGATCATGTATTCCTCCCTTGCCACCCCTCAAAATGTGCAAGATACAACTCAAAAAGCTACGATGCACCAAGGCTCCTGTAAGAGCAGTGCCAGACTGCACATGCAGATCTTGAGATATTGGCCACCATGGGAGAATTATTGAAAAACAGAGCGTCCTCGATCTTCTTTGTGAGGGGCTGCATCTGAGATGCATATGGTGCAACAATGGCACAAAGTCATGGCAAGGCTCAGCAGCCCCACCCTCTACAGTGTCGCAAACCCTTGAAGGATGATTGCCTGGTGCCATGTTACAACATCTTATGCAATGCGCTGCCTGAGAATGATATTGCGTCACTGCACTGGGCAGGAAGTGGTGGGCACAGACGAGGCTGCACTGGAAGCTGTGGTGGCGGCTGACGTGGAGCTCATGGCGCTGAGGGAAGAGGAAGCAGAGATCCATTCGCGGCTCAATGCAGTCAGCTTGGAAGACAACCCTGCTGACGGGGATGCGCCGCAGGCCAGCACATCTGCTGCCAACGACGCAGACAACGACCGGCTAGCAGAGATCTACGAGCGGCTAGCGGTAAGCCTTTGACCATGCATGCATGCAAGTCACTTGCACCCTTTTAAATCCGCAGATTGGCACAATGCGTGTAGTGCTTACATGAGTCCGGAGCTATCGTATATGAGACAGCTGCTGAGAGTCATTCTGATTTGCTTGAAGACATGCACCGGCGCTGTGGTAGAATTATTGCGGCCAGGACCCCAGGGATGTGCACTGTATACTCTTACTACATGTTCTTGTTGCCAATGACTAGGTACATCAAGCAACACCTGTTTTGTTGCTTATGTGCACCTTGCTGCGCAGGAAATGGGGGCGGACAGCGCAAAGTCGCGCGCGTCCAAGATCCTGCATGGACTGGGCTTCACGGAGGCCATGCAGCGGCGGTCAACAAATGAGTTCTCGGGAGGTTGGCGCATGCGCATCTCCCTCGCGCGCGCATTGTACATCCAGCCCACTGTTCTGCTGCTGGACGAGCCCACCAACCACCTGGACCTCAGAGCTGTCCTCTGGCTGGAGGTGGGTGCTGTTCTTTTGCTGGACATGATGATCATGAGCCAAACACAGCGGCAAGAAATGTCTGGGCTGTTGTCTCAGAGCAAGAGCAACATTATGCACATTTCTACCCTTAATGCCTAGGATGTTGTCCTGGACATTTTGCATGGAGATGGTTGTATGGCGCTCTCTTGAACATGATGATGCTGATGAGTCGATGCACACTGATAAGAAGGTTGCAGAGCTTCTCCTGGAAATGATGCATGCCGATGAAATGATGCATGCTGCTTGTTATGGACATGATAAAGCATCCATCGTGCTCAGCTTGGCATTGCTCGTGCAGCCAGCTCATGTCCTAGCACATTTTGCTAAAATTCGTTGGTCGTGCATGAATGCCCATGCTCAAGAAATGGGCATAATTTATATAAGGCTGACATGGGGCATGTTCGTTGCACAGGAGTACCTCCAGCGATGGAAGAAGACACTCATCGTCGTGTCGCATGACAGAGACTTCCTGAACACAATCACCACCGACATTATCCACTTGCATGACCTGAAGCTGCACTACTACAGAGGCAACTTTGCACAGGTGCGCTACACTCTTGCTGAGCGCAGGACTCCCTCTAGTACACTTGTGTATGGCGCTCGTCTGGTGCTCGTCTATCCTCTGTCTGCTTGAGTTGCATCTCTTGAGGCCATAGCAGGAGCAGTCTGAAAGGAAAACAATTGTGTTACAGTGGATCTCAGCCACAAGAGCATGCACATCATCAGAAAGTTGTTGCTGAGCTGGCAAGTGACAGCTGTTTGGTTGTGGGTGTGCAGTTTGAGGAGATGTACGAGCAAAAGCGCAAGGAGGTCAACAAGGCCGCGGAGAAGTTTGAGAAGCAGCTCAAGGCAGCCAAGCGGTCCGGCAGCAAGGCCAACCAGGACAAGGTGCAGTCTTCTTCCCATAGAATCATGCTGTCCTATAAACTGCTTTTCATCCTGTGCCAGACATTACTTGAAACTAGTACTAGGCTGAACAGCAGTACTGGTGCGGGACATGCCATTGATTGTGGCAGAGGCATTCCGGCTGTGGCAGATCATTTGTGACAGGTTTTCAAAAGGTTGTGGCAGATGCATGGCATGCAGTAAAGGACGTAGCACAGATGACCATTGAAGGCATTAACACTCCACTGCTTTGCATGTGGTAAATGCCTGTCCTAGTTGATGGCACACCAAACAAGGACAGGCTTTTACCAGATTCAAAGCAGCCCTTTCAGGAATCTCCCGGAATAATGCATGCACAGCCCCCATCACTCGCAGTCATACATGCCTAGCCACCAGTACAGCAATGAGCTGAACCCGTCTTGTTCTGGCACCATACAGGTTGTCAAGAGCGCAAAGCAGACTCAGGCGCGCAAGGCCAAGGCGGCCCCGGCAGGCTACGCTGACGAGGACACCAAGGCAGCAGAGCAGCCCAAGCGCTGGTCCGATTACACCGTGCACTTTGAGTTCCCAGAGCCCTCAGAGCTGCCCTCCTCCTCGCTGCTGCAGCTGCTGGACGCCGATTTCAAGTACCCGGGCCGCGACGACTTTGGCCTCCAGAATTTGAACATCGGCATTGACATGGGCAGCCGCGTCGCCATTGTCGGACCCAACGGCGCTGGCAAGACCACCCTCATGAACCTGCTGGCAGGTGAGTGTGGCTACTTCTGGGTGGCAATCTAGTGGTTTACAGGAACGAAGATGGGCAGCTGTGCACAGAAGAGCCTGTCAGGAAGGCAGAGGTGTGGTCAGGACATTTGTAGAATGCTGTGGGACCTGTGATCGTAGTTACAGCATACCCCATGTGCTTTTCATGGATCGGTGGGCTTCAAACTAGCTTGGCACTGTGTCTCTTGTTTGGAGGATCATACATTGTCATTTTCTGGCAGGTGACCTGGAGCCGACGGAAGGCGAGGCCAGGAGGAGTCATGCGCTGCGAGTGGGCCGCTATGCGCAGCACTTTGTGGACGCGCTCAAGTTTGACACCAACCCTGTCGAGTACCTGCTGAGCAAATATCCCAAGGTAAGGGAGGCTACTGGTCAAAATTTATATGTCTTGCATTGCCTTGCAGGTCTCGCATTCATTTTGTTCTAACTAGACATGCATATCTGTAATATGGCTTCCCATCGCAGTATCCTGCATTCTTAGAGATCGATCCTGTGTGTGCCTCTGAACATGAAGTGCTGAGCATCTCCCAGAAGGTGATTTCTTTTCATAGGCAGCTCTGGTTGACAGAGTGTATGGCATGGCTGTGCAGTCGGGCCTCAAACCGGAGCAGATGCGGCAACAACTCGGCCGCTTTGGACTGAGCGGCCACCATCATCTACAGGTGCTTATTCACCCTCACTCTTAACTTCCAGGAGGAACGATTTGTGCATGTCTTGCTCCTGCTGGCACCAGCATTGTGTCTGGATATGGTGGGATTGCTCTCCTTCACTGGGCAGTATCGATGGCATTTGGTGACCTTGCGAGCATGAGACTTGTCAGAGAGTGTCAAGGCCAGAGGTTTGCAGGAGGAAAGTGCCTCGATGTTTGCTAGTGTCTTCAGAATCCTGCAAGGCAGCCAGGCACAGCAGAGCGGTTGTTTGCAAACAGCAGCTACTAAAGAGATATGTGGGTTGTGCGCAGCCCATCTGCAAACTGAGCGGAGGCCAGAAGGCGCGCGTGGTCTTCACAAGCATCTCGCTCGCAAACCCGCACATCCTGCTGCTGGACGAGCCCACCAATCACCTGGACATGCAGAGCATTGACGCCCTCTCAGACGCCCTCGAACAGGTAAACCACATTACCGCCGCACAATTCTCCAAGCACTAGACACGGTATGTATCAGGATTTAGGCCATATCGTGTCAGCATGTCTGTACCAGCATGTGAATTGCCTACAGATGCCTGGATAACGAGTTGTTTGCATGTTTGAATTCTTTCCACAAGGAAACAGTTTGCACTCAGGAACGGGCTTTGTTGGTTTTCAAGTGGCATCAAGGCATGTTCTGTGGCAGCCTCCACCTGCAATTTGTCTGCACACGCATCTTGCCTCCTGGCAGGATCGGCGCGTATCAACAAATCTGAGAATGAGCTCAATTTTAGCAGCGTGACAGTCGGATACGTGCATGGCCTCAGTGATCTGATGGTGGGATGGTGTGCGCGCGCAGTTTGAGGGAGGCGTGGTGGTGATCAGCCACGACTCGCAGCTGCTGTCGCGAGTGTGCGATGATGCGGAGCGCTCAGAGGTGTGGCTGGTGGAGGACGGCAAGGTGCAGCGCTACGACGGCTACTTTGAGGAGTACAAGGAGGAGCTTGTGAAGGAGATTAGTGCTGAAATGGACGAGGACTGAGCCGGTGTTCATTTATTCCATGCGTGAGCGTGTGTGCATGCATGAGCATGTGCGCGCATGCCTGGGTGCATGCGTGGTTAGGCCAAGAGGAGTAGAACCCTACAGAAACCTATTCTACACTATTCTACTACACCCTCTAGATTCTCTAGTAGTACTCCCCTTGGTGTTGGAGCTTCTTCGTTTCTGTTGAAATTGTTGAGAGGGACAAGCTTGTCAAGCGAGGTGCGTGTCTATCTATCAGTAGGTGAGCCATGCGCATTGGAATAGGGTCCTAAGACGGCTTATAAGTGTATCTAATTAGATACACTTCTTTTTACAATTGAAGCAGTTGGAACTTCATTGCCAGTCGTTTCTTGCTCAGTTTGTGAATAACTTCCACATGAAGGCATGCGTTCTAGGTGTGACTGCCTCAAAGCACATCCAATCTAAGTTCCCGAGCTCATGGGGCAATGATCAAACTAAGCTACGAGCGAAAGTAATGACACATGAGCAGGACATAGTCCTGCAGACAATTGCAAACCAGATAAAACCACATCAGCATACCGCTGTCGCATGGCATGTAAGTTCTCATTTGTTCAAAATTGGTTCTTGGACAAGCATGCATTCAACACAATTGCAAGCTGCGGACAGCCAGGCCTCACTCAAGCTCTGCAACAATCCTCTTCTTGCGCGCCGGCTTGACAATGACGGAGCCCGGCTTGCTGTGAGCCACCCGCCTCTTCTGCTTCTTGTCCTCTGCCTCTGTCATTGTGCGCCGCAGCTTGGCAGCCTGCAGCAGCGTCCGTTCTCATGCAGGGATAATAAAGACAACATTGACCAGGCCAAACGAAGCTCAGACAAGGCAGTGCCACGGCTTGGGAAAGGCTTCCATGGGCGGCTCTACATCAGCATGGACTCGGTCCCCCCTATCCTGGAACCACCTCCCAGGATCGATGAGACTGGCCGCCATAATGATGCAGAGCCCACAGAAATTAAATTGAACACATTGACACACATACAAGCAGACACAGGCCTGTAAAACGCTCCACAAACAAGAGACCAGCCCATCATTTTCACTGCCAGCAGCCGTCTAAAGCCCCTAGCAGACATGACAGCAGAGGGCACGGCACCTTGTACAGGGGCACAGGAAGGTGGCGGTGGCGAGTGATGCGCCGGATCTCTGGCATGTGCTGGTACCGCTGCACCAGGGCGTCCCCATATGCCTGCTTGTGCAGCTCCCTCGACACCATCGTTCCCTGCTGCTGACTCGCCCTGGCCTGCAAGCGTGACTTAGTCGCTCAGTGTTCTCATTACGCGCTTCCCCTGCCAAGATGCAAGGTGCGTCTGCAGACAAACTGCAGTGAAAGGCTGCCAAAGGCAGTGCTAAGTCTAAATATACTGATATCTGGACTGATCTAGATGCTATCCCTTGATAAACATGCCAGATCCAAGCAAATCCCAGGCGCTTATGCAAAGATCAGATTGGAAGCCACGCATGCACCCGCTTTGTGGCAATCTGCGGAAGCTGAATCAGCGTAGACAGCATAATAAGACTTACACCCAGTGCAAATATTGATGCTACCAGGCTACAGTCCAGAAATGAACATGATGCTGTGGTCAGGGCTAAGAGGGGGCTGCATGTGAAACATGCACTGCTGTCATGAAGAGCATGATGGGCATGCATGCCATATGATGGCAAGCTGACATCCAAGTAAAAAAGAAGAAAACTGAGCAGGTAAACAGCAATGCACAAGCCCAGCAGGGGTGACCAGAGTGCATGTGCAGGACAGGGCATGAGCTCTCACCTTCCAGACGCGCACGTTCATGTCATCACTGCCGGAGAAGACATAGCTGCCATCGCCACTGAAGCGCACAGCAAAGACACGCTGCATCCGCTTGGTGTGGTAGACCTCCTTGCTGTGGCCCCCATTGTATGCAAAGAGGCGCACAGAGCGGTCGTAGCTGCCAGCCACAAATTCGCGCCCAGTGGGAGAGTAATCCACATCCATCACCGCAGACACAAAGTCCTGGCAGCGAAACATCAATCGTCATTCATCAAAACGTCAACAGCGGACAAAGGTTTTTGGTAAGCAAGATCAGACCCAAGGACGTTAAGCAGAAAAGGCGCATGCAGCCTTAAAAGTGTTCAGAAGCACATCAAACTTCCCATGGCTTTGACGTAGATCAATGCATTGAATAGCAATAGATTGCCTTTGGAAAGACAGCAGGGTGTCCTGATGTGCCTCACCTTGTGAATGCATGCAGCGCTCTTGAGCTTGCGCATGTCATAAGTGTACAGGTTGCAGTCCTCGTTCGCGCAGGTGAAGTTGAAGGCCTCCATGGGATTCCATGCAATCGAATTGCTACGAGTCTGCACACCACGTCACTGTTGCAGTCAAGAGAACACGCAGAACTAAATATCAGAGACCACTGCATGCCTGTCTGCATTGCTGTCTCAGTAAGAAAGTTGCGCTCATGTGCTCATGGAGCTCGCAATCGCTTTTCTATAGTATCATCCTTGACAGCAGCAGCATTCCCATGTGACTGACAAACATGTTTCAGGGCATGCATGGATGCAGGCAAGCAATCATACAGCAGGATTGCTTGCCTGCACAACAATGCATACATGCATTACAAACGCTGACTATGATTTGAGCATGGGCATCTCTGCATGAGCCAGACATCCACACCTGCATGATAATCTTGCGGATGGGTGTGGAAGAGCGCAGGTCATACAGGGCGATGGATCGGTCACTGCCGGCCGATGCAAGCAGGTCAGGCTCTGCTGGATTGAACCTCACGCTTGTGACTGAGTCAGACCCCCAGGAGAAGGTGCTGACTGGCTCTGAGCGCTCATGGTCCCACACATCCACCTGCATCAGCCGCATCACATGTCATGCATGCCGCATCATGACACCGTCTTGGCATCAGCTGGTATGACGAATTACATGGCAATAAATGTGATGCATGTCCATGGAGACATGCATGGGGATTTTTGCACAGACTGCAGGCACATCAAGGACTAACATGCAGGGAATGTGGGAGTACCTGCTGGCCAGCAGTGGCAAAGGTGTTCCTGGTCCAATGGTGGTCGATCCCCCTGAATGCATGCTTGCCCAGGAATTCCAGAGTGGCAGATGCCTCATCCTCGACTGGGCCTGCTGACATGAATGGGGCAAAAGGCAGCCTGAACAGCCGCACGCTGCAGTCTGTGGAGCAAGAGACCGCCACATCCCCGCTTGGTGCAATGGAGATCCCCTTCACAGCCCCTGACCATCAAAGAAACATGATCATCAGCATGCACACATGTAGCATGAATCAGGGCTTCCTGCTTGGCAGCACATGATGAGCATCTATCTAAGACATGATCATGTATGGCTGGAGGGCTCAGAATTACCCAATCACATGCATTGAATCATGCAGAGTATACTGTCATTCAAGTTGCTGTATATCTCTTCATTGCCCTCCAGGGCACAGGGTATGCAGATGGACTGCCGATCATGCTAGCACAGCCGTATGCATTTACTGGCCGGTATCATGAGACAAGTGAAAAGACATGCCTGTGTGCCCCACGAGCTTCCTCAAGCTGCGCTTGCCCGGCACGTCCCACAGCTTAATAATGCCATCTGCGCATCCTGCTGCCTGCACATGTGGGGTGACCTTTCTCAGAATCGCCTCCCATCAATAGATCCTACCCAGTGCAAAACACAGATAAAGAAAGACATGACTAGCTGAGGACAACTCACCAGGCCATTCAAGACCTTGGGATTTCGTGCAAGGCATGTGACACCATCATCATGAGGAAAGGCTGATATGAATGGCTTTGCAAAGACCCTGCGCCACAGTAACTAGTTCAGTCAGATCAAGAGCATGCTTGCGAAAGTCAGAGCAACCCAGAACACACGAAGATTGCTCTTCATGTTCGCAACAAAGGACCCCACTTCATACACCATCCCAGAGGTATTAGCACCTGTCTAACTTTGCAGCATTCAGAGCCCGAGTGTACTCCACAGCCTTTTCGAAGGGGTGCAGGGCTGGATCAAGGTTCTTATGGACTTTTTGAACGTCTTGACTGCGTTCTCGAGTACACTCAGAGGCAGATCTGTTGATAGTTTTGATCTTCATTTCCTAGTCAGAGAGTATTGCACCATCTGCTTTATTTGTGCTTGTGCTTCCACAATCTCTCATGCACTTTCTAAGAAGCAGTCTAAATAACAGCTTGTGCTTTTACGATATATCAGTGTGTGTACGATAGCGACTTGGGAGATGGCCTGGAACGCTACTGAATTGATTCAAGCAAGACACCTTTCCTGGCGCATGTGAATTTTACAATTGTGAATATAAATAGAATCTTTCAGGTTCAACGAGCGTATAGCACAGGACGATGCTGTTTCTTTCTCTCCTCACGGCCGCCCTCCAACATTTTGCACTAGCTTGAGCTTCTGCCTGATTTGGTGCCTTGGGAACAGCTGTCAAAAGGCGTTGCCTCCCGCGTGAGAAGCTTTGGGCCGAAACCCAGAAAGATTCTCAAAGCATCTCAGCTTCCGTCTACGTACTGCCAGATAGCAAGCTTGTGACTGATCAGAGGCATCGAGTTCTAAGCGCGGTGCCCGAGATCCGAAGCGCTGAGGGAGAACGAGCTGCCGACGAGCCTACCGCCTGGCCTGCAGGCTCCTTGCGCCTCCCTTGCGTCTTCCAGATTCAACAGGCGAGTCTCCTGTCTAATTATTCAGCCTTTGACAGTCCCGAGCTTGACAAGACGGTTTTCTCGAGCTGCGAGGAGCTGCGTCCTACCGCCATCTTGCAACATAGGTGCAGCGCTGTGTCGTGAGCCTCGTACCCACCTGTCATCTCTGGACGTATTTTGCGAGCTCAAGGTGACTGCATGCATTTGGGATCCGGATCAACAAATCCAAGAGGTGCAGAGACCGGCGCTGATTATTCACATAGCCATAGCAGCTCAAGCAATGCTTTCCAAAATGTCCTTTTGAGCGCGCTTGCGAGCCGCACAAGAGCGCTCCTGTGCTTTTTATATGGTTTCTGTGACTTGCGTAGGTCCGATTGCCCTGCAAGCTTTGAGCGAAGTCCTTGCCTTGTTACTCACCGTTGCTCGCTCGCTGTGCTTGCAGGTTCGTTTCCAGCCAAGCTGCAGTGATAAGACTTGAGCAACATAACTTCTACACTCAATTTTCCCTAAAGGAGACGTGATCGTTGCCTCACCAAGATACTGAAGGTTCCTGCCTTCCTTGTGTTTGCAGGACATTGGGGGCTGCAGGACGCTCAAGAAGAATAGCCATGAGTGGCAAATACAAAGCAGTCCTCTGCTGCATAGCAGGGCTGCTGCTGTGCTGCCGTCCTTCACTTGCAGAGGCTCTGAGGATATTCCCTAGCTCAGGTTGGTTTAGCCTTCACATGGTCACCTGACTAACTTGCAAGCACAGAATGTGATGCTTACATCCTCCATCTGTCGATGTGCACTGAAGACCTTTGCCAAATGCAGGCCATGTAGAGTTGCTCTATTCTGACACATGTGTTGCTGCAAAACAGGCCTCCCTGCCAGAGCTGCTGACTTCTCACAGCTGCCATTTTCCATCCCCATTGCAACAGCTGGTGGATTGCCGCCGCCACCCTATGGCTACCAGCCAGCTCCACCTCCCTACTACAGTCCTGGGCCCCCATCTTACGGTGCGGTACTGCCTCTATCCAAAATGCATACAGGCTGTGATCATGAGATTGCTGCTGGTCTGTTCTGTCAAGCATGTGCTGTTGACAGCTTTCACATGTTGCAGTCATCATCCTTACATCTGCACCAATCTGTTCATATGATCTTGCATTGCACTGAAACCATGAGCTGGCATGCATCGAGCTCTGGGAGTGTTGGCACCTGATCGCGCATGTGCTGCATTGCAGGCCCATCGCCCTACACACCGCCTCCCTACTCACCACCCCCCTACAGCCCACCCGCCTATGGTAAGCTCCGAGCTGATGTGATGAGTCATATTGTTGCATTTGATGTCCAATTCCCTCTGCAGCCAAGACCTTCAGTGGCAGGGGGCTTTGATCCTGCATACATGCCATGCATGCCCAGCGGGGCTGATGATTGTTGTTCCCCTTGGCCCTGGCCCCGCCATACAGCCCTCCCTCCCATGGTGAGCTTGAGACAGGTTGTAGCCAGAGCTGAAACACTTCACGTTACTGTGTATAGCTCAATAGCAGCAGCTGGCTATGTTGACATGACAAGCATCATGCTGCCTATCTTGTGTGTGCTGATGTGCCAGGTCCCCCATCTTACTCACCTCCTCCATCGTACTCTCCACCGCCACCGCCATACAGCCCTCCCACCTACGGTGCCCTCCTGTTCCCGCTTGGTTTCTGCAAGCCTGCGCATGGCATATTCCTATACGTTGCATGCGGCAGGATGGCACATGGCAGCCCACTCTGAGAACCTGCACTGCTTGTGACTGATTCTGCTTGCTGTGTGTGGCAGGGCCCCCATCTTACTCACCTCCTCCATCGTATTCTCCACCGCCACCGCCATACAGCCCTCCCACCTATGGTGCCCTCCTGTTCCCGCTTGGTTTCTGCAATCCTGCGCATGGCATATTCCTATATGTTGCATGCGGCAGGATGGCACATGGCAGCCCAGTCTGAGGACCTGCACTGCTTGTGACTGATTCTGCTTGCTGTGTGTGGCAGGGCCCCCATCTTACTCACCTCCTCCATCGTACTCTCCATCGCCACTGCCATACAGCCCTCCCACATATGGTGCCCTCCTGTTCCTGCTTGGTTTCTGCAAGCCTGCGCATGGCTTATTTCTATATGTTGCATGCGGCAGGATGGCAGCCCACTTTGAGGACCTGCACTGCTTGTGACTGAGTCTGCTTGCTGTGTGTGGCAGGGCCCCCAACCTACTCCCCACCGCCACCGCCATACAGCCCTCCCACCTATGGTGCCCTCCTGTTCCCGGTTGGTTTGCAATCCTGCGCATGCCATGTTCCTGATTGTCTTGAAGACCTGCACTGGTTCTGACTGAGTCTGCTTGCTGTTTGTGGCAGGGCCCCCAACCTACTCCCCACCTCCACCGCCATACAGCCCTCCCACCTATGGTGCCCTCCTGTTCCCGTTTAGGTTTGCAAACCTGTGCATGCCATGTTCCTGATTGTCTTGAGGACCTGCACTGGTTCTGACCGAGTCTGCTTGCTGTTTGTGGCAGGGCCCCCAACCTACTCCCCACCGCCACCGCCATACAGCCCTCCCACCTATGGTGCCCTCCTGTTCCCGCTTGGTTTGCAATCCTGCGCATGCCATATTCCTGATTGTCTTGAGGACCTGCACTGGATCTGACTGAGTCTGCTTGCTGTGTGTGGCAGGGCCCCCAACCTACTCACCTCCTCCTCAGTACTCCCCACCGCCACCTCCACATAGTCCTCCCACCTACGGTGTGTCCTTCTGTCTGCTGCTCTCCCGTGTTTTGCTTTTGAGCTGAGCTGCGCTGCTAGCTGAAGCGGCATGCATGCGTTCACTGGATCACTGGGGTGATTTGCTGCTGCAACAGGGCCGCCGCCTTACACACCTCCTCCCTGCCACTGCCCGCCCCCCTACAGCCCGCCACCCTATGGTGAGTTTCACTGGTGCTGCACTTACTTATGAGGATAGATGTGCATGAGAAAGAGTAGCAGCAGCTGGACCCTTTCAATTGATTGCGTCCTTGTTCATGGTCGGAAAGTAAACGCTTGTTGCTGTGGCGGGGGCGGTGGGTAGTAAGGAGGTGGCCCTGTCGGGGCCGTCAGGGCCGCCTTCTTACTACCCACCGCCCCCTCCACCATGCAGCCCACCCACCTACGGTGAGAACCTGCTGTGCTTTGCTCCTGCGCATCTTCACCAATGCAGATCAGCGCTTTCACCCGACATGCATGCATGGATCCTGATGGCAGAGAGATGATAACATGAATGCATGGCTGTCTGCTGCACAGGGCCGCCGCCTCCGTCCTACTCTCCTCCACCACCCCCGTCCTACTCTCGACCATCGCCTCCGTCCTACTCTCCACCATCGCCACCATCCTACTCCCCACCGCCGCCCCCGTCCTACTCTCCACCATCGCCTTACTCACCACCGCCGCCCCCGCACAGTCCTCCCACCTACGGTGATTCTGTGCCTGCTCTGCACAGTGCTTCTGTTTGAGTTTACGAAACATGCAAGGGGACTGCTGAATTTACCATTCAGCAGAATGAAATTGCTGTCAGCATGCCTGGATGATGATGCCTTGTGTGCTCATGTGCCAGGGCCGCCGCCTTACTCATCTCCCCCTTCCTACCTTCCGCCCCCGCCGCCGCACAGCCCACCCACCTACGGTAAGCGACTCAACTGATCCTGCATGCGTTTGCTTGACTGTCTAACATTTGGCCGTGCAGCACCCTGACGCTGTGTGCTTTGTGATCCAGGGCCGCCCTCATACAGCCCTCCTCCCTACTACTCACCGCCCCCCTACAGCCCACCAACCTACGGTAATTCTTCTGCACCCTTCTCGTTGCTGCTGCTTAACATGACCTGCATGTTGCAGCAAGGCATGATGCAGTCAACAAGTCTGAAGAGACCCGGCGCCTACCAGCCCTTGCGGCCGCAGAACCAGCCGCAGCCGCTGTTGTGTCAACCCCGGCAACAGCGCCTGCTCTGACCTGTGGGTGTGTTGCCTGTGTTAGGGCCGCCGACATACGGGCCTCCTGGCGGCTACTCGAGCCCACCGCCCCCGAGCTACGGTAAGCCTCATCTGCAGCACCTTCATCCTGCCCTTGCTGTATCGATAAGGAGATGCTGCAGGGAAGCAGAATGTACAACATGCAAGGCTTGCATGCTGTTCAGCGCATTGTGCAGTATCATTGCACAGCTGACTCACCTTCGTGCATGCATTGACAGGCTCGCCTCCGCCCTACGCGCACAGCCCGCCCCCGCCCCCGTATGGCCAGGACATCCCTGCCCAGTATTACGTCAACCAGAGCTCAGGTGCGCTCACAGACAATGCTCTCAGTCCAGACCTTGCCCTGCAAAATGCAGCTGCCTGCCGTTTCATGCAGCTGCAAGAGACGTTGACATTGTAGATGAGGCACACCATGTCATGAGGCACACCATGTCAGCAACACATATGTTCAGATGAGCTCAATTCCTTTGGTGCACTGTGCAGGATTCTCCAGCTCTGCGTGAGTCCTCAAGAAGCAGAAGAAGCGCTCCTGTGATGTGAAGGTCCCCTGAGGTCGCATTCGTTTTCGTTCAGTCTTGCAGTGAAATTCCTTCCGGTCAGGTCCTCATGTGTTCAGCGTTCTATTTACACTGCTGCAGGACTCGCTAGATTGCAGAAGCTTTTCCATTCAAGCTTTACAAACGTATGAACCGCTTGCAGCATTTCATCAACAGCTGAGATTTCCAGATGTTACCTTGTTGCCAATTCATGATCTGTAAGAGACTTTGTCGCTCACAGCAGGCAAATAGCATGTTCTGATTGATTTGCTTACTCTCCTGGAACACCCGTCTGCAATGGCAGAACTTTGTCAATTGAAAGGTTGCAGCAAGCCTTGGCCTAACCCAGGGCTTATGGTGTGTCAAATACAGCCACTCATACAGATCACCAGAACCTGCTGTGTCACAGCGTACAGCATTGAGCACAAACTTTACACTACTGATGCAGCGCGGCTGCGCACCCCATACCAGATTTTATTTGCCTTCCTATATACAAAAGACAACAAACAAACTCTTGTCCCAGCTGAGTGTCATCGCTGCACGTAATAGGCTGTCCAGGATGTCAGCCTCAAGCATGACAACGGAAACCTTCCTGCACAACCTTCTTCATCCATTCCCAAGTCTGACTAATTAACACCTACATTGCAGACTTCCTTGCGCTACGAACAATGTCACGATTTGGGGTGACAAAGACAAAGCCTGAAGAAACAGCTGTACACGCTCCTTGTCAGACCCCGTAAAGACAGTTCTTGCTTTTGCAGTGCAGTACTTCCACCTGGTCACGCCTTGAAAACATGACTAGATCAGAGATTTCTATCATCCAAAAGGATTGTCCTCTGCCTTGAACGAGGTGCTGCGGCTGTTGAGCCACGCACTCGGGCTGGTCCTGCGCTGCAGCGACGTCATCTTGCACAGCTCCGGGGCGCCGCCGTCGTCCGCTGATGTCACATGCAGCGGCTGACCTGGCGCTGGCGCTGACGCGGGCCACGCCCCCACGGCCCCCCGCTCCGGCAACGGCACCAGCGACTGCCCCTGCCGCTGAGTCAGCGCCACGTCGCGCGGGGGCGATCCCGCCGCGGTCTGCCCCTGCAGCATCTCGCGCACATTGCTCGGCCGCTGCGGCAGCCGCGGGCGGTTGCCGGCCGCGGAGGCATCGCCGCCGTCTGGGTGCCCTGGGCCGGCCCCGGCCGGGGACGGCGGCGCCGGCGGCGTGGCCGGCGGCTCCTCGGGATAGGGAGTGTAGCTCGGCTGCGGCGGCGGCGGCATGGCAAAGGGCAGCAGCGAGTCCCGGAAGACGCTCCCAGGAATTAGCACCGGCCCCGGCAGTGACTTCGACCGCAGGAAGGAGCCCACCTTCGTCGACAGATCCTGCCAAACCCCACCAAAAGTCTTCAGTCCTCAAAGACACACCCAGCAAACGCTGTCTGCAGGTCACAATGTTCATACTTTCAGCATCCTAGCAGTGCACAGCATCCCAGGGGTATCAAGGACCTCTGCTGAATCAAGTCATTATGGGTGCAGGTCTTCATATGCAACCGATTCTGGGTTACCTCCGGCAGATGTTGCAGTGTTTGTCTCCGGCCGTCGGAGCTGTCGAGGCTGGTGTCCTCCGAGATAGAGCTCAGGCGGCCGCTGGCGAGGCTGCTCGGGGGGCGCCTAATCATTCCCCCCATCCCCAGCTCTATATCCCCCTGCTGCGATGCCATCCCCCCTCCTCCGCCACGGCCAGGCTTGGGCGGCAATCCGCCTAGCTGCTGCCCAGTCATGGGGATGTCCTCCCGCTGCTGGCTGCCCGGTGCGCCGTCAGAGGAAGACTTGCGGCTGGGGAGGCGGTCTGTGCCGCCGCACAGGCTGCTGTGTATCTGGTGCGCCGCCTCTGGCCTCAGATCCATGTACATGCTCGCCACCTGCATGAATGCCTGAAGCTTTGAAGCCGTGAAAGAGAAGACCTCAGCATGCAGGAGCCACATTGACTGCAAACGCATGCCCAAAAGTGATGAAATGCAAGGATGCATGCGAGGGCGTGATGGCCTGGAGCATTGTGAGGTTGCTCAGCTCTTCCAAGCGAGAGAGCTGCTCCTAGAATTACAACAAGGTACTTCGGTAGCTCTCATCAAAATTCGCATGGTGAAGAGTCCAGACATAATGCCCTCTTAGCAAGGCCATAACGTTGCTGGCAGAAAGGACGTCCAAAACGTGGGTACAACAGGAGGACATGAAACAGAGTAGCTAGGGGAATAAAATAAAGGCACTGACCTGGCGGGCGAGGTTGGTGGCGGTCTTCGCTGCGATGGCGAGCGTCTCGACATGCATGTTGTAGCCTGCCTTCATGGGCTCCCGCTCCAGCGCCGCCTGCAGCTCCACAGCTGATGCGCACAGCCGCTCCATCTTCTCACGCGCATAGTCCTCTGCGCACCACTGGGACCAAATAATAAGACACACTGTACTTCTGTCAAGACTGAGAAAAACTCTCATGCATAGTCCTCTTCTCCATCCTTGCATGTCAAGTGAAAGGACGCCTTCCTGACAGGGGTCAAGAGGGGTCAATCCTCAAATTCAGGCCTTGCAGGGCAAGACGTCATCAATGCATCTGTGCCTGCCAGCATCTGCGTCTGCCAGGTCCTAGGAAGTTCATCTGAGTGAGACATCGAGAACGCTTGATCAGATCCATCTGAAATGAAAAGGTGCAGGACTCGAGCTATGAGATGTGTCTTGTTGGCCTCAAGGCAATCCCAGCCAGGTGTTGTTTGATGAGCAGGACAACCATGTTTACGCTATACATTGTTTGAGATTGCATGTGGCTTTTGGAATATGGTGGTTTTGCTGATCAATATCTGCACCTGTCTGGGATGATGTCAGTGGACAAATCCCAACCTGTATAGTAGAGTACCAAAAAAAATCATGCACTGACCGCAACCCCTCTTGTATGCTCTGTCGTGCTGTCTGCCCACTGGTCACCTTATAATCAGCAGTGGAAGCAAGTCCATGTTGTCTGCCCGTGGTGAGCTCAGCCTCTTGACCTAGTCGTCAGCAGGTACTTGTACAAGGGAGGAAGGTGCCCAGTGGGGCCCTACCGGACAGCATGCCCAGAGCTAGCCCCGAAGTCCTTATACATGTCTGTCTAGATGCATGGACAACATCCCAACATGTGCTCCATTGAGCAGGGTGAGGGGCTCCACCTGAGAGCGTGCCGAGGACGAGGCCGGAGAGGGCGGTGAGGGAAGCCGCCACATTTTGGCGAAGCTCCTCTAGCAGCGGCCGGTACACGACGCAGAGCCCCAGGCGCAGGTGGCCGCTCTCCATGCTGTGGTGCAAGCTGCCCAGCGCCGTCAGAATGCGCGCGCACAGCCTGCAGCAGCAGCATTCTCAGCATGAGCATGCGTATGAGTATGGCCTTGAAGGCGTGAAATTCCAAGAGATGCATGTGCGGCAGCAACAGGCCTCCACTGGTCCAGGGCTGCTGCTCAAGGACAGCAATGGACGAAGAAGGATGATGAATTGGACAGAGCAGCCGCATGCATGCAGTGAATCTAGACAAGCATGTGCATTGCTGATGGAGTAAGTGAGGTGTTCCACATACTGTTTACAATTATGTGGAGGGACCAACAGTCAGGCAGTAGTTGCTGCACCCGATTATGCGCAGGCAGACTAACATAGAAAGGATGCTCCTGTCAGCTCAAGGCAGCACCAACAGCACCAGGGCGTCTGCGCACCGGTGGATGGTCTTGTAGGTTGAGATGGGGAAGCGCGGCTTCGTGAACTTGAGGTAGCGCGTCTCGGCGCGCGCGGGCGCGATCAGCTCGGCCACGTCCGACACGTCCTTGAGCAGGTGCAGGTGCGCGCGGTGCAGCCCATCGAGCGCCTGCTGCAGACCGTTGTCCACATAGTGCTGCTGCACATCCGTGCCCGAGCTGCCGCGCATGCGCATGCCCTCGTCCGGCTCCTGCGCGAGATGTAAATCTAGGTTCCCGGCTTATCTTTGACAGGGATACTGCCTCAAAAGATTGGGGCCAGGATCATAGTGCTTGTGCAGGGTGCAGATGGAGCCACGGCAAACGAAACGTGCACAATTTGAATAGCATGCTCCGGGAACATACTATCTGGATGCGCGGGTGCCACCTAGAGGGTCAGGCCACTTAAATAAAGCCAGAGTGTCTCTGTCACAGCTACATCTACACCCTGACATGGGCGTTGTGCACTCAGCGGCGCCCCTTGCCTCTCACCCAGTTGCAATCGCAGGAGCCAAAACACAAACTTAATTTCAAACTTCGAATTTGAAAATCAGAGCATGCGCACCTGGCAGAACTCGCCGAGCAGCTGGAAGGCAAGATTGCCCAGATTCTCCAGGATGTGCGCAGTGCTTTTGCGCAGCCGAGTGCGCGCGCGAACCGGGAACACGACCGCGGCCGACAGCACGGTCAGCAACACGCCGATGCAGCCGCACAGCGACAGCTTCAGCCGCTCAACGTATCGCTCGTCATTTGCCCTGAACCCTGCGCGCGGTATTCCAATCTATTATTATTAAGTTTTCAAGACCTGTTGGGAGCCCCCTGAGGCTCATCGCCCATGAAGGGATATTTCGCAAATTATCTATCATTCTTCGTTGAGTGACTGTAACAGAGCGGAGGTGAACTCCCTCAATGGTTTACTGTCCTGACTTTTGCCACTTCTTCCACTCAGGGAGTCTACCTCCACCATTTCATAGTCAAGCTCAACTGCACCAAATCTTGTGCAGGTTTACCACTTCTGCACAATATCCAAGACGTCTCTTGCGTGAATAGCTGCTATCTGGTCAAGGTTTCTAGATGGGCATCAATGACAGGAGGGAAGTACTCGCAGTGTTGGATCGGTGCAGGCCACACCTGGTATGGCCACAAGGGGGAAGGTGAGCAGAGCGACTGAGTAGCCGTACTCCAGTCGCCGGAAGCGCTCCTTGTTCAGCTCGAGCACAAAGCCCACCAGGGCCATCAGCACGCACAGCCACACCGACTGTGCACCCAACACAGTTGATACTAAGAAAATAGATTGTGAATGAGTCCACATTGCATGCTACACACCTCATGACCTCTCCATGCGCCTAGAAAGGGCACAGCAAACTGTCCACACTGTCTGGTTTGATGGGGTGAATCATGTTGTTGCGGTACAAGTGAAAAGTACAAAGACACCTCAGGAGTCTGCTGATTGTGAACGACCAGGCCGCTCCCATCCAATTGAAGACTGAGGGTCACTATGGGGCTCTCTGTTCTCTCATCCTTCGGCATAGAACATTTGTGCATGTAGTGCTGGAGGCATGGGTAATTGCCAAGTGCGTTGGGGGCTGCGCACCATAGTGACAGGGTGTGTTTCGTACGAGTAGCCCAGCGCGAGCCCGCTGATGAGGGCAATGATCATCATCCCGAGTGCGCCGCCCACTATCGACCCCAGCAGGCCTATGACGGCGTTGCTGAGGGCTGAGCCAACATTGGGGCTGAATGCCACCACTGCAGAGAGCATGCACAGGTGCCTTCAGGACTGTACAAGGAAGACATGCTGGTAGAGGGATCAGAAAGGAAGCCACATGCATGCTTTGGAGAGACAGATTGACAAGGGAGCTTGCCTACGGTGATGACAATCCAGACAGCGTACTCTCCCAGGAAGTTGTAGAGTGGATCGATCACCACAAACAGCATAGCTGCGACGATGGCCACAGCCATCTGTTTGACAGCCATTCATGGGGAAAATCAGTCATTTCCCCTTGTTGCGTTCGCGCAAGGTCTGAAGTTGACATATTGTGCGAAGAGACAAGGGTTTTCAAGAGAAGATCGCCATTCTATAGCGAACAAGGTAGTCCCACCTGCCCAGCAATCCGAAAGTGCTCTGACCTGTACCCAAGGGCCAGGCATCCCTTCTTTTTGTTCTTCTTTTGTGGCGTCGGCATGGCTCGATCACCTTGTTGTCAATTCAGATGCGACACGAAAATCGAACACCTGTTTCTCAAAGAAGCAATACAGCAGTTCGGCATGGTATCCGGGTTCATTCGCTGCCCGCGTTGCAAGCATACGTGCGCTCTGCATTGGTACGCATATTTGAAACATTAGTTATCTTGTATGTTCTCTCATAAATCCCCCCACGACATCCAGTTTCGCTCTATGTTGTGCAACCGAACTTGGCTAGTATCCTGCAGGCAGCTTCACGGAGCAAACGCCCAGGTGCTTGTCTCCGAATGACATGCCAAAGCAAGGAGCCTGATAACATCGCGCCCGGTATCACTGGCAGCAAGCTGATTTTCCACCATCGTCACTGGGAGTGATTCATGTTGCTGAAGAAGTCAAAACCTGGCCTCGGTGGTGGGTCGCTAGTCAGGGTCTTGTGGGGTCGCGAACACGTAAAAGTCGATACCAAATCAGATTTCAAACATGTGGCGCATGTGTCAAATCTTAGGGTTAGGTTTATCCAGAAGCAGCGCCCTTCGTGTCGACCCCCTCTCCCCAAAAAATATCTCTGGAAAATTCGCGAACCAGGAAACAAATCCCAGGGAATGTCGAAGGTGCTCTAACACAGCGAACATAACGATGAACACGACGCAGACACTAGGCTCCAGCCGAGCCTTGTTGGGCTCGGGCTTTGAGGCGCCCAGCAGGTTGGCTCCCAGGAATGCGTACCGCAGGTACTCATGTCCCTCGGTCATGGGCTCCGCTGCTGCCGTGCCCCTGCCCACCGTGAAGGAGGACCAGACTTCCAACTTCTCCTACGACAAGGTCAAGGCGTTCACCAGCGGTGCGTTGCGGCGCCCTCTCTGACCTGCAGTGCTCAGCTACCCAGCAGCTCGCGCTGCATGTCATTGACGTAGTTTTGTTGGTGATGCCTCTGTAAATACCTCTCCTTACCCTTTAACAATCTCTGTGGTTCCTGTAAGCTTATTGGACGCGCTTCCTGCCCTGAAACAGGTGTGGGCTTCGTGGTGGGTGATGTGCTGGCGCAGTCCATCACCGGTACACCCAACCTCGATGTCTTCAGAAGTGTCCAGCTGGGCGCCATTGGTTCAGCCCTGGACATCTTCCGCCAGGACCTGGCCGGCAACGCTGGTGGGCACGGAGAGCGTATTGCCAAGGCGGCCAAGACAGTGAGCAACCAAGCGATTTGGGGACCTATTGTGGCATGCACCTTTTACGCCGCCCTGAAGGTGGCCGAGGGGCAGCCGGGGGAGATCCTACAGGGCGTCGAGGTGTGCCTCTCGTGACGAGCTGGGCAGGCTAGCGCTGTTGGTGTCGAGTACTCTGACCTTGCTTCTCGGCAGCTTCCAGGGCATGCGGTCGGCTTGGAATGGTTGTTGCGATGCTTTTGCTTTCATCACTCGCATAGTTTGGCCTTCTTCAGCCTTCACCAGCATTCCCACGGCCAGTCTGTGTCATGATTGCATGCTTTACGGCTGATGTCAGGGCACATGGGGCGGTCACTGAACCTCGATGGTTTGCCAAGTTTGTTGTAGGAAAGCAAGAGATTGCTGATCCGGCTCTTCTTATGTGCTGCAGGACAAGATGACAGCCCTGGTGATGGCCAACTACTTCTTGTGGCCCCTCACCCGCTACCTCAACGACACCTTCGTGCCAGCGGAGCATCGCGTCACAGCCAACCACATCATCACGGTGCGGCCCTGGAGGTTGAACATGGAGAGGCAATAGACTGCTTGCTGTACAGCATTGAGAAAATAGCCGTTAAGGCGGTGCAGATCCTATCAATCTGTCCCTCTGTCCCGTGCCGAGGATTTGAGTCTGATGGATGCATTTGCGATGTTACAGGTGGTGTGGAATGCTTGGCTGTCCACTCTGGGCCACGCGCCTGTGGTGGACCCCACCGACGTCCTGCACAAGATGGGCGGTGAGAGCGCATTCAACCACATCTCAGAGCATGTGGCACCAGCCCTGGCTGACATGGGCGCTGCTGTGAGCCATGCTGCCAGCCCCTTCATCCATCAGGCCACACAGGTGCGCACCTGCTGTGTTGTACTGCACACATATTTTTCCTGAAGCAACTCTGAAGGTTTCTACTTTCTATGGTGACCACTGCCCAAGCATGCAACCTGCAATTTGTCTGGTGTGTCCTGATTTTCTGACAGCTGGCTTCATTGGACATGTGCAGGGTGTGGCGAGCCTGGCAGACCGCATGCCCTCCTGTCTGCTGGAGAAGGCTTTCAGCAAGTCCCTGGACGTGCTCTCACCCTTCTCTGGAGTGGAGCGCTCTCCCTCACAGCTGCTGGACGCTGCTGCCTCCATCTCTTTGGACCGCACTGGCACCCTGGAGCTTGTCTTGGACCGACTGCACAGCACCCGCCTCTGAATTTGTACCAAGCCATGAGAGCGCAGCTGCCAATGCTGCCATGTATGCTAAGTAGTATTTCTTGATCCGAACTGGACCTGATCGGCACTGGCACCAAGTGCCCGAACAAAGATGTGCCTTTGGATCCTCAGACTGGGTAGACTAGGAGTGCATTCGCAAGTAGCCGCTTTCTGATATATAAGGAGTCTAGTTCAACCTGTCACATAGCAGTTTTAGAGGTTTGCATGTGTGCAATTTCAAGGATGGTGGCTTGCAAGCTGCCGCTTGACCCCGCTCCTACAGAAAGCTCCACCTTGGCTGGGAGCGCAGTGATGCAGGGGCAAGTGTCTGCATTCTTTATGATGGATCCCCTTGCGTCCGCAGTTTCCACCAGGATAAGGCTGACAGTAGCAAGGGAAATTTATTTGAAGTCATGAAGGTCTGCAATCTAGTTGCAGGCATCATGCGCACTCTCACAAGAAGATCTGCAACGTATTGTTGCAGATCTTGTGGGGCATATTGAAGTGTTGAGAAGAACATGGAATGGTCAGGCAAGGCATGAATCAATGTGAATGTCTAGGAAGAACACTGTCTGGGGTCTGGGACAGTGAGGGATTGCACCAATTCAATGCCTGTCAAGCCTAGTAGGGGAAATGATGGGCTCGCATATGCGTGGCACTGTCAGGGAATCAAGGCTGTAAGGTGTTGGCAAGTAAGCTCAACCGCCTCGAGATAAGTTATTTTCACATGCTGTGAACATGTATTTTCACGATGAGACAGTGCATTCCAAGCTTCACTGGCAGTGCCCTCATGAGGGTGTTGCGGCGGACACTGGCATCAGTCCTCAGCATGCGCATTTCAAACACTATATTATGATGCCACCAGAAATACAATTGTAATCTTCGAGCCTGACGTCAAAGTGTCATTGAAAGACATCACGGAACAGTTGGGATTTTTTGACGCTCTGATCTGGTCAGGAACGTGCAGGCAGCTGTCAATTTTTCAGCCCAAATCGGGCAACAGCAACCTCGACAATTGCATGCAAGCATCTTTCATCCGCATGTTAGAGAAAGAGACTCAAGGAGAGGTGGTTGAGAACTAAGTAGATTTCCTAAAAATCCTATTGGTTTCTAAAACTGTTGTTCAGTGTACTAGAGCACCTGGGACTTGGAAGAGGTATCATGCCGAAACATCTGACCAAGCCGTTTGCATCGTCCATCGTGACCTCGTCTGATATAAAGCCATACAGAAAGCATCACGATAAACGCTTACTTTGGAAAATAAATCGCATTGTAGCCAAAGCAGATCATCACATCCAGAAGACTTGTTGTTCGGCAACAGGTGTGTATTCCTTCTGAGCAGAGTGCTCTTCTGAGTCTCACAAGGACTCAATGAAAACTTCTTTGTATCTTTGGTATGAAAGAAACTTCAAAGGGATGTGTATAGCTTTCTTATAGAAGACCTGCACGATATAATATTCCTGAGATCTTCTGAAGATCTGGTACTTCAGCGTGTCCTGCGATCTGTCTTACACATCGACGAACCAATGTCGGCCTGAGGCTGTTTTTACATTAAATGTCGACCAGATAAAATTGCTTGTTTGGCTTAAGTGAGGCAATGGCACTCGAACATGTGGGCCTTATCATCTTGCTCTGTGCATGAATTTGTATCGTCCTTGCCGCAGCTGCATCATCCAGGAATGGAGCAAGCGCTAGCTCTGGTGCAGTGGAGTCGACATTGCTGGATGCCGATGTGCTCTCGCTGCTGGAGGCTGTCCAAGCAGGCCGGCTGCAGCCAGATGCAGCTGCCATGCAGCTGCGCGAGCGCAGTGCAGGTTACCAGCAGGTGACCCATGCTCACACCATATACACTCTCACAGGAGCTGAAAGGCAACATCTGCAATGCCATATATGTATGCGCTCTTCCCACAAGCTGAAAATGCATGGTGTCCTGCTGCAGCGCTGCGGTGGGGGATGCTGGCTGGAAGCGCTGTGACACCAAGGATGATGGGTGTGTTTGCAGGTGCTAGACTTCGCGCAGGTTGACAGCTGGAGAGCGCAGCGTACAGGGTTCCCGGAAGTGGTGTATGGGGCGGGAAAGCCGGCAGAGCAGATCGCTGCGATCATGCAGCAGCTTGCAAAGAATGACCAAGTCGCCATGGCCACACGCATTGAGCCCGAGGTGGATCCCTGCAAATTGGAATTCTCGTTCGTGCTTGTATGATTCTCTCATGCATGCTCGCAATATATGCCTGTTTCTGACAGGCAGTCATCATTCACTCACTGCCTGTAATGACAGAGCCTTTGGTCTGCCGGTGCGGCTGCTGATTGCGAGATTGTGTTTGTCTGCAGATTTTTGAGCAGGTGCAAGCGCTGCTCCCAGAGGTTGTGTACAACAAGCCAGCGCGTATCCTGACCCTGCGAGCTTCCGGCGTCAGGAAGCAACCAAGGCTGCCAGGTCTGTCTCCTCATCATTGCCGTCACACACTGCCTTGTTGCCGGCACCCCACACATGCCAGCCAAGCAGTGGCAGACGACTTCCTCTTGAGATTGCACAGGATGTTACATACACATGGGGCACAGTCTCAAGCTCTGATTTCACCGGGGACATATGGCAAACAGCAGCATGGTTTCAACAGGCACGGTTGCGATTATCTCGTCCGGCACATCGGACGAATTGGTGGCAGAGGAGTGCCGAGCCACAGCGGATTTGATGGGCTGCTACTGCTTCCGGCTGTCTGATGTCTCTGTGGACGGCCTACACAGGATTCTGCACAACCTACCAGGTGCCTTCAGAGCCCCAGCAGTCCCGTAGTACTCTCCTTCCCTGTTTCTGCAGCCTCCATAGCTCTCTGTTTCCTTCCTCTGTTTAGCTGCCTTTGTTTGCCAATATATGGTACTGATCACTGTAAACCCGGCACAAAACAGTTATATTTGGCCAAAAATAGGGTTGAGGACAGGTGCGAGATCTTCACTTGCCACTATGGGTAGTCAGCGATGATATACTGAAGGCGGGTATGCGTGTGTGTGGCTGCAGCGGTGAGGGCGGCTGATGTTGTGGTGGTGATCAGCGGCACAGACGGCGCATTGCCGGCTGTTGTGGCCGGTCTAGTGGAGGCCCCAGTGGTTGCTGTGCCCACCTCTGTCGGCTACGGGGCAGCTCTCCAGGTGAGCTTTGCGCTTGCGTTGTCAATGCAAGCCGTGCTTTTGGCATGCAATGTAGGTTGCTGGGTGCGTGCTGCATGCACACTTCAGGCAGCAGGTGCTGCAGTGGGCTGTCAATCTTGTCCTATTAACTAGAAATCAATGGCTGAGCATTTGCTCGATTGGCATCTGATCATGTCATCATCTTGGCCACTGTTGCACCGTGACATTTGCTTGCGCGTGGAGCATAGTACATTAGACGGAATTTTGGCCATTCAAAATGATCAGCCACGGTCGCAGGCACAGGCAGCATAAATAAATAATGGGCTGATGCGCAGGGTCTGACCCCGCTGCTATCTGCACTCACGGCTTCGTCTCCCGGCGTGTCAGTCGTCAACATTGACAACGGCTTTGGGGCCGGCATGCTGGCGGCGCGCATCCTACGGACTGCAGCCAAGCTGCGAGCCCAAGCAGCGGCCGCTACTGCAGCCAGCTCATACCCCCACGCCTCCTAATGGTCCCTCAGCAGCCTGTGTAGCCCCAGAGTGATCCTGCTTGAAGAGGGCGTGAGAGACTGTGCGCCACAAGTGATCATGACAGCATAGCAACTGCTGCCAGACCGCTCAGCAGATGCCTTGAACAGGAATGTGAAGCCAATTGCAGCCGTTGTAGTCCATCAGTTGAGCATCCTACTACTCTGGGGGTATGTACAGGGTAGTGCGTTTGGCGCAGCAGTGCATTTGGTACCTTCAGATCAGGAGGTGGAATTGAGAAGATCGGTGTTTGAGAGAGGCAGTCTGCATGAGGGTATTTATGAGAAGAGCGCCTCTTGTTTTAACATAATGAGAGGATTCAGAGCGTAGGCAGAGGTCAAGCACAGACAGAAATGGATGTTGGTGATGGGTGCGTCATTGCAAGCACCACCACTTGGAGACTTGGTGTCTTGCAGGACGAGGCGATTTTGGTACTGTATCTCAATAAGTTGCACACCTCTGATATAAGTCAAGCAGTTGTGTTGGGATTTGCAGGAGAAATATTGCGTCGCCTTTGGCAGATCTTGCACATCTGTCTTCCAGGAAGGCACCAAGAATTGCGCTTGAGAGTAAAAGCAAGCAGACAGTGGGTTCCGCTCGTTTACCCTGAGCAGGGGTAAGCCGATGATATCATCCTAGATCAACGGCCTGATCAGCAGTGCAGTCTAGAACACTGCATTGTCAGGTCAAGTCCCGGCGTGTCTCACAATCAGCTAGATGTTCAAGGCACTTTCTAGGTGTGAGTCATCATCAGGTGAGGTGAGGAGAGGTGAGAGTGTGAGGGGCTTACTTTGTCCAAGGGCTGCAAGGCTAAAAAGCGGGGTAACCAGGCGTCACTGGTCACAACGTCAACAATTTGTCTCGCTACGTATGAATTTTTTTATAATGAGAAGATCATTCAGAGAGCTTGTGCACGTGCGTCATGTATTTCTTGCCTGAGGGATTCTTTTTTCAGTGCCTAGGCCTGGCTGGTGCACCATCTGGGGGGCACTCCAGCTAACGGTGTCATTGATCATTATCATCTGACGGTGTCAGACTGACACTGATGTATTCACTGCACCTGTGTGCAGCCTAGGGTTTTGGCGGTTTGTCAACCATGGTCACAGGATAGATGGCCATTTAGATGGCCGTGCTACACAACTGCAATCCGTGTAATGCATGATCAATGTGACAGCCCGTAGAGTCTACGGCGTAGACTGGAGATGATTTTGACCTGACACATGACTCCCCGTGCGGCCGCTGGCGATGCGGCATTATTTCTGAAGCAGGTTCCCTGCACGCGTGTGCAGTAACGCGAACATTCGATTACTTGCCACCGCCTGTGCCGGGGCACAGACCCGTAGCTGTCGGCGGCCGCCGCCCTGATGACCAGGGTGCGGCACCCTGCTGGGCGGCGGCTTAATATGTCTCAACAGTTTGTTGGGCTGAACCGGCATGACAGTTTTCAGATCACTAGAGCATCCTGTGGAGTAATATTTGAGGAAAGTGTTAAATGAGGATGCAATGTTCATGTTCCAGACGGAGACAGCCCATTTCACAGCCCTCCTCGAATGGCGCCGTTGGAGACATGTACGCTGACAAATTCATGGACTCTAGCTTGGGATGCTGACAATAGCAATGCGTGCAGGGCCCAGAAATGTGAATCCTCGAGAAGAAATCGTAGGGAGGCTTTTGCTTTGGTTGGGTCGGGTGACTTGTGCTCTGAGGTTGCGTCCGGTGATCAGATCCCGTTGCCTTGGAAATGCAGAAGGTCATGAACATGGCATCAAGGGACATGGGAACTCAGATGCCATGCAAAATCTTGCACAATTTAAAGATCTCCATCGACGTCCAATGACTTGAAGAAACGAACCCTTTCGGCCACAATTGTTTGCGGCATGCTTCCAAAATACAACTGATGCTCGCTCTTAAATGGGAACTTCGATACTTTTCCAGGCAAGCTCGTCTTATTGTGGGTCTCTATCACTGGTGTTTTTGCGCTCAGCACTGGCCAAAGCTGGAAACGATGTCTGCACAGCAGGAACGCATGCCGTGCTTTACAATCGCTTCTTTTAAAGATCGCACCATCCGCAAGCTTATTGCAGTGGTCATCTTTATCCTGTTCAGATGACTTTTTGCCGAGTTTTCATGATGTGCAAAATGAGTATCTTGACTTGATCGGTTTGATGTGCCAGGTTGTCGAAAGGCCAGCCACATCCTTAGTCTCGACACTGCTGACAGCAGTGTACTTGTACATCACATCCCATGGAATCGGGTATGCAGATGTGGGCCTCAATTACGACCAGGCAGTTCAGAAGCTTGAGCTTTGGAGGGTCCTCACAGCACAGGTCAGCCATGTTGAGCTGCTGCACCTGCTGTTCAATCTGAGCACATTGTGGTCGCTCGGAGTCATTGAAGAGAGCAATGGGAATGGAGCCAAGGGTGGCACCCGTTACTACCTGCAGACATCCCTTGTGCTGCTCATCTTCTCAGGACTGGTGAGTGACTTGCTTTGATCACGCGTTCTAGTCTTCAGAAATGGATTATCTGCCCAATTCATGAGCCGTCTTCTATTTAGCCTGCTCTCTGGACACTGACCCATCTTACTTGATGAGCTGATGATTGATGGCTGTGACACAATTGCAGGTCTGTCTTTTGTTTTATCATGTCTTGGGGGTAGTCCTTCGGCGGGAGCAATACCACACTGTGACAACCGTTGGCTACAGTGCAGTTATTTTTGGGTGTGTGCCGATCCATGATTCTCACACCTTAATGCTTGCACAAATTGCATCATGCATTTCTTGTGCAAATACCCCCACCATACTCATTTGCGACAATGTTCAATTTATGACATGGCAGAGTATGCTGATCTCAGTCTTCTGCAGCGTTATGAAGTTCATAGTTTTCAGGAACCTGAATAACATACTGACATGTCGTCAATTCAAGTAGATGTCACTAGTAATACCGTTGTGGAGGGAAGTGTTGTGGAAAACTTCCTGTCATGTTGCAACTAATATGCGCAAGTGGGTGCAAGCAGGTGGATGACAATATTGTCTCGGACTGGAGTGGCGAGTTTCAGCGTGTTTGGGCTGGCAAACATTCCCATGTGGCTGACGCCGTTTGCCTCCCTCGTACTTACATCAATCATCATCCCAAGAGCCTCCTTCCTTGGGCACCTCAGCGGCATTGTGGTTGGGTTCATGGTGAGACCTATGAATCTGTAATGCCTTTCAGCATTACATCTTAAATATCAAGTGTGTCTGCAGTGTTTCAGATGGTCAATTTAATAGTTCCCTCAGTTGCAGCCCAGCTCTTGCATGCACAGCACTGACTGCTTTACAATCAAATTGAATGGAGTCTCACATCAGGTTTTGTCCAGACGAGATGTCCATATCTGCAGGCAGAGGATCTCATGGCTGATGCAAATCCCTCTGCCTGTGAAATTCTCAGGTGGCAAGCGGGGTCTTTGATTGGCTGACGCTCTGGTGGCTGGGCAGCCTGCTGGCTTGGAGTGGAGCTCTGTTGGTGTTTCATCTGGTGAGGATTGAGCGTTTGGAGGTGCCCTGGCTGCGCATGATGCCCTCAGAAGGGGCAGGCGACATTGAGACGGGTGTGCCGGTTGTGAGAATTGTGGATGGCGTGCTCGAACGAAGATAGCATTAGTACCAGCGTCTTTCAAATTTTCTACATGTATGTGTTGTGTGATGCAGCATTGAAGCCTCTTGGATTTGGAATTTGGATCTGAGTGGATTTGGTTTGGATCTGATAAGATCGGGTGTTCCTTAATTAGTAAATGCATAGATAGCACAAGTTAATGAGATGCCATTGAAGTATTGATTGACAGACCTGGTATAGACCCTGCAGTGCGAACAGCTTCGAATTTTACTGACATCATAGAGCCATGTAACACATTCAGCAACAGATTGTTTGGGGACTCCTACCATCTGTTTCGGCATACGTTTCCAGTTATATCCCTTCCTGTCGCACATTCTGTATTGTAAGAGTCATAGATTCTCGCACGAGTTCCAGAGACTTTATTCCGCTTGCACTTCCATCTACTACTGTGGCCTCTACATGCAGCTGCTCAGCAACCCATCCCATGACATGTCTGACACCTAGGACATGAATGCATCAAACTCCGACTTGCCCCTGGTGTCCTCGTCATCCGGCAGGTGCAGGCCCATGAGCCCCATCAGGTTGCTGACCGGGCCAGGCAGCCCCTGCTGCCCAGAGTACGACGCCAGCAGATTCTGCACCAGGTTCAGATCTATGTCCACCGGCCTTAGCTCCTCTTCTTCCTCTTCCACGTCTTCGCATGCCCTCGGTTGGGCTGCATGCGCGCCCACATAGCCGGGAGCGTCGCCCATGTCCTCCATATCAGCCGCCTTCCCCTTGCCCTTCGCATCTGCAGGGACCCCGGCAGGCGTGGGGCCGCGCGCGAAGCTCGCGCCAACCTTGGACCGTCCGAGCTCCCGCTCCATGCGCTCCTCGTACTCTGACATGAAGTCCGCCTCCTCATCGTCGCTGTCGGTCGCTGTCATCGTCTCCCAGCGGTCCTCGTCTGCAGCAGACGTTCCCTCTCTTCCTGCTGCAGAGGCAACGCCTGCACCGGCCTTGGAAGCCGCTGCCGCGCCCGCTGCGCCGCTAGAGCCTGCCGCAGCCTTGCCGGGCCTCCCAGGCGCTGCCCCCGACCCAGAAAGGAAGCCGCGCTTGATCCCATGTGATGCTGAGGGTGCAGCCTTCCTTGGCGCTGCCTCCGCGGCTCCTGTTGCAGCCTTCCTTGCACTGGCAAGCTCCCTGCCTGACGCTCGAGAGCTAGAATCCATGCTCCGCTGCGCGGCTGCTTCTGCGCTGTTGCTGGGCTGGCCGCTCTCAGGGAGCACGCGGCCGTTGTGGGAACGTTCTGCACGCTGCGCCCGGTACACGTTTGGCGCGTCGGGCTCGGCGCTTGCATCATCGTCGTCATTGCTGCTGACATCAGCGTCCTCGCTGGCGCCGCCAAAAAAGGAGCTGCCCTCGTCCTCGCTGTCCGAGGCCAGGTCCTGCAAGAAGGGGTCGGCGTCCCCCGGCTGCATCCCCAGAGCTGCGCCCAGCTCGGTCAAGAAGCGCTTGCCGTCGAATGAGACCCCTTCGCGTGACGCTGCGGCCGGCAGCTCTGCCCCCTCAAAGCTGGACTCCTTCGCCACAAATGCCTGCCAGGCAAAATTGACAGTTTGCAAAGTATATCTGATGAATGCTGCAGACATATAAACAAATACCCAATCACCGTTGGTAAGACAAATAACTGCATGCATATACACGCCACAGCACCCCAAAGGCAGAGCAGCGGAAGTTCAGTTTGGTGCAAGCTCCTGCCTGACGTGCCAATTTTCCTTTGGACAGATTGAGGTGTAAAGGCCGGTCTGACTGTAGGTAGTGCATGCAGTGCTCAGGGGATGCTGCTCGCACATAGGGCGTACCTTCACTCGCTCAGCCATGTCCTCAGGATCAAAGTCAGTCCTCAGCGGCTTGCCGGAGGCAGATGCTTCCCGCTCAGTCTGCCTGGCCGCCAGCTCCCTCTCCAGCACATCCGCACCATCCCTCATCCAGCTGTCCTCGTCCTCTGCTCCTTGCATGCCCTTCAGAACAGCAATCTCGCGTCAATGGGACTGTGCTGAGCTATCTCAGCCATCTGTCAACATGCCAGGTGGCCTTGAATATGAGCCATCAGCGACACTGATGTGTTGAGGAGTGCACAAGGTCCGTTGCTGGATCAATGTGGCCGGGATACCGCTCAGGTGTGACCGAGGAGGATCTAGGATCACCTTTTCAAGCTGGTCCCTGGAGGGAGGATGCTGCAGGATGTCCTGCATGCGCAGGACGGGCGCTGCTAGGGCTGCACAGGACTTTTTGTAAGCTTCGGAGGCCACAAAGCTCTGCAGCGCTGCCTGCATCAGCTCGCGGTGCTGCTGGGAGCCTGGAATGTTCCCCTGCAACCAGAAACATGTCAGACGACACAGCCAGTACCGTAGTAGTCATTCTAAAACCCGCACCCTCGGCGGTGCGGGATATTATTCAAAGCAACGTTTAGGGGTCTTCCTGACTTTAAACATACCAAGGTCGTGCTCCACTGAATTGGGCTTGTTGACAGCTTTCCGAATCTGGTCTCAAAATTATCATAGAATTTAATTTTTGGGAGTTAGGGTCTCATTTAAACACCCTTTTTGGCCAAAAATTATTTATTGAATGCGGGTTTTAGAATGACTACTACATCATATAAAACCAAATGCCGAATGACCACTGAAGGTGCTTGACGCATCGCGAGTGGATGTGAAGATTGACTGCACACAATATGATTGAGACACCGCTGACTCACATAGAAGTGCTCATGGAGTCTGCAAGCATGCAGCAAGGCATCATGGGGCCATTAGTGCCACGGTGGAATTTAGCAGCTTGTGTGCAATTTGCTGGGCCCGGACCTTGAAGTATCCATTCCGCTCCAGGCTGCTCTTGTACACCCTCCAGCTGGGATTGTCTGCCACTTTCTCCTCTGACAATGCCTTCCCGTCACTTCCTTGACTGCTTCTGGCAGCAGTTTCCGCTGCTGCCGCCATTCCAGCTGCTGATTCCTGCAACGAACAGTCAGTTGTCATCACAGATAGGTGTCCTGCATGCTTGCATCTCTGCCTCTATTTGGCATGACCACTGCTGTCCCAAATCCTGCAGATTGTTGCGGCCTGTATGTGCACTGTAGCTTGGCTGAAGCTTGCATGTGCACTGTTGAGGTTTAAAATATCATTTTGTCTCACCTGTTTGCCGTTGTCGGGGTCGGCATGGTGCTCGCGTCTGGAGTAGAGCATTTCAAAGCCGCAGGTCAGTTTCATGCCGAGCTGCGCGGCACGGAAAGTGGCGCTCTCAGGAGCCGGCAGGGCATAACCCTTGGGCGGCTCAAATTGCTGCTGCTCCAATTGCGCATAGAGGCATTGGCTGAAGGTCACCACCACGTTCGCCATCTCCTGGATCAATGACGCCACGGTTGAGAGGGCCTGTCACAATCTGCGTCCCTGTCTGGAGTGCAGTACAATAACGATGATTGATTCGAAGCAGACGAACATGCAGTTGCACAAGATAATAAAGACAATACCCAGGCCCCCGGAAATGCTTCAGATTTTGCATCATGGCGCTGGGCTGACAACAGTGCAGGAAAGGGAGGCAAAGAAACCATTCCAGATATAGGTAGGGCGATGCCTGAGGGGGGAAGTGCTGCATGCGAGCAGCCGCCTTCATGTCGTCCAAGTCCCGGTAGTGAAATGCCTCCACCGCTGGCGCGATCAGCTGCGGCTCGGCTGCCAGTACAGCAGCCACCCGAGCAGGAACAACAGTTCGCGCTCTGTGCATGTGCTTGTGCCGGCCTGGTTGGAAGTCACCCAGCCGCGCCTGTATGGCTGCTTGCGCCTTACTGCCTGCAAGCAAGAATGCTGCCAGGTCACGTGGGTTGAACAGCAAGTTTTCTCTAATCACAATTGCATAAGATCCCGTTGCTGCATGATTCTGTGCCGAAGGAGGCCTCGTGAAATTCCTGGTGATGGTTGCAGCAGGCATGCTAAAGAGAGCGCGGAAGGAAGTGAGGAGGTACCGGCGAGTGTAGGGACATGCTCGGACCGGACAAGCTGCAGGGCCTGGGTCAGCGTGGGGAAGGATGGGATGCTGGGAGCAGCAGCTGATGGCAGTGGTACGATGTGCAGCTTGCCCCCAGCAATCCAGACCCTGTTGGTGGATGTCTCTGGCTTGAGCCAGCGTGGCAGCGAGTAGGCCGCCTCAATCAGCAAGAACTCGCCATCGTTGTCCCAGACCCGGGCTGTTGAGCCTGGGATGCGCAGAGTGAGCTGCTGCAGCAGCCAGGTGATGAACCACTCATCCTCCAGATTGTCCCCAAAATGGACACATCCCCACAGGCATGGGAGGCTCCCTTCCCTGAAGCTGTCAAGGCCCTGCTGCGAGCTCTGCCTGGGCTCACGGCTGCTCCCTGATCCCGTCATACGTGCTGGTCTCCAAGGTGGTGCCTCCTCAGCGCTGTTGCGGAGGTGGAAGGCTTCCCGCTGCCAAATGTACACCTCCACGAGCGGCGCCACCGTTCCCAGACACAACTCACGGAAGCCATACAAGTCTTCTCGTGAGCAATCTGTGTCATACGAAAGCGCATAATTCGTCAGATGAGGTGTCTGTAAAATATTGATCAGTCAGATCATTGTCACAACGAAATTTCAACAAATGACTGGAAAGGCGCTCTTGGCACAGAATTTACAAGGAAAGCTATATAATTGCAGATATCTCACTAGATATGTGGTTAATACAGACCTGTTTGAGCAGGATGTATTTCGAAGGAGACAGAGTTCACAGAGTTCTCTTCGAAATCTATCGTGACGTCTTCCATTGTTCTTTCTTAGAAATTATGATGGACTTCCTTAGAGGTCCAGGAAGTCGCCTATAGTTTTACGATGTTAATGTGAGGCAGAGTCTTGCTACAGAATTCATGCATGGGAGCACCGAAGCCAGTTTAGGAGACGCACCAATTCCAGGACCTTGATCGTCCCGATATGCCTGCAGATTTGTAGCCTCAAAACACAAAAATCGTAGATCTATTTACCTCATGGCATGGGAAGTGTTGCTGGCGGATAATCCGCGTGAAACAAAGTGATATCATTTCTAGCCTTGGAAGCCAAGAGAAGTACATCCACTGCCTTTTGCGGATATTCATACATCAACATGGTGATTCTTGGCCATGAACTCTTTGCAACAATGGCAGCACTCGAACATAGAGCATTGGAAGCTACTGGCATACATGTGTCTCTACTGCGGTTTGCCATCAGTTTTGTCGCTTCAGTGCCTGTTGGAGCGTTGTTTAAATTCATCCCCACAGTCAGAGGTGACCACCACGGTAATTCCAACTTGCGAACATTGAAAATGAGCTTTTCAAAGCATGTCCCTTCTTGTCTGCGCTGCAGACTTATATAGCTTCAGCCTAGCTGCACAGCCTCTTTATGGCCTTGTTTGAGCTGTGAGAATGCTTGCAATTCCCACCTTCTATTAGAATACTGCGGCTTGAAAGTCTCAGGGATGTGCTTCAGCTGCGCTGTCCCTGATATTGCCTGGAAAATTGGCTTTGCTAGCTGAGAGCTACTAACACCAGTGTGTACTGTACAGGAAAGCATACCTTCGCCATCGTCACAGGCTTTGCGCTCCTGTATTACCCTTTTGGAATTGGAGTGCTTCACCTGCTTGTGCCAACCTTCCTGACCTATCTGGTCATGCTGCAAGTCCGAGAAAATAGCGCCACGCTATCTTGGGTGATCAACTTTGCATACCTGATCGCATGGTGAGCTCCTATCACGTTTTGATGTTCTATTTGCTGTTCTCTTCTGTTATCTGCTGAAATGATAGAGAGTCCATCAGAAAAGCAAATGAGCTGTATTGTTAACTCCATCCGCAGCCATGTGGCAGCATCCAGTGGATCAAAGTGGAAGGAGGGGCAAGTGGATTTCACAGGTGAGATTCTGTGGTGGCACTTTGTGTTCAGCATGCCATTCACACCATGTGTTGCAGATGATTGAATCTCTGGTGTGATCTCTGAGTCCCTGAACTGAGCTTGTGTGGGTTGATGCAGGCGCAATGATGGTGCTCGCTCTGAAGCTGATCTCAGCCGGAGTGTCGTACCAGGATGGATTGCGCAAGTCTGAGGTAATCAGCCTGACAGATATGAGCCCATTGTCTCATGAAAATTTGCAGCCTGGCTACCTGAAAAACGTCTTGCGCAAGCCTGCTGCACGTCTGAAGGATGCCTGATGTGGACATGCAAGCGCAGGAACTGACACCTTACCAGCAGGCGCACAAGCTAACTCAGATGCCGAGCGTGCTTGAATGGCTGTCTTTTACCTTTGCATCCGGTAACCTGCTGGCAGGCCCCTACTTTGAGCTGGCAGACTACCTCAATTTCATCCAGAAGAAGGGCCCATGGGATCCAAGGTCAAAGCAGCCCACCGCTGCCAGCCAGTACAAGGCGGGGGTGAGTGACCATGCTCCCTTGTGGCAGGCATCAACTCAATAAAACATGTAGATGCAGGCAGAGGGCACTTGGCAGCAACAGAATCTGAACGGCTTGTTGTGTGTCGCAGGCACTGCGATTCCTCAAGGCTCTGATCTGCCTTGGCGTCCACTTCTTCTTTGTGCAGTACCTCCCGATTGACATCCTCAATTCCGAGTGGTATTACAAGCTTGGGATGGTGGCCAGGTACTTGCGTATAGCACCGGCCATGCTTTGCCAGTGCCATAATCTAACAATATGTCTTGCACCGATAGCACCACGCGGTAAGAGAGCCCTGCAGTCAGTCTGCCATTGTGCTGCTGCGCAGGATGTCAGTGATGTGGCTGGTCGTGGTGGTATACCGGTTCAAGTACTACTTTGCGTGGGCGGTGTCAGAGGCGGGCCTGATTTTCTCGGGCTTCTGCTTCAACGGGTTCAGTGACAAGGGGGAGGCGCGCTGGGACCGCTATGCCAACACTCGCATCCGCAAGGTGGAGTTTGGCACCAGCGCCGCGGAGCTGCCCGCCCACTGGAACACCTGCACCGGCAACTTCCTGCGCAGATGTGAGCCCATGCCCCCTTGCTAGCATGCTGTTGTCCGGCTGCTAGGGTGCCATCCTTGAAAGCACCAGTATTTGCAGAATTAATCTGCATGCTTCGCACACTACCTTCTGGCCATGGGCTCCTCTGTTTTCTGAGAATGCGGATCCCCATTCACCCCATTGTATTGCGTCATCTGGCAGTGTCTGATCCATCGCTGGAAACCCATGGGAGCAAGGAATCAAGAGAAACAAGCAAAAAAGGGCCGGGAATGTCACACTTTGGAGGTACACCACATACCGGGGTGGCTGCTGAGCTGTGTCATGTGGGTGCAGATGTGTACGAGCGGCTGACGCCGCGGGGCAAGAAGGCCACTTTCAAGACTCTGCTGGTGACTCAGCTGGTGTCCGGCATCTGGCACGGCCTGTTTGCGGGCTACGTGCTGTTCTTCGCATCCTCGGCGTTCCTGTTCGAGTCGGCCAAGGTCATCTACCGCTACGAGCAGGGGCTGGGCCGCCGATGGGACTTCCTGCGCACCTTCCCTCCCCTCCTCTTCATCAAGTTCCTCTACACCGGCTTCGTGCTCAACTACAGCGCTGTCGCCTTCCTGGTGAGTCCCTTCACATCACCATCATTTGCTGGCATTGTGCTTGCCCTTGGTGTCTGATTGTCTGAACACTTTGTCACTCGGAGGGCATGACAGTACGGGGTATGCATGATAGTGCAAGGAACGATGTCTGCATACATGGGTGGGGTGTGCTCTGCAGATCAGATCTGAACACAGATAACACATTGTATCTTTAATTATGTGGGACAATGCAATGTGTGGGACAATGGCAGTGGTCATGTGGTGAAATGCATGTGTGGTGTGTTGTGCAGCTGCTGGACTTCTCGGTGTCCATGAAGGCATGGAAGTCAGTGCACTTCCTGGGCCACTTCCTGATGCTGGCCATCATCCTGGTATCGATGGTGAACCCTCCAAGGCGGCCGCGCAAGAAGGACGTTGCCAAGTCCGACCAAGAGGCCACACCCTCAATCAAGACTGGTGCGTCGCGTCTGTCCAGAAATGCCTGTTGCTGCTCTCCTTGATTTTGAGGAGCTGACCGGTTGCTTGCTAAGATCAACACAGACATACAATATGCCGAATCTGGGGTTTCTGCTGCGTTGAAGTGGGCGCATGCAGACGGTCTGAGTGTTCTCCATGTTTGCATGGTGCAGGGCCTACTGTTGCTGATGTCACTGCAACAAATGGCAAGGCAGGTAAGGATGAGGCTACGTGGACGCAGCAAGATGCGCAGTGCCTCAAGAGCGAATGACTTGTTGCAGCAGACAGTGCACTTGTGGATCTTGCAGCTGACATCAGCTGATGTCAAAATCCTGGAGATTGAGCAGAAAGTAGAGTTTCCTACTCTGTGGCATTGCAGCGAAAGAGGCCATTGGTGGGGAGTGCATATGTGTATTTCTTGCCATCAATCTGCTCCGCACTAGAGTGGGTTCAGTAAAAATTGTTGAAACTCCTGAGATCAAGTTGATGCGGGGCTGTGGAGAGTTGGTATCTTTATAATTGAAGAACCGGTGTAATTGAAGAACCTTCAGTCGAGGGTGAATTGGGATCAATGATTGGTCAAGTATGCAATACATCCCCGAGCTATTTCGGTGTAACATGTCCCAATAAAGCAACTCTGGAAAGGATCTCCCCATGCCGTATGACTCTGGCAGAGTCACTCTGCTGAAGCTTCCCTGGAGTCCAAGGTAGGCTGAAGCCAATTCTGGACCTCGTCACTGAGAAATGCCATGATGGAACGAGCATGTGAACAGACTCAACTGAGCATCGTGTTTATATTTCTATTTCGTATATGTGATCATTTTGAAACATGACTGAGATTGACCGAGGTGACGATCCGAATCCTGTGGCAGGCTCATCAGCACATGTAACTGACTCAGCAAAGTTTGCTGAGAGCATCAGTATTATTCCTGATGGCGGTGTCGTGAAGGAAATTCTGAAGGAAGGTTCAGGCGATGTTCCACCACTGCATGCTCGCTGTTTAGGTGCGTATCCTGACCACACCTGTCTGCCATGACTTTCATCAGATCAAGTTGGGACGGTTACTTTTTCTGCTCATCAATGCCAGGAATGCGTTAAGCACATTGCAAATTCAACTTTTAAAATATCATGATTCCGTAGTCCGATATTTCTGGCCGTTGCAGTGCACTATGTGGGTCGCCTTGTCAGTACCGGAGAGGAGTTCCTTGACACCAAGGCTGAGTCTCAGAGCGGCGAGCCAGTCCAGGTTGTGGCAGGCAGAGGTAAGCTGAAGTTTTCCAGGAGCAACGTGAGCTTGCATGCACACCTCATCTCTGTCAAGCTTCATGAGGCTCCAAGGAATCTCATGGTCTACACTTTGGCTCAAGATTGAAGGAGTCTGACAGGCAGTGCAGCTTAACATTCTGTGTTGCACTTGCAGACTCGTCGATGCGAGAGGTTGGGCTTAATCTTGGTGTGGCAAGCATGCGCAAGGGGGAGCGGTGCCTGTTGAGAGTGCAGCCACAGTATGGCTATGGGGAGAGAGGTGCAACGCCAGCAACATTCTATAGGATGCCTTGCCTTATCCCATGAAATTTATCTTGAGGCAGCAACAATCTGATCGATGCATCCTTAATGCACCAGCGGTGACGCTGCGGCTGTGCCTGCAGGCAGCTTCTCATTCCCCAATGTCCCTCCCAATGCAGAACTAGAATATCAAGTAGAGCTTGTGGACTTTGACGCTGCAGATGAGGTGAGCAACTCTGCCAGTGCACTGCCTCGGCTGTCTGCGTTGTATCAACAGCAGCATTTGCAGGCCGCCTAACTCTTGCTTACCGTCGTGCAGATGAAGGACAGAGGGGAAATGACATATGAGGAGCGCTTAGAAGCAGCTGAGAGGCATAGAATGAAGGGAAACGCCCTTTTCCAACAGGTTAGAACTCCTTGCGCCCTCCTTACCGCTTTTGTCGCACATTGAGAGCTTGCAATTTGGACTGTGATGTGCTTTCTTGAAATTGCACGTGCGGCTGCAGCGATGTGCGATCTGTAACCTGCCAGCTCCTTTGGGTCTTATGAACGTGGGAGCATATCGCAGGGTGAAAACACCGATGCGCTAGGGAAGTATGCCATGGCGCTCTCCTACATCAACGAGGACTTTATGATCCAGCTGCAGGGGCCCCACGCAGAAAAGGCCCAGTCGCTCAAAACGCCCATCCACCTCAATATGGCCGCCTGCCAGATCAGACTGCAGGACTGGCAGGGTGTCACCTGGAACTGCTCCCAGGTGCGCGACTATCATGTCCTGATAAGACAACACAATACACACCTTTCTGTCTTACTGTCTTGCCTCATGGACTGTCGACATGACAGATCTTGCGCTAGGAATGCATTCAACCCAAACAGCTGGGTCGTGTTTTCCCAGTATCTGAGCTCATTCTTGACATTGCTCAATTGGTTGTGATGGCTTTTGGTTGAAAGAAGCACAAAAAACGTAACCTGGCGAGGTGAGGAATTTGTATGCAAATGATTGGCGTTGTCTTCAGGTGCTGGCAAAGGAGAAGGGCAATGCGAAGGCGCTGTTCAGGCGGGGGCGCGCACACAACGCACTAGGGCACACAGAGGAGGCATTGCAGGATCTCACTGCCGCTGCACAGGCCGCGCCTGACGACCGGGCGATCTCTCGTGAGATCCAGGTACAAACATGCATGATGGCGCTGTGATCCATAAATGCATGCAGGCATGCCATCTTCAATCTGCCCAGGAGCCTCCAGCCAATGCAAGAGAATGTGAAGGTTGAGTTCATGCAAGTTCCTCTTTGATCTGGAAGCACAGGCACAGCACAAGAGGAAGGAATTAGTCCAACTGACTGAAGCACGCTCTTCTGTTGAGTTCAGGCTGTGAAGGCAAACATGCGGCGAGACCGGGAGGCGCAGGCCAAGATGTTCAAGGGGGCGTTTGGGACACCAGGGGAGAGGAAAGACAAGGGACTGTGGGAGGATGGGAACTCTGGGGTTGGATTGAATGGGGCTGGCAAGGTGTCCCCAGTGGGATGGCTTTGGGGTGTCTTGCTTGGCTGGCTGGGATTTCTTTTTGGGCTCAAACCTTTGCGAAGGTAGCTACACCTGCATGCGTAGATGATTTGCGAGCAGCAAGTACACATTTACGTGCCGAAGGATCGGGTATTTACTTTGAACAGGCTCTAAATAGATGGTATACGAAGTAACAGTCATTCAAGATAGCATTTCCATTGATGAACTCGCAGTCAGATACAGTATCGGGATTTAATTCATCACGGTATTGACAGTATGGTGTGATGGCCCCAAATGCATTTAGTCCAAACGCTCTTTTCTTTCCAAGAAAGTCACAAAACTGGAATGTCTGAAGGCGGCATTTGATACCGTATGTGACATACATCAAGAAGGTCTGCAAACCAATCAAAATGATAGAAAGTGCCAAAAGAATCGGTGAGTAGCTACCTACATAAGAATACAGAATTGCTTGCACCCCCTCTGCAAGAATCTACTCTCCTCACGCTCATCTGCTGAACTGCCTGCCTGACCCTGCTCACATTAGGACTGGCTCTGGGCAAACCCCTCACATTTGCACCCGGACCATGAGTCGCTGGCCAATGGTTTGGGAAATGTCCCCAGCCACAACCCTGCCCCTGCATCGCTGACTGCTGACTCATTGCTCCCACAGACACATCTCTGCCCACCGGCAGCCGCACTGGCCCGGCAGACAGCCCATTCCCACCATTGCCATTCTGCCGCCTGAAATTGGTGCCATTCTCGGACACCGATGCATCCTTGGTGCCGAGAACCGCCTCGCCCATGGGCTCCGCGCCATTCCCTCCCGCCGTGGCAGCTGCCGGGCGGCTGCCGTCTGGGCCGCTGCCATTGGTGGAGCGGACAGATGTGGATGTCCCGGCAGTGTTGGCTTGCACCGATGGAAGCTTCAACTCCTCCGGAGCGGGTGGGGTCGTCTCTTGCGCCAGGCCCGATGTGGTCAGGAGTAGTGCTGCCACCAGATTGCCTGTCATGTACGGGACCAGTAGCAGCCCAGCCAGCGGCCGCACCTGCATACAGACATAGCGAAAGGAAGTGAGAAGATGCAGATGACCAGCTGACACACAGGCAAGTGTGTTTTTGGGTGAGAGGCTTGCCTAATTGGGATAGACAGGAGTGCAAGCATGCTCAAAGACACCGGAAGCCAGAGTGCAGATGTTGATGTAGAATTCGCTTATTCTTGGGACGCACCCGGAAGGCCCAGAAGACTGCAAAGGCAGAGGAGGCGGCAATGGCAATGCCGGCGCTAATTGACGCCACAGAACCACCAGCTGAGACGACCAGTTTGCCCCACGCCAGGTGGGCAAGGAGATGCGCCGCCCCTATTGAAAGGAGCGTTGCCTGTGCCAGCAAAGACCCACCCACACCTCAGACAGCCGCTCAACACTGCAAGCCTGCATGCGCTGCTGTCTCTTCCAGTGGGAAGTACAGCAGCTGGTAGATGATGAAGGAGCCGGGCAGAGTCCTCAAAGCAGTGGAACCGCCCTTAGGAAGAGGCTCAAGCAAATATCCCCAACCTATAAAATGCCCAGGAAAAATGCTTCAAGAAATGTCTACAGCTCACTTGGCCGGCATGTGGTGCCCGCCACAACAAAGCCGCACCTAAAAACCCAAACCTATCCATTCGCTACGGTCGCTGCGGCTTACGTGCCTGAAAACCCCAACCTATCTATCGCCCTCGAAATGGCTATTTGGATGGTCTAAAGCTCACCTGGCTGCTGATGTGAGGCGCCCGCCACAGCAGAGCCACAGCCGCGGCCGCGGCGGCATACGCGGCTGCCCAAGCTGCCCGGAGAAGCGGCTTGGGCAGCCCAAAGCGCGCGCCCAGCCGCAGGCCGGCCGGCGCGGCCGCGCCCGGGTAGCCGCCGGGAACCAGTCCCCCCGCCCACAGCCAGCTGCGCGCCGCCAGCCTGGCCAGAACGGGGGGCCCCTCCAGCGCCTCCAGTGCCAGAGGTTTCCAGGCCACCGCTGTGCTGAAGTCCAGAATGCCCATCTCTGTCGCCATTCCCCTGTGCATTTGTTCGACTCCAGTCAGCGTCCATCATTGCAGAAAATACGTGAAGTCCACAGCAAAGTCAGTCATGCACGCTTGATCGACGACTTGCCGTTCTGTTTCCTCAGATTGCAGCTCTCCGTGCAACTGCTGGTTTTTAGGCTGAGTCCCCTCCAGATGCACAATCGTGCATTGAGCTTGATCTCTGTTGGGTCTGTGCCCCACCTGAGAATCTGGAGCACGCGCAGCACAAAGAAGAAGTCCGAGGGGAACCTCTCGACGGACATCTGCTTCATTGGGCTGTCCTTTGCAAATGGGTCCACCCTGCATCACAGAGTCGGCCCTCAAATTACTTCACTAGTACCTGTCTACGCCCTGAAAAATAGTGCTCCTCCTAGCACACCCACAAGGCATGCACGAGGAGCGCCCCAGAGACATGGCCAAGCACAATCTATTTTACATCTGCAGGCAACCAGCGTCAAGTTTCGCATGCAGCGTGATCCCATCAAAAGTGCCTCCTTGTAAGACTGGCTCGGCAATGCTCCTCCACCAGGCAGAGCACGCATTGTGCCACAGCAACAGGCATGCTGTCAAAGAAATGCTGACCGTCCAATTGTGAGTCTCTGCATACTAGGAACCAACCTAAGCGACAACAAGAACATTGGCAATGCTCTGTGCAAGATCTATGGGATAGGGAACCAGCTGTCTAAACAGGCGATTTTGGCATTAGCACCTGCCGCGGGTGTCAAACATGCCGAAGGCCATGCGCACGCGCAGCCCCAGGGACCCCTTGCCAAGCTGGATCCCGATGGCGTCCATGGCACTGGACACCATCTGCTGCTGCGCCACATCCAGCGCCTCCACCACCTTGAGCAGATCGGCCGGGCCGGCCGCCGACAGCGCCAGGACCAGCCGCGCGAATGCCAGCCGCTGCTCCTCCGTCAGCTGCTTGCTCTGCCCAAAGTCGATCAGCCCTGCGCCGCACACAGCAAAATTGCTTGTACTGTCCACACCAAGCAGCTGCTCAAGGATAGAAGCTGCTTGCTCTGCCTGAAGTCAATCAGGCCTGCCCCGCACAAAGCATAGTTGCTTGCTCTTGGCCACAAAGCCTCCGCCGCAGCGCTTCACAGAGAAGGTGCCGATGCTGTTACAAAGAACAGCACATGCCCTTCGCTCATATCACAAGCTAGAGCAATCTCATAGAGAGCAACTTGCATCCCTGGGATGTGTTTGGAACAGGAGCATGCCTGCTTGCATCCATGTGCCAAAGGGCATTCCCGCTTTAGGCACTGATTGTGTAGCGTTCCATTGGCCAAATGCAAGCAGGAGAAGAGATTTCTTCATCTGAAGGGCAAAGAAGCACACACCGATGTTCCCATTCGACTTGACAAGGATGTTCCCCGGATGGCAATCGGCCTGGAAGAGACCGTCCAGCAGCAGCATGCGCCCATATGCTTGCGCCACACGTTCCAACAGCCGCCGCGCGGCCATCTGGCGCACCGCTGCCGGCAGCGCTTCCCCTTTCTCCTGCAAATCCCACAAGTACCACTTTCTAAGAAAAACTGCCCAACGGCTGTTTTGGACACTGTTTTGAGAGCTGCAACTTCTGATTTATTGCTGCAATGTCACAGCAACAGCAAAATGAACCCATGCTGCCCCACAAAGTGCCTGGAAACATATCCAGGACACCTGCACCCACGCAAGCCAGCAGAACAAAGGCTTTTGAAGTTTCATTCTTTGGCGCTGGCAATCATGATCATGCAGATGTTGTGAATCAGTGCATGCAGTGCAGGGGGATGATAATAGTCATGCAGCAGCATTTGAAATCCACCTTGAGGCGGGTGATAGGGTCGCCTTCGACAAAGCTCATCGTCAGGACTCGCCGAGTGGTGAGCTTTGGGATGCTGCGTGGAACCTCCACATCCCTCATGCTCGCCTGCACACGCAGCGCTTTATTCCTATAGCAGAGTCCACTTTCTCAAATGCAATTGCTGCGACAGCCTTGCCATTAGTGTATTAAGATTCACGTTTGCAAAGGGGCGTCGCTTGAGTCATGTGCAGGGCACTTGTATGCATCGCTTGTGGTCACCAATGTCAATGAAGCTGTGAAATTGGAATTGAAGTGTAGGGCTCAAATAATATCATTGTAAGGAGCATTCGGCCATGCAGACTCCGCAGAATAGCCTTCCCTCTCCATGGCTCATGAGGGCAGGTGGCGTGCGCACCCGCAAACTCTTGCCCACTTCGTTCATGACGACCGCTTCATGCTTGAAGTCGAACTCCATCCTGATCTGCTTTGCCAGCTCATCCACGGGAGACACTAGATCGAATTTGAGCTCTTTCTGCAGTGAACACAACACTCATGTCATACTCGGGCATGTCATTAGCCACTGCTAGTCTTCTGCAGCGACAACATATCCTATTACAATAAAGCAAAGTTGTCTATGCCCTCCATGCATGGATTGTGTCCTAGCATTGCTTAAAATGTTCATTCTAGCAGGATTGGCACCTGGAGGAAGCCGGCGGCCAATCTGATGTTTGAAAGGTCCTGCACCATGATCTCAAGGGCACCCGGGTATTGCACTTTGACCGCCACAATGCCATCCTTGGGAGAATTTGCCCACCTGCCCGCATTCAGCAGCTTTGCCTTGTGCACCTGCAAACATTTGCGTGCAAAGCTCAACGCAGCTGCCATTGTGCTAGCATGCATATGCATGACATGCATGAGTAGGCTCCCTTTTGTCACCCTGCTACAGGGTTGTGATATGGGCACAAAGATCGGTTGCACAGCTTGCCAATTGTGTGCATTCAAGATTTTCTGTTGTGTACGACTGGGATTCACAAAGTAATGATTCAAGGTTAGGAAGTGAGTGGTTAGAGTAGAGGAGAAACCACCTGTGATATGGATGCTGACCCCAGCGGCTTCTTCAGGTCTATCCAGTCGAAAATGTTGATGAGCCGCAGCCCCAGCTCCGCCTCTAATACTTCTCGTGTCTGCTGCTCACTCATTGGAGGCACCTGCACCACCCCTTGAGGTAAGTAGAAATCCCCGCAGAACAATGTAAACTATTCTATGCCACATGAACATTCCTGCAGAACCTGTGCGAATGAAAGAGGCTGGTTTGAAAGGGTATGCTCTGCGCAGCGTGATGGTGGGGAAGTCAGTGATACATTGAATACCAAGAGAAAACATAGTTATATGCATGCTTGACAGTGCATTGCGTGCATCTGCACCTGATCCTGAAGGAGAGCCAGGCGCTTGCAGATGGGCATTGGGATGAAGTCTGCGCGCGTGCCGATGAATTGACCAACCTGCGATTGGGTCACAGACAGGAGTTTGCATGAGGCTCAAGAATCAGGGGGACACGTTGCTTGTTCACAGCGCTCCATCTGTAGATTCGATGAACCTGCAGGGGGGCACTGACCTTCAGATAGAAGCCTCGCAGGTCAATGCACATGCCATAGATTTCGTCACCAGCCCACTGGTGCTGTGGCGTCCATATTTGAGCCTCAATGGCCTCCTCAGACATGCGGAAATGCGCAGCATATGCCCGCAGCTGCACAGCAATCCACCGTCAGCTATCGGCAACTTTTAAAATTTGCTATAAGAGCAATCCAATGCACGCATGGAAGGCCCGATCGGTCCAGAGTACTTATAGATCGAATTTTATCATGTTCTCTTTTTCTTAAGTGCAGTCCTGGAAAGCCGTCGCAAAGCACCTGTGTAGTTTTGTACGCAAAGTAAACGTTGCTTGCGCGGGTCCAAAATTGAGTAGTCCTCTTAATGTTATCCCAAGGGCGATTGGATGGTAGGACTGGCTCGGACGTCGCAAAAATCGCGATATCTGTGGTATTCTGGGACACAGATGCCATGGCGCTTCCCGTCAATAGTGACTGGGTATTTAGAGGGCGATAATGGTCTATTCCATTACTGAAAGAATTGCAATATCTTTCCTGACTACAGCAGTCTGAGAACCGCTGTCATGGGACAGCTTGGGCGCGAGACTGACACAATTTGCTTTAACAAGCAATAGAACCTGACTCGAATGGGCTCTACAATAGATGTAGAATGTACAAAGACCTACTATCGTCAAATTTCATGTAGAAATCCTGATAAAAGATGTTTTGTGTCCTCCGTGCATGCTCGCGCTCAGCTAGTCTCGGAACCCTACGTAGGGCTCTATCCAGTGCTACGTCACGCATGATCTCGTTCGGAGTTTTGTGTTCTTGACCTCAAGCCACTGAATTGAAGCAACTTATTTGCACCTTCGTTCGTCATGCTGCAATCGAGGAGTCCTTGTGTGCCAAGCACAAGCGTCCGGACGGCGCATGATTCACCTAAGCATAAACAGTGCACAAAGCCGCCCAGGAATAGAAGTGTTCGCTTGCTGTAAGTCAGACCGTGCCATATAACTGTCCTTATAATTTATTGCTGAAGTGGTCACTCGGCCAGCAGCTGTAGCACACATGCATCGACAAGCATGCCAGGCGATTGAACAGTGACACCCCAATACAATATTTTCATCTGTCTTAATATACTTGTTCACGTTGTCAATAGGTGTTATCAATCAGATACTTCAACATGCGAATCTGACGTGAACTTCAAGCCTACTTCCGTCTTGGGCAGGAGGCAGTTGCTATCCATTGCCTTGGGTGCCAGTGTCCTCTCGGTGAGAATCCTTACCAGAAAGAATACAATAGAACTGGGACTTGACTGTTCCGCTCATACGTACGAGATCTCTAGTTGAGCATGTGCATGCTCAGATGAGCCTGTTTGACACTGCAGATCGGCAGGGCAAATGCAGCTGAACCAAAAGGAGTGGTGGATGGTGGCGTCACAATACTGGTGCCAACCTCAACTGCAGACAGTCTGAGTCCAGTGGAGAAGAAGGTCAGCTCCTCACATGCCTTCACCCTGTTGAGCACAAAAATCACTTTGGCACACAATGAAGCCTGCAGCCCCACCCCTGCAGAGATCTCAGTTTTTATGGTGAATTTTAAGATTCACACATTTTCTTTTCTATTTGTTCACAGGCCTTATCCAACAATCGGAGGATTCAGGCTCAGAACAACGTGCCGGCGGACTTCCCGGCTTTTGTGCGGCAGGGGTATGACATCAAGATTATGGCGGATGACTACACAATTGACGACAAGGGACTCATTTACAAGGTTTGCCAGCCTTCATGACTGCTACCAGAGCATATGACATGAGCACGCTCCAGGTTCTCATCTTGTTACTGTCACTCCACATAAACTATTATTATATTTTTGACGCTGTTCCTGCCAGTGGCAAGGTGCGTCTGCAGACAAGCTGCAGGGAAAGGCTGCCGCAAGTCCTACCCATTCTTGGACTCGCCAGATCCAAGCAAGATCCAATCAAGCATGGGCACATTGCTCAGAAGAAACACCAGTTGCAATGGTGATCAGTGTTGGGGCAGCATGCAATTACATGAACGCTTAAGGAGCGGTGTGCGTGGGCAGGATTTTGAGGCGGGCAGTGGAGCACAGCCTGTGGATGGCGAGGAGGTGACCTTTGACTATGTGGCCTACAACGAGAACGGCAGCCGCATAGACAGCTCCTACAACAAAGGCCGGCCGGCCTCAACCCGCCTTGGCATCAATGGTCTCATACCTGGTGCGTCTCCCATTCAGATCGCGCCATGATTGGCTCGTGCTTGCTGCTGCTCTCATGCAGGAATTGCCTGAGTGTGTTTTCTGCTGCTCTTTGGATATGCACACGTTTTGATGCGCGTGGACATCTATCATCGCCAGAGGACGGTAATTTGTCTGGAACACCTTCAGCACTGTGCTGCTTGCTTTTCGGTGCCTGCAAATCGCTGCATTCCTAGCAACCTTCTGAAATTGGCATTCCTGGGGAGGCTGTCTCAAGAGGGACCCTGAAAGCAGCTTGAACGTGGAGTGTTCATGTGGCGGCTGTGGTTGTGCAGGGTTCGAGATGGGCATCAAGAGCATGCAGGTGGGGGGCAGGCGCAGGATAGTGGTCTCTCCAGAACTGGGGCCCCCTGTTGGGCCCTCAACGTTCTTCAGTGCCAAGCAGTGCGAGGTGTTTGATGTGCAGCTCAGGGCTGTGCGCCAGTGCAGAAGAAGGCAAGTTGCCATGTTCTCTGATGTTGTCTGTGAGTAGATCAGTGCACCACCTGATCAATGATCAATTCCTCCAGTATGGAAATATGTTGGCAATTGCCTGCTGAACAGCAGATGTAGCGAAAGGGCATGAGTAGTGACATCAATGCAAACATTCTAGACACCATAGCTGTATGTAAGAGCTTTCATAAGTTGAAGGCGCCAGTAGTGTCACAAACTTTTCCTCTTCAAACAAAGATCTTATATAGAATGAAATGAATTCTAGAATGAACTGAACAAAAATATGATCGTGCAAAGCAAGAAACAACTTTCAAGTACTGTCTTCAGCTGGCTGCTTGTTGTGCACTCCTGTCAGCATCGCGTTTCACCAGCTCTTTCAGAGACTGCAGAGTTGCACCATTGCCTTTATCCTGTGAGCGCTTGAGGCTTCGGTACGCCTCAATGGCTGATGCTTGTACAGCGCCCTGTAAGACACACCAGGGTCAAATCAGCTCATGTAGCGTGACAATTGCATCATCACGTTTAATCACTGCGACAGCACATTTGCTGGCATACTTTTCACCTGGAACAGAAAGAAAGCTTGACAATGAATTGCCAGAATTTCCAGCTATCTCTGGCAAAGTGAAGCTTAAGAATGGACAAGAATGCACCTGAGTAGCCTTCTGAGAGAGCTTCTCCTTTTTCAGCTGCCAAGGCTTCAGCGCTTTCCTTCCCTTTGCGTTTCTGCCTTGCTGCTCACTTCTCTGCACAGCTGCTGCTGGCAGTACGTTCTTGTGCGAGCCGCCCTGCTGCTTTGCATTTGCCAACTGCTGCTCAAAGATCTGTGTGCAGCGCTTTGAGGAGCGGCCCTGAGAGGCATTCGGGTCCCAGTGCTTCCGCTTGAGATTGACCTGCCCACAAGACCAGACACATCTCAGATAGGCATGCTTCACCAGCTTGCCTGCTAGCTGACTATATGCCCTAGAGTGAGAGAAGTAATAATATCACACCTACTCATTACTTTGAAGAGACTTGCCATTCCAACCCCAACAATCTTCTCAAAGGCCATAGAAATAAAGCGCTTGCACGGCAGATCAGGACATAGAGTGAGGGTAAACGGCATGTGTATTTGGGAATACAGTTATTTGGGAATACAGGCCAGGTCAGCTCACTCACCTTGATGGGGGCCATGGCCTGTTCGCCAAACCTTGGCTTGTGGGGATCCTGAGCCAGCTGCGCCTCCAGCTCCTCCTCCTCAGCTTGTCGGCCCCCCTTCTTCTTCAATTTCCTCTTTTTCAGAAACTCCTTCTTTCGCTCCTTCATGCCTCTGCCAACAGTTGCTGGCTGTGTGTCCAGGCCAGATTGCTGCACTGATTTGTGCTTTCTGACCTGAGACTCAGCAGGAGCTTCTGTGTGCTCTGGTTCCGGCTGACCGCTGGTTGATGGCTCTGTCTCTGCGGCTGCAATGCCAGGCAGTGGTCTATCTGCTTCCCCCAGGAGGTCTGCATCTGCACCTAGCGGCTCTACACCCAAAGCCGCCTCCTGCTGAAGGTCTGCCTTCATCTCTGACTTGACCTCTGCAGGGGGACCTGTCTTGCCCCCACGCTTTGCCCTCTTCTCCACAGATGCCTGCAGATCATGATGCAAACGGCCCGCTGAAGGATAGTTCCTCTGAGCTGTGCACCCCAAGGTTGTGAGGCAAAACAAACGCAGTTTGATCGCGCATAGAAAGGCATAAACCTTCAGTTGCAGCATCCTCTGCAGCGACCGTGGCATATCACTGGTGGCTGGCTGCTTCCTTCCCTTCTTGGCTACTTCCTCTGGAGGGGGCGGCAGCATAGTAAGGCGTCCCGACTTCGTCTCCTGAAGTATCCAATTATTATCAATATCTGGGATACTTGCGGAAACAGTACTACCGAAGACCCTTCTACGATCCAAGTGATGTTGCAGGCCTGATATCGTTGTATCGAGGAGATACAAACCTTTGCTTTCAAAAAATTCTTCAATCTCCTCTTCTGAGCTACTCCCTGTCCCATTTTTTTATTTTTGTCGCAAGCGTGAGTAGAGAGAGAGTAGATGTTCGTTACAGCAGTCTCAACAAGCTTTACACCACAAACTACCAGGTCAAGTAAATACGTGTACGAAAAGGAGTTCCTAGACCGACCTAGATGGAGTCCAATTAATGCAGCCTATTCGCAAGAGATGTCACTTGCGTTCTTCCGAGACTCTCGGAAACTTTGGCATGGTTAGGCTGCCCTTTTGGGCAGCCATTCCTGGGCAATTGGGCATGAAGAGCAGTTTAACGGTTACAGGGCAGTCAGAGGGCACCTTAGGACCTAAGGGACACTTCAAGATCTCAAAACACATTCTTTTTTAAGGCAACACATACAATACAATCTATACCTCATCAAGTATAAGAACGTTGGGTGTGCGCCTCCTTCATGAGTCACATTTGGCAGTTGATGCCAATGGCACTGAATCGTTCACAGTAATAAAGAGGAACTGAACAGGCTTGAAAATTGAATTATTCCCCCCTCAAGCAACTGCTCTTGCACCCCAGATAATCTGGGACGCAGGCATCTGCGCTGAGGCCAAAAGCACGTCCCTGGAGGATTCTTGCAGAATCATTATTGCATGGCAGAAGAGAGCTGCTCCATCTTGAGCGGCTGCATCTTTGATGCAAGAATCAGATCTGGCATGACTGTCTTATTCCGGCAGCAGAAGACCTCGGATGTCCCATCAGCAACCCCACGTCTGCAGTAATCTTGAATTGAGCTCACTTCTCAGAGTGGTTGTATCCCACAAAATGAAACCTTCTCGAGACTTCTGTTGCAACCTTCCACCCGAGAAAACTTGCTACAGCACCTGCATTAGAACAATGCAACAATTTTGAGACCGCTAACCACCTTGCAGTTGACTCACACTTGGAAATGGCTTGCACGCATACATGGCACGCGAAAATTGCTAGCAGATGGCATTGAGGATGCATCATGACAAACAGCTGCAGCTTGTAGCACACGGCAGAGTTCTCACCTGCCAAAGAGAAAAGGGGTGCGGCGCTCAAAATTGGCGCTCCTCGGCCCAAAAAGATTGAGAGTGCCAGCGTGGCCAATGCGCCTAGCACTGCACTGGCAATCTGAAGTATCTTGAAGCCCCTGACTGCCTGCAAGCATCACAACCCGGGGACAACCGAGTCAAGACTGCCAGTGCCAACACCCGCTCAAGCTCCCTTCACACCTCGTCTTGACCTATGCCCCATTCCAGTAGGCCCCATTGCATTTACATAAACCAGAAAAACTGCTGCTGCCTCAAGGCAAAAACTGACATCTATGCATGCAGCCAAAATCACTGTTCTGACTTCTTGTGCCAGCCAGGGGAGTCTGAATTTTCGTAAGGTAGTTTGACATCACATATGAATGTAAAGTAACCTGTTAGACCTAAATTCGTCTCAATTTCCCCTTTGCCAGCAGCGGAAAGGGGCTCACCCCGAGGCAGTAGGGGCAGTGGCGGGTGTGCAGATTGTACCGGTCAAGCAGCCGGCTCTGCCTGTCATCATAGGCCGGCAGGGGCTTGATTAGACGCGTGGGGGGCCCGCCCCCTCCCCTCACATCCAGCCACTTCCTGAAGCCCGCCACCAGCCTGCATGAGAGCACACCATCAGCATCCATGCCAGATCAGCGCGAAAGGATGTCCTCTGCATTGGAAAACAGCTAATTATTATGATGCACTGCAGCTTCTGAGACGACGGTTACAGTGGGTCAATCAGTGCATGCAGTGCTCAGCTGGCCTAAGATTTGTCCATTGATGCAGAACACTAGTGTACTCCAGATCTTATTGTTAGATTTCAAATTTTGAAAAGGGCCGTGATGGTAAGGCCTCTCACCTGTCAGCCTGGGGAAAAGAGAGCGCAAGTGAACATCAGCTTTCCATCTGAGTTTACATTGAATATTTCACAACAAGATGAGCTTTGAAGGGGTGGCTGATGTGGCAGGAGCCATTACCTGTCAGCTTGGGCCGGCATGTAGTAACCTCTGCGCCATGTGCTGAGCTCGCTGTCCTTCAAGCCTCCTTCAGCCAGCAGCCTCTCCTGCACATCTGCGCATGGAAGGCCACAGGGCTCACTTACCAGCGGCCAGCAAAGTGACCGGTCCAACGTGTCAAAGGCATCTAGGAAATAAAAACAGCCTTGCAAACAGGAGGAAGAAGCGCACAGAGGATCTTGCTGTCTCCGTCAAATATGTTGTGAGTGAAAGTGTGGCTCCACCTGCATGCATGCACCGGTCAGAATGGGTCTCAGAAATTTGCAACTACAAATTAGTCCTTGCTACAGCACCAATGCCAGGCTCAACATGAAGAAGCACATCAAGATATCAAAATGCTGCTGGCGGGAGATATCTCACCATTTGGGGCGCAGCTTCAGTCGGAGCCTGATCCTGAGCGGCAGAGCGTTGAAGCTCTTCTCGACAAAGAAGCCAGAAAACAAGACTGAGGACCTCCCAGGGCCGTTGGGAACCAGGTGGAAGCTGAGCAGGTTCAGCCAAGGCTCCCCAGACTCCAGCTGCATTCACCACAAACCCATCGTCCAGGCACTTGGACTTATGCAACACAATGTTAGATCTGCAGGAACAGAACAAGTATTTTGGACAGCCCAGTTCGTGCTTCATCCCTGATTTTGACCCACAAAGGCAAATATCGTGAGTCAACATTATATATACTGGCAAAACTGTGAGGAGTCTCACCTGTTGGCTAAAGAAGGTGTGCCATCTGAGCTGGCCAGGCGGCCTGAACTCAAACCTCCTAGTCTGAAGATCTCCAACCACCGGTCTGACACACTCTGCAGACGCAGTCACCACGTCCTGGTCTGACACCTCGTTGTCCCTGATGCTCATGTGGAAATAGCCCGCCTTGTCATCGTCCCTGCGTTTCACATTTCCTGGTCTTCTTGATTTTAAATTGTATAAACCACACCACAGCGCCGCTACGAATCAGCCCAACTACCTCTAACAGATGTGGCATTTTCGAGTACAATATAAGGAGAGGTACTGACCTTCTGTTGAGCACCCCATGGTGGGCAAAGGGCAGATGAGAGGGATCCAGGAGGTTCTCTGCCAACACATCATATCCATAGGGCAGCTCGCGATAGTACGGCTGCACCCAATCAGCCCACCATGAGTCACTGCCTGTGACGCCATGTGTCTTCACTACAAGCTGAACATCATGCATGCAAAGTCTGAACTTGCTGCAGCAGCGGGCGCACAGTTATATTTGAGACATGTGTCATTACAGTAAATTGAACATCATGCATGCAAATGAGAATGGTTGCAGCAGAGTGCGCACACTAAAGTTCCGGACATGTGTCATTACTGCAAGCTGAACAATATGCATGCAAAAGTGAGCTTACTGCAGGCTGAGAGCGCACAATGAAATTTCTCAGTGCAAGCTCGACATCATGCATGCAAGGTGTAAATGCGCACAGTGAAATTTGGGGCGATTTTGTGGCCACTGGATGTGGCTCCAGGAGCTCCCTCCACAACTTCAAGGTCAGAGATGACCGGCACAGGCTTTGCCTCTGCCTCGGCTGCTGCGTCCGGGCCGCTGCTTCCCCACACGAATATCATGTTCTGGACCACCTGCACACAAAAGGACGTAGGCAATTCACGGATGACCCGAGTGTTAAGCAAATTTGCTAGCTGGCCTGGGGCTGTCAGGTGGTGAGCAGTCACCGCTTGTTATAATGTACGGATGACAACTCAGAGTGAACCTTACCAAAATGTCAAGGGACTTGTCAGCCCGGCAGCAGGATTATCATTGGCCAATTCCGTCCCCATGCGCTGGCCTGAAAGATTGTAAAAAAAAACACTGAACCCACCTTGGTTGGCCGCGGTATGGCACAGGATCGGGGGTTGCTGCGCGCAGCTGCATTGGCCTTTGCATCCAGCGACTGGGGGATGTCTGTGCACTTGCCCTCTCCACTGAAGCGCCAGCCGTGGTAGGAGCACATGAGTGTGCCATCTGACGGCTCAATGCGGCCCTCTGTGCAATATTCCCTCCTTCAGTGGCTTGCAGAAAGGATCGCAACAGCACACTTCTCATCTGCATACAACGGGGTCAGGGCATGCTACGGATTGCATGGAGTTTTGGAGAATGTACAGCGCATGGCAGAAAGATAACCTGACAAGGGGGCCAGACGGTGGGGGCACTTGTCTTCAAAGCAGCGCCAGACTCCTTGTGCATCTCTCCACAGCACCAGCCTCATACCCAGGAGCTCCTTTGGGTGAGGCACCTTTGGGTCCAAGTAGTCCACAAAGGACAGAGCATACCACTGCCTTTCCCAGTCAAAGGACACCTGCCCAGCACACTTTTCAAGATATAGCAAAGCGGGTTCTCACTGGGCTAGACGATTAGGAAAGGGACACCTGCAGTCTAATGCTTGAATTTAGCACCGCAGGTCGTTCTTCTTCGGAACTTTCTGAAGGTACTGGCTGGAACACAGGCCAGAGGTGGCACTGATCACAGCCCTAGAGTAATTGAGGGCCCCTGGTGGGTGGATGTCGATAAAGCACCTGTGCAGGTTCATTTTTCAAGAGTGTCTCCGCTGCTGCATGTGCCTCTCTTCGCAATGTGGTCTCAGCGGAAACCAACAGTGCGAGGGTTGTTGTTTTCCAAACGCTTCCCCGCTGGATCTTGTTAGCGCAGCCCAGGTGCGGTACCGTACGTGCAAGACGATGAGATATATATTGAATCAATTGTCTCGACGGAACATTGGTGCGGATCGTTTGATTTGAGTAGACAGATGACGACATCCCCCGTACAGTAGGTTGGCAACCCCATGTCGCCAAGCATCACACCTTGTGTGCCATAGGAGACGAGAATTTCTTGCGACCAAATATTTAAACGGGGAAACAAACAATACATTGTGGATCAGACTCGAAAGTATTTTAAAACGCGTAAAATGCTGTCAGCAAGGGGGCGTTCCTCACACCTGGGCAAACTGCACAACTGACAGCTAGCTTTTCTATCTTTCACTTCATATTTCTAAATCAATAACAAATCGTCATCTGCGATCTTGCTGCGATGAGTCAGGGAACCAGAAGTCAGTCGAAGCGCCCAGCGCAGGGCAGCCCAGGGCAGTCAGATGAGGAGATGGAGCCGCCCCTCCACGATCTCCTTCTTGCAAAGGTCGAGTCTATGATCCACGGCCTGGAAAGCAAGCTTGACAGTAAGCTGGACGAGAAATTTGGGGCCCTCTTCCCTCAGCTGAAGGCAGAGCTCAAGGCAGAGCTGAAAACCGAGCTGAAGGATGAGGTGGTGGCTGAGCTGAAGGCAGAGCTGCTGCCTCTCCTGCGCGCTGAGCTGGCCAAGGACACGCAGACCAGAGCCGCCTCCAACGATGAAGCAGTGGTGAACAAAGTGCACCATCTGGAGTCTGTGGTGGAGTCTCAGGCCCGCCAAGCCAGGAGTGCTAACCTGATCTGCCATGGTCTGGCAGAGGACAACACAGAGAATGTCTCAGCCCGCGTGGCAGCGCTGTTTGACAGCAACAGCGGCCCCCTCGCTGTTGTCAGCGAAGCTCGCCGCCTCGGTGCCCCCAGCGCCACGCGCACCAAGCCGCGCCCCGTGCTCATCAGCTTCAGCGGCGTGGCAGCCAAGCACGCTGCCCTCAAGCACAGCAAAGCCCTGCGCCAGCGCCAGATTTTCCTGGATCCCGACCTCACCCCGCAGCAGCAGCGCATCCGCGTCAGCATGCGCCCACACTATGTCGCCCTGAAGACAGCCGGCAAGCAGCCCTTCTGGCGCGAGGAGCGCCTCTTCGTCCGGGAGAGCGACCGCGTGCGTGAGCACATGCCTGTGCCTGGGCCTCCCCCGGCTGCCGCGCCGGGCGCCGCTGCCGCCCCGGGTGCTGCCACTGCCGGGCCCTCTCAGGCCGCGCCTTCCTCCCCCGGCCGCGCCGACTCCTACGCCGAAGCAGTGCGCCGCTAGGAAGTCTCCAGCCGCCTATCGCTGCGTATATTGTCCTGGAATGTCAATGGCTTACATGCTAGCAAAATATCCTTGTGGGACACGGCAGCCTATCTTGACCAGTTCGATATTGTAATTCTGACTGAGGCCCGTTGCTTGACCTGGGATGACTCGATCTTGCCTCACCACTCTGTGACTTTCACGGCTGCTAGTGAAGAGGGCAAGGCGGGTGAAGGCATTGTTGTTGCGGTTCGGAAGCACCGTGATTACCACGCACAAGACTGGGTGTCAGACACTGACAGTGCCTTATGGGTGAAAGTGCAGTTTGAGGGGGACTCTACACCGCTGCTGATTGGCTCCAGCTATGTGCCTCCAGCGGGTTCCCGGCAATTGCAGACTGTGGACCTGACCAGTCGATTTACGGGCTTATGTGCAGAAGTTGTTGCCGCTCGTGCTCAGGGCAATGTGATCCTGGCAGGAGACTTCAATGCTCGTGTGTCTAATTTGCCTGACGCTGATGACAGCAATACTCGAGGCTGCACTGATGAAGGTGTCAATGCTCATGGGCTGCGCCTGTTAGATTTTTGCAAGGAAACTGACATGCTCATATGCTCTGGCAGAGTGCTAGGAGACCTTGAAGCAGTGCCTACCTTTAAGGCCAGAACCCATACTCAGGCAACTAGACCTGATCATGTTCTCGTTTCCGCTGATGCGCTCCCCTTGATTTCTCATCTTGTTGTGAACACTGGTAGAAAAGACTCTGATCATCATCCTATTGAGATGACGTTGCAAGTGAATGTGGCTGCCAGTGTTCCCTTACCATGTATTGGGGCGCCATTGTCACGAGTGAAATGGCAGCCCAGTGCTAGGAATGCGTATGCTGCTGCTTTGCGCAATGTTGCCAGTGCAAGTCTTGACGCCTGCACAGGCCATGCTGTGGCTGGGGAACTTGATGCAGCCTTTCAGACCCTGGAGGCGGGGATCCGGGAGGCCGCAGCCGCGAACAGCATGCCGGCCCGCACCGGGCGCCATCAGCGCAAGGCGCGTGCCGACGCGCCCTTCTTCGATTCGGAGTGCCGCCAGCTTAAACGGGACGTCCGCGCCCGCGCGCGGTGCGGGGGCGATTCAGCCGAAGTGCGCGCGCTGGAGCGTGCCTACCACAACACCGTCCGCCACAAACGGCGCGCTCACCGGCTCGCGCAACTGCGCCGCCTGCTTGATGATTTGCACAGTGACCCCCGAGCCTTCTGGAAGCGGCTCAAGTCTCAGCAGTCTGATATACCTGAGCAGCTCAAGCCAGTGCAATTGTGGGCTGGCTATCTCAAGCGGGTTGCAAACTTGCAGTTGCCACTCATTGCTGAGCTGCCCCACTTGTCTTTCCCTGTCCAGCCCAGTGCTCCTGTTGCCCATGTTGATGCTCTCAATGCACCCATCTCTCTTGGGGAGGTGCTTGCTGGGCTCAAAAGTTTACACAATGGTCGTGCCACCGGAGTGCAAGGTTTACCAGCTGAGCTGTTTCGGTATGCAAAAGATGAGCGGGCGCCAGGCATGCCTCCTCCGGAAAATGTCCTGGCGCCTGCTTTGGTGGCTGTGCTGAACTCTGCATTTGTGGCTGGGCAAGTGCCACCCTCTGTGAATGGTAGCCTGATCACCCCTGTGCACAAGAAAGGCAGCAAGCTTGACATGCTCAATTATAGACCCATTGCCGTTACTGAGCCCATCATGCGCTTGTATGCTGGCATATTGAATTCTCGTATTCTGAAGTACACAGAGGGGGCTGGATTGCGTGCAGCCACACAGGCTGGCTTTAGGCCAAAACTGTCTACGGCCCACCAGCTATTCACCTTGCAGCATTTTATCGACCGGCAAAACCATGCTAAGCAGCCCTTGTATTGTTGCTTTCTTGATCTGAAGGGTGCTTATGACAGAGTGAATCGGGTGTTGCTCTGGGAGAGTCTGCGTCGCCTGGGCATTGATGGCCGCCTGCTCTCTGCCATTCAGTCTTTGTATGCCAATTCTACGGTTGCCATTAAGACTGGGAGCAGGAAGGGTCCTAGTTTGCCCTCTGAGACAGGATTGAAGCAGGGTTGCCCCCTTAGCCCAACGCTGTTTGGCTTGTTTGCAGATGGCCTGCACAGGCACTTGCTGCAGAGGTGCCCTGGGGTTGGCCCGCAGTTGCGTCCTGGCAGTTGTGTACCAGATCTAGGCTATGCCGATGACTTTGCTTTGCTCGCCACCACACCTGCTCATTTGCAACGCTTGATTGATGCAGCTGCTGAGTTTTGTGAACAAACGGGAATGGTCATCAGTGTTGACAAAACAAAGATTGTGGTGTTCTCTTCAAGTTTGCCAGGACCTTTTCAATGGCTTTGTGGTGGTGCGCCTTTACATTGGGTTCAGCAGTTTGAGTACCTGGGTGCCCTTTTTGACGGTGCCCAAGGCATTAATCTCACCTTTGGCAAGCTTCACAGGAACATGTGGGGTGCGTGGGCACAGCTCAGGCAGCAATATGGGAAGTTGCATTGCAGCATGTCAGCTGGCGTGTTGTTGCGCCTATATGATGCATGTGTGCCGCCGACTGCCTCCTACGGTTGTGAGGTGTGGGGCCTGCGCAGCCTTCCTGGTGGCGACAGCCGGCGGGGCCGGGCTGCCTTGGCCTCCTCTCACCTGAAAATTCTGAGAGACATTGCTGGCGTCCCCACCTCTGTGCATGGTGCCATCTTGCTTAAGGAGTTGAATCAGCACACCCTTGATTGTGTGTGGTGGCGGCGCATTATCAAGTTCTGGAACAATTTGGCTGCCTTGCCTGCAAATAATTTTCACAGGCAAGTGGCCCTTGATGATTGTTGGGATGCCATAACCCGTAATGTTAAGAATTGGGCTTGGGCCTTCATGCGGGGCTTGCGCCGGATTGGGTATGAGTTTGTTATTCGGTTTGACACCCTTGTTCCTGTGGAAGTTGATGCTGTGATGCAGCTGCTAGATGCGCAAGCACTGCAGGTTTGGGATGACATTGACATTTGCCCTAGGACCTGCCCGTCCAGCAATGCCACCTTGTGTACATATCACAGATGGTTTGCTAGGCCAGCTTGTGTGCGCCACCCTTGCCAGCTCTTACAGCAGCCTTTGAGTGCCCGTTGCTTGCGTATACTGTTGAAGTTCAGGATGGGTTGTCATAGTCTGCCCAATGTCTCGGGCCGCTGGGCAAGGATTCCCCGGCCCCAGCGTTTGTGCATGCGTTGTGCCCAGCAGGTTATTGGGGATGAGCGCCACCTTGTGTTTGAGTGCCCTGCCTTGCAATCTGTTCGGGACAGATATCCTGGGCTGTTTGGTGCAGCCATTGTGACGATGCAGCAATTCATGTGGCAGTTGGACATTGTTGGTGTTGCACATTTTGTGATGGATTGTTTTGATTATTTGGATGCTGCCAGTTCATCCAATCAGCCCTAGGCGGCTGGAGTGATGTAATCTTCCTTCCTTCATGTGGCAAGATGATCTAGTACAGGAGGCTCGGTTCATCAGACTCTCATTAGGACGAGTATACACTGGTTTTGATACAGTGAACATCTAATCAGCCTTGTTAACAACGTTGGCTGGCACGATGTAATGTTTCTCTCTCTCTTTCATCTCCAGAAACAAAATTGCATTCAAACTTTGCATCACATTGCTGCTGAACTAACTGTATGAATGTCACCTGTCACGTGTAGCCAAATTTTCGAGGCACTGTTAGTGCTCTCATTCTCAGATACCCTGCGCAAACTTATACTACGCTAGTAGCCTCTCTGGCAGCCGGCTCCCATTCACTGGTAGGGCTATCAAATGAACTAAAGGCAAGAGAAACACCGCCACAAGATTGAAGCGTGGCTGTTCAAATCTATTCAAATTTGCTGTTCAGGTTTATCCGGTCTCATCAATCAAATTCTCTCATTTGCACATGTGTGCAAACAGATCACAGCAAAAGAATCACACTGCTTGATGGGTTGCAATGGCAGCCACATGTCTTGGCTACGGCTGCAACTGAAAGAATCTCATTCATTCTTCTCGCTGATTGTGTCATTATTCCTGGTGGCTGCGCCGAAAGTTCGATGTTTTCTGCTGCCTACTTCTCGCTGTGGTTGTAGCCAACAAAATAGAACCGCTGCAGAAGCCGCCCTGCCACGAGCCAGGCCGCTAGGGACAGAACAGCACCTGCCACAACACATGCATCATATCAAATTGAGACATCCTAACCCGAAACATGCACAAAATCAAAAAAAGCTGTCATGGAAATTCCATGATGGAATAGATACGCACCTGATAGTCACAAGCTCATGCTGTTGGTTTGTCATCAAACTGCGCACCCACCTGTTGCAATTGCCACAGGGATGGGACTCAAGGGGCTGAGACCGCGACCCAACGCAGATGACAGCCCCAGAAGAAAGATCACTCCCGCTGCCACCGCCGCAACCCGCAGCCTCTCAAAAGCTTTCACAGCCTGCGTTGCAAGCAATCCTTCAAAAGGCCACCTTTCAACTTCACCACAGGTGGACTGTGCTGTGGCCTTGCCAGTCTACTCCTTTAATCAGCTATTTTGCAGCAGGCAAATAGGAGGCTGATGAAAGGGTTGGCAGCTCCTTGCAGCCACCAACACAGAACTCCAAGCCACGCCCCACACAGAGGTTTGAAGGCCACACAATGAAGTGTTTGAATGAAAATACAAGAAAGAAATGATGGACCGTACCCCCATGCAGCTGGGGCAGTGGCGGGTGTGTTGGTTGAAGCGGTCAAGGTACATCTCCTGCCGATCGTCCAGCGGTGGCAGCTGCCCAGACAGCCGAGTGGGGGGCCCGCCTCCCCCCCTTTCATCCAGCCACTTCCTGAACGCCGCCACCAGCCTGCATCGGTCACAGCAAATATGCATCGGTCTTCTTCTTGTCGGTAGTTTCAAGATTGAGACGAGCGTGTGGCCAGCTAAATTGAGACGAGCGTGTGGCCAGCTAAAGCAAAATCGATGCAGAGCAATCTTCACCGGAGGACAAACTATGCCACACAATTCACAGATGGCTTTTTGCGCACAGCAGTTTCACCAGCTGCTGCCCCCCAGGAGGGGACAGCCCAAATCGTCAGGAGCAGTATGGGGGCACAAAAAAAGTCAGCATGTCTGGCAAATGCCATCCTTTCTGGGTTTGACTGCATGGTAGAGGTATCGGGTTGGAAAGGCAGGCCACCTGTCTGCCTGAGCTGGCATGTAGTAGTTCTTGCGCCAGCTGCTCTCTCCATTCCTGCTGGTCTCTGCCAGGAGGCGTTCCTGCATGTCTGCGCAGAGCAGCAAGCAGATCACCCAGGCTGATCTCCACCATTTAACACCACCATTGCTGGCGGGGCCAGAACCATGTGCATTCAGATCAGGTGGCCAGCTAGCGATTCCATTATCAGCACAACCCAATGATATCCAGTAATACTCCATGCACTGACAATACAAATAGATGCATGGGGGCATACGCAGTATCTTGCTGTCCCCATCAAATACGAGGTGCGTGAAGCAGTGAGACTCCCTGCATGCATGCACAGAATAGTCATTCAGCTGATAATGGACATTGCATGCGCACCGCATGCTGCCATCTGCATGCTGTACCCCCTCTGGTTCCTGAACAGGTGAGGCCCAGCTGCCATATCACTGGCATGGCTCATGCGAGAGGCCTTGTAAGGTTTGTACATCATTGCACAACATCAATATCCGGTGAAGAAGTATGCATGCAAGAGCAGGGGGATTACAAACCATCGAGGCCGGAACTTGAAGATCAGTTGGGGGATGAGCGGCATCTTTTTAGCTCCATGTGCAGTGAAGAACCCCGAGAACAGCACCGCCGACTTGCCTGGCGCCACCGGTATCACATAGAACACATTCATGTTGATCCAGCTCTCGTGCTTGTCTATGTCGCCCTGCACAGCACACACCATCCTTGACATCTGAGTCATTCCTAAGGCAAATGATGAGCCCCTGCTGCATTTGAGTGCTGGGCTTTTCGAATGGTGCAGAGTAGCGCATACAGCAATGCTTCCGCTGGTTCTTCGTTAGGCCAGGCCTCATAGGCCTCAAAGGGGCAGGCGCCCTCTCCCAAGCCCGTTCCCCTGGCCTCTCTCGTGCCGCACGGCCTCGCTTGCGCCATTGCTCCCATCATTTGCACTGGACACATGTCCTAGCACAGAGATGTGTGTGCACCACTGGTTCCGCTTGTTGTGCTAACAGCAAAAGAAGGGAGCGGGGACCTTTTCTGGACATCGCTTGGGCCAATAGGAGAGAGGTGCAGGGCAGCAGACCTGGTCGCGCTGGTAGGTGTACCAGCGGATGAGGCTGGGCGGGTCAAATTGGAAGGCTCGCCCCTGCAGATCGCCTAGCCGGGGGCGGATGCTCTCCCCTGCCACGCAGATAACATCCTGGCCGCTGGACGAGTCCTTGGGCCGCCTGCTGTCCATTCGGTAGTATCCCGCCTTCTCATCGTCCCTGTGATGCATGCGCTGCCACCTCAAAGGTCCAACCTTGTTTCCCAAAGAATTCCATGTACATGCGCAATCATGCACGCACATGGAATCCCAAGTCGTGGCAGCATGCGTACAACTCCTAAGTCATGTAGCTGCACAAAAATGTGCGCAAAACATGTGAGTTTGACAGACATTCAAGGCGCTCTCTTTACGTAGAAGATTGCCCTCCCTATTTTGGATGACAATCTTCTGTGTATGCACTTTGTGAATTTAGAGGCGATGGTCTCTGACAGAGGCTTCTCCCAAAAACAGGTTCGCTGCCACACAGATGGGGCATACTTGTTTGGAGAAGTGGTCACAGAGATCTAGGGACCACACCTGCGATTGAGCACCCCATGGTGGGCAAAGGGGAGGTGCGAGGGGTCCTGCAGGTTCTCAGCCAGCACCTCCCAACCATAAGGCAGCTCACGATAGTAATCCTGCACCACAGGATCTCACGTATTACATCACAACTCACTACCGCCCAGTTGTTGTTGTTATTAGCAGACCCACTATAATAAAGACACTCTCACTGAGATGCCTGCATTAGATTAGAATGGTTGAAAAGATGGCTCACCGGCAGGAAGGCCAGTGTGGGCACGCCCTGAGATGTGGAAGAGGGGATGTCCTCTGTCATGGCCATGTCAGGCACGCCAGGGACCGGCATGGCCTCAGCCTCCGCAGCAGCATTCGAGCTGCTGTGGCCCCACACAAACACCATCCCCTGCAGCACCTGCGCCATGCAACTGCTTCTAGTCAACCATCTGAAACAGACCATTTCAATAGCTTGAGTATGCTTTCGTGGAGAATATTCTGCCAATCCAAGGGCCAAGCCTTGGGACAGCCCGCTGAATCACAGTCCAAGTAAACAGCCTTTTTCGTAGATCTTGCTCTTCCCTAGCAGCAAAGACTGTAAACACGGGTCATGTGTCATGTCTAGTCCTTGTGTTGGCCCTGCAGGTGATCTTGGCTAGCATTCTGAGAACACACCTTGGTTGGCCGCGATATGGCACAGGAGCGTGGGTTGCTGCACGCAGCTGCGTTGGCTTTTGGATCCAGCGACTGGGGGATGTCTGTGCACTTGCCCTCTCCACTGAAGCGCCAGCCGTGGTAGGAGCACATGAGCGTGCCATCAGATGGCTCTATGCGGCCCTCTGCATGCATGTTAACTTACTGAAACTTGCGGCATGCATGTGGGCCTATAGGACTCATCTGTGCAGGGATATGGCACATGTAACGCGTACATGTGATGCACAATAGTGCACTCTAGCTGTGCGAATGGGATCCTTAGGCTAGTTCGGCAAAAGAAACATTTTGAGAAGGCCTCACCAGAAAGAGGCGCCAGTCTGTGAGGGCACTTGTCCTCAAAGCAGCGCCACTGCCCTTGAGCATCTCTCCACAGCACCAGTCTCACGCCCAAGAGCTCTTTGGGATGGGGGACCTTGGGGTCAAGATATCTCACGAATGCTAAGGGGTACCACTGACGCTCCCAGTCAAAGGGAGCCTGTGACAAGCAAGGCCTCTGTCAGCAATGCTCAGACAGCGACTTGGAGCGCGCAGGGATGTGAGTCGAACAGGGGATAATCACCTTCTCTTCTTGTGGAATACCTGACACTTCGAGGATTGTGTCTGCAGCCTGCTCAGTATCCAGAGACGCGACGCGCGCTAGTACACCATGCCTGGAGGGAGCCTGCCCAAAAAGGCGATCGATCAAGTTAAAGACCTCTCCCTGAGAACTTCAGAACACATACCAATGATTCCGACGTAAAAACTTCTCTTGTAAGTTCAGCCATTCCGCTCAACTAACCGTGGGGCGATGCGGAGTCTTTCGTCGCTCTACAGCTGGTCTGATAGCAGCCTGAATGGATAGCTTGGCTAAATTTCTACTCAGATTGACGGGTGGCTGAGTACTGGTAAGAACCGTCGTCATCGTCTCAACTAATCTTTAAAATTTTGCGCTAAAAGCATCTGGTTGAGCAACAAATAAATAAGGCAAGCCTGACGAATTTACTTGTACGATCGCACACTTTCGCAGATCCGAAACTTCATAATTTGATACAGAAGGCTCCGTTTCATGCCACCCTTACTTGATGACTTGTCAACGTCACTCTCTAGTAACCGGAGGTGCTCCAGTTGGATCACTGACCAAGACCCGGCCTTGAAGACACAGACCCTGAAGTTGGCATGCCGGCACCAACTCATCATCCAGTTCTGCAGGAAGAAGACAGCAAGTGAATGCAGCCTTGTTAGAGCGCAAGGACTGCGAACAGTGCAGAAAGGTGCAGCTAATACCGTATATTGGCGCCAGTTGGCCCGTTAATACTAATGCATCATGCTGGTGGCAATTGGCAATTTAAAAGCAGAGTTCCATGCCCCTGCCTATGTTGCACAGCACGTGCATGTGTCTAATGCAATCGACAATCAGAATCCAACATGAACGCCTCACAAAACAACGTTAACGCACTATAGTCATCATGATCTTTATGAGTGGCAAACCCAGAGCCCAGAGGGCCATAGGGCATACACAGGTCCGTCTGCAGCCGGGACCCGGGATCAAAACATTCTTATAAAGGGCCTTCAAAGAGCCGTGGCCATGGCGCCCTCAAAGCATGTACTAAACAGTTCAGGGCGAAAGGGGCGATAGGGGCAAACACGTGCCCACACTCATATGGGTTCAAGATCAATTCCTACTGCATTGTGTTCAATAGCTGAGAAGTTCAAAATATACACACAACAGAGTTCTCAAATAAGTGCTTTCAAATGTAGGGTTCTAACTTAAGGCTACCTGAGCTTAGTCTGTGAAGCAAAAGCTGCGAGCATGCTCGAGAATTAATTGTGCTACAAGGACTCCTTTAGTAGTATTGGGTTCCCTAAAGCGTTCCATGGTTTTCTGTTGCTGCGATTCAAAGAATAGATTGCAAAGGCCTCCTGCTTTGGTGTATCGTAAGACATACACTGCAGGAAAGGTCAATGCAAAGTGCTCTAGGTCAGGTCCACGATGCCATCTGCTGCTGGCTGGGGTTGATCTGGCAGCTCTGCAGTAACCATGGGTAGGAGCAAATCCCCCGGCAGACCTTTGGCTGCGTCACTGACCATCGGCTTGTTTGCTATCAGGCTCTGAAGCAGCTCGCCCATCTGCCAGCACACCACCGACAGCTCAGAAAGCACAGCAAGGATATGAGTCATTTTACAAACTTTTCGATGAGGCAGTCTTTCCTCCCTAATTTGGCGCTCGCACTCACTTTCATGTATGCATTCCTATCCTCGTTTGATTTTTATGTGTCACAGTTGCGATTTAGAATTTGGGTAGATTTGCCACCAAGTATTGCGCACAGCCAGCCGTGACACATTTGCGCGTATACCACAAAAGCTCACATCACATCACCAGTTGCTGTGAAGGATTCTCAGCAAGAGCAGGGGTGAGCAGCACTTGGCAGTACAGGCAGCAACACTGAGGGTGAGCCATGCATATGCTATACGTGGTCACCACGTGGTACGGTACACGTGCTGGATCTGCATGCGCATGCGGTGGCGTGCACAGTAACCCCAGGGGCCCTGCTCCAGGGGCAGCAACGTGAGGTTTGCGGCAGGCCAACTGGCCAAACTGTTGTAGAATCACTGGTGGCCGGTTGGAATATCTTTCAGGTCCTGCTTTAAGTGTATTTTGCAAGATCTGAGTCTTCTTGTGTTCTTCTTGCAGACCAGCCGCACCTGCACAGTGTCGGTTGCAGAGTCCCCTCCCTTGCCCTTGCGAGAGTCCCCTGTGGCAGTGATGCCGTCCAGTACAGCTGCATCCAGCCGCAGCTTGCGCGTGGCAAGTGCATGGATGCCCTCGTCCACCGAGCCTTTAGTCACCTGCGCCGTCAACATCACCAATTTTCAAGCAATTCAGCTCTGCAATGGGAGGCATTTGCTGTGCGCAGTTTTAAGGGACTCAGGCCGCTGCCATGTGCCTCACCATGCAGCCATGCCCTCAGCACAGGATCAAGGATGGGGACTATATCATCATGCCTGTCATGCAATTGTGCTCTACGTGTCATGGCACTGAAGGAAATACCACTTGTTCAGCCTCCGCAAAGCTCATTCTGAGCTCCTTGGCACTGAACCCAACCTTGGAAACGCTAAAGGGAACCCATCCAATAACGACCAACAAGAGACCAAGCCAGGCCAGACTTTGCATCCCTTCCTTCCTCCCAGGTGCTTGCATGTTGCAGCCAGTCACGATGGCGCTTTAAGGGTCCAAGGGATTTTAAGAGGGGATGAAATGCCAGTGCCCACGGTTGACTGGGTCTTGCTTGGATCTGGCGAGTCCATCAAGGGGCAGGATTTTGGCAGCCTTTTCTGCAGCTTGTCTGCAGACCACCTTGCTCCTGGCAGGAAGAGCGTGTAATAATAATAAAGATAAATGCCAAAGCGAGGGGGAATGAGCTGACCAGACGATAGACGGTGACGGTGCGCTTCTGGCCGAGGCGGTGGCAGCGGTCCTCCGCCTGGCGGTCTATCTGGGGGTTGAAGTCCACGTCGTGCAGAATAACAGTGTCCGCGCGCGTCAGGTTCAGCCCCTGGCCGCCCGCACGCGTGCTCAGCAGGAACGCAAACACGCCGCTTGCCGGATTGTTGTACCTGCATACAGTGCATGCCAAGCATGTAAGTGCTGTTGTAGCTGCCATCAGCAAGGATGTCACTTCAGTTCCAGACTTGATCCAGACTCCTTGAAGGAACTTTGCGCCAACAGCGCTGACATTAACCGTTTGACGCGCACGCAACTTCCAGTATTTACAAGCTTAGTCTTGATGCTTGAACTGTCGATGCGGCAAGCATGCTGCACGGGTGCTAAACAGGGAAATCTGCGGTACGTGAACACATGTCTAAGGATGTGGTAAAAGGTTTGGCAATTGCCACTTCCTTTACCTCAGTAGATGCATTAATGTGCACAACAGGCAGGATGTGAAGAGAGAGGGGCGCACTATTCTCAACATAGAAACCAATGTGTACACAGGCAAATATGTGGAGAGGGAGGGGCGCACTGGTCTACGAGGGCGAGCCTGTCGGCGACGGCGGTGGAGCCGTCCAGGCGCAGGAAGGGGAGGCCCAGCTGGTCCAGCAGCCACTCCAGCACATCAAGCACAGACGTCCACTGGCTGAATATCAGCGGGTGGTGACCCTCCGCCTGCCATGAAGGCATGCAGGGTCAAAACTGGTTGCCTCGCATGAGAGTTGCGCAACAGCAACACTGTCTGGATATCAGCAAGGATGAATGTGCATGTGCGCTGAGACCTCATTGCTGTGCGTGAGAAGTGCGCGAGCCAAGACCGCTTATGGACAGCACCAATGGCTGCCGAAGGAAATTGCAATGTAAAACTTAATTTCCAACAATACAGGCAACTGGGGATCAGATTGAGAGGATGAGGGGCAGCGGTACAGCAGGGACCGCGCCTTCAGCCGCGGCAGCAGCTGCGCAAGGGTGCGGCACTTGCCGGAGTCCATGACGAGGCCGGCATCGAGCGCGTACTCGCCAAAGCGCTTCGGGTGCTGCAGCGCGAAACGGTGCAGGGCAAAGTCACTGTAACCCGCCATCTCCTCCCGCACACGCGCCGCACTGCACATCTCCCCAAACAGGCCCCTGCAGAGCAAATATCAATTTTAATGGTCACATAACAAGGGTAAACGCTTGGCAGATACAGTATGAAAGAGCACCCCTCAGATTCCACCCGCTGGTGCTCTTCTGATGTACAAGCTGTCAGAAGTACCAAGCAAGCTGGCCGACATTGACAATGCATGAGTAGAACGCAAGCACCATTCTAGAACCCTGCAGAGTAATCTATTGTATGCAGAACGCTATATATCACCTGACAAAGTAGCACTGCAATTGGAGCTGATCCCTTTTGCACTGACCAGGGCAGGACAAAGGTAGGGGTGTACCGTGCATGGGCGAGGCCAGCCATCTTTGCGACCACCTCGTCGCCAAAGAGGCGCCTGACCAGAAGCGGGTGCTGGGCGATCTTGCGCAGGTGCGTGAACATGTTGGCCACCCGCTGCTTGCCCAGCTTCCGCACCAGCTTCTTCGCAGCCGCCGGCGACTGCCCCTCCTCGCGCCCAGATGCCTCTGTGCAGGCAGTTTCATCCTCATCCCTCAGCCCGATAAGCATGCACTGCAATTATTGTCATTCCTGACATCCTGTATTCCTCAACCCCTGAGGTTCCCATCGAGACATGACTCCTCTCAACAGAAAATTGTGCCCAAAACCATAGGAGCCGGTTCTCTGCCAAGATTCCAGCTTCTCCCGAAACTCCCAGATTCGCTCTTTGGAGTCTTCCTACTTTGCTGTCAACGACAGCAACTACCCACGTGCATGGCATCAATGTCAAAGCATGTAGAGCACAGGCGGCCAGAAGTCAGACCTGCTTGCAGGCCGGCAGCGGAGGCTTCGCTTCTGAGCTGCTGCACAGCATCAGAGTACGTGGAGGCCTGCACGGGTGTCATGTCTACAAGCTCCACACGCTGGTCCTTGGACGCCAGCTGGCTAGCCACCTCAGACTTGAGCCGGCGCAGCACAAAGGGCCCCAGCAGCGCCTTCATGCGCTCCGTCAGCCGCTGCATCTCCTCCTCATCCTGCACACAAGCAAGAAGACACCCTGTCAGCTCCAGGACAGTGAAGCTCAGCAGGCATCCATTGACCTCATGTGACGTGATGCCAAATACATAAGAGGGGCGTATGTGAGGTGCTGTATCCACAATCTGTCAGATCTACACTGCACCTCCAAGCACGGCCCCAACAAGACTACTGAAGAATTTTGCACCAAATACACACCATGTCATCCTGCTGTCATAGTAAGATAAGCATGATGGCACACTGTGCACAGCCAAAGCTCAGATGACAAAATCCCTGGCGCAAGACAGTTTGGGACAACATCCTGCAGGAGAGCCTGACCTGGACGTCAGCAAGGTGGGCGGCGGCATCATCCTTGAAGATGTCCGGCAGCAGGAAGCCCAGCAGGTTCTGCAGCTCCTGCAGATCGTTCTGCAGCGGCGTTCCCGTCAGCATGATGCGCTGCTTGCACGTCACCGCCACCCTGCCAGGACACAAGCATAACTCATCTTTACTATTACAGAGACTCTAGTAGAATTACTAAGATAGCGTCATCATTACTTGAATCTTTGCAGAGTCAAGACCTAGGCACGTCCAAGGCTTGAAGGCAGCCGAATCAAATGGAGCTTGGGCAAGCCGAGTCTACAGTACTTGGGCTTGAAAGAGAAAGACTAGGGACTCCTGATTGACTTATGGAACCCAAGACAGAGATGGTCACCCACTCGTGACGCAAGTTGTGGACTACTCTCAATTGCAGGAACTTCGGATCCCACAAGTGGATGCGCTTAGCCTCAGCATAGTGAGGATGTCTTGTCATCACTGGAAGTCAGTAACTTACCAGGTACATCGTGTAGTCATCATCGGCTAAGCGCAGCACATCATCATTACTTACATAGATATCATAGCAGACTGCTAGACACGTTCCTATATTAAGAGCTAGGTACGTGCAAAGCTGGAACACAAGCGAATCATTTGGCAAGCAAAATCTGCAAAACTTCTGCTTGCAAGGAAATATGAGAGACTCCGATTTAATCATGGAAACAAAGGCAGAGAGGGCCACCCACCCTTGATGTCAAATGTTTATCACTCAATAGTGTATCAAGTGCTCTTTCAGGAAGGGGCTGCGCTTAGTCTCAGCATAGTGAGGATGTATTGTCATCACTGGAAGTCAGTAACTTACCAGGTACATCGTGTAGTCATCACAGACTCGGCGCAGCACCCATCCAGACCAATCAAAACCACTTTCACAAGGAGAAGTCCACGTCTATTCACCATGCATGTCAGGCAATCAACTGCCCCACCTAGGAGTCAAGCCAACGCCTTAGAGTCTACTGGATTACGGACTCACCTACCTAAGACATGAAATAGATAAAACGAAGGCTTGCCTGTTGAGGCGCGTGGTGCGCGCAGCAGAGCGGTTCTTCACAGCGTGCGCCTCGTCAAGGACCATGCAGCTCCAGTCCCACTTGCGCAGGAACGCGCGGTCGCGCTTGTTCTCGTACGAGTCCCTCTCAAACAGCGTGTAGCACGTCAGCAGCACGTCAAACGGTGCATCACCATCCCTCCAGTCTTCCTCTGCACATTCACTTAACAACTATCAGAAAAGCTCCACTTGTAGTAGGAATCCAGGCTTCTCTTTTGACACAATGATGCAAGATGTACTAGAATTGGATTTGGGAAGTTCTCTTCCCACAGCTGACTTTGTTGCAGGCATTAAATGCCAGCCGAGGACAGAATATGCAGAAACAGATTAACTCTACTGGGAAACTCTGAGAAGCCCATACAGAAACAAAATCGCAAAGACAAAATGTTGGGGGAGTTGAATTCTAGGAGGCGCACCAGGCGCTGAGGGATCTGCTTCCTGGTCGGATGCCAGGTACTCTGGATCGCTGTCCTCTGCGCTGTCCGTATCAGAGTCCTCTAAATCTGCTCCGGGGGCGCTGTCACCCTGCCCGCCCGCAGATGCGCTGTCTTCGGACTCATTCTGCCTCCGCCTGTACATTGCCACATTAACTTGTGATGCCCACTCCCTGCCTCAATACAGTCTCATGACATGCTCAAAGTGGGGTTTTGAACAATGTTATTGGGTTGGAGCCAGAACATGTGACTGTTACAAGAATCTTCTGGCACGGCGTGCAAATGTTTATTTGCTGGTCTCAACAACGCAGATTCCAGTTGTAATCAGATGGAGAGGTTTAATGTTCTCTTGAACAGGTCTCAATGCACCTGTGATCCAGGAGCTCCTCCCTGATCTGCAGCCGGTCCTTGCCATAGTAGAGCACCACTTTGAGCGAGGGGCACCACTGCTTCAGCTCGCGCTGCCAGTTCTCCAGCAGGCTTGCCGGCACCACAACAATGTGCGGGCCTGCATCTTTGTCCAACACACGCCGCACGCCTGCAACGGCACAACGCAATTAAAGTGCGCAGTGCATCTATCTGACGTCTTTGTCGCAGGCGCTACTAAATATGCCATTCAGAAGCGCTTGAGAATGGAGGTATACAATGTAGAATCTGCAGTTTGACGAGCAGGCTCACAGCTCATACATAGAGGCATGCAGTGCGCTCACCTAGGAAGGCAATGGCCTGCGCAGTCTTGCCGAGCCCCATCTCGTCGGCCATGATCGCGCCGCCCACGCCAGAGCGAGCCAACAGCGTCAGGAAGTTCACGCCCACCAGCTGGTAGCTGCAACAGCAGGGACGCCTTTATAATCCTGCACTTTCCTCCTCCGCCCTTGCAATGCAGAACAACAGGACACAACCAGCAGACGACTGCACAGCCTTTCAAGTAGTGCACAATTGAAAGGCCTCCACTTGCCGCCTTGACATAGTCAGATGGCAGGAAAAACAGAAGTAACGCTCTAAGAAAGCAAGTGCAATAAAGATCTTGACCAGTACCTCTTCAGGTATCTGGCGGCGTCGCCACAGGCATCAATGAGCGCATCATGGGAGACCATGGGGGCTGCCTCCAGGGAGGACACCCTGTCTGTCACCACGCTGCCTCCCAGGACGTTCTTCAGACTCTGCGATATCGCCTCGCACCGCTGCAGCACGTCGTCAACATGGTCCGTCTCAAGCTCCTCTCCCACCTCTGCCAAGTCAATTGCTGCATGCTGATCTGCACCAGCACATCTTCATTTTGATGAAGATGTATTACCTCATCTGCGGTCCCACCCTGCCTCTTGGCAGCAGAAGCATGTAGTCATTGTATCATAACCCACCATCTCTACTAGCATCCTGAGATATACACTGGGACAGGGGAAGCCTTGAGGAAGAGAAATTGGCAAGCAGGGAGCGCCTCTGCCATGTGCTTGGATGAAACGGCTGCGCACCTCGGCAGAGATCAACGCGCATGGCTGGCTGGACAACCTGCTCATCATCTGAGGTGTCCTGGATCTCCTCAACCTCTTCTGGGGGTGCCTGCTCAGTAGATGTGTACCATGAGCATGATTGTGTGCCTCACTTATTAAAACAGTTAAGGTCATAGAGGAACTTACTCAAGATGACAAAGACAAAGCAGCTTGCTTACCTCTTGGTTAGCCTCGGCTTCAGGCACAACATGATCATCCTCGCTGTCAGAAAGGATGGTCTGTTTGAAGATTCTTCTGGTCTTTGTCGGACTGGAGCTCCTTTCTTTCTTTGCTCGCGCCTGCTCATCTGTTAGATCAAAGTGTCAGCCTGCTGTCCGAGGATGGATGTTCCTCAAGACGCCGTCTAGATTAATCATCAAATCTGCATCCGTACCAGCCAATTTGACGAGCCGCCTGCGTTTCCGGGGCTGCACAGCAGCAGGAAGGTCCTGCCCGTTTACCTGCAGCAATGACAGCTCTTGGTGTCAAGAATCTGACAGGGGTAAGTTTTCGTTTTCAATTGATTACCGCTGATGCATGAGGGCATCTGCATCAATGATTTCTAGTTGGTAAAGCTATGTGTGGACAGGAGGCCAGGCCAGACGTGCCTTGGGCTCAACTGCTGGATTCTTCATCTTATATTTGTCAAAGAGGCCTGCAGATATACACGGGAATTACAGTTCGCCCAGAACATCTTTCAACTAGTCTGTGCAAGTCACACATGCAAATCCTGTTCAATATCAATGAGTCTAGAGCATGCCGTAAGCTCACCGGTGTGCGCTGACGCGGATTGAGTACGATTGCTCTCAGATAAAGGCTTCGGTCTGGCACCACCCAGGTCCAATTTGAGCTGAAAGCTGGGATTTGCCGGGCCTATATCGTCGTCCTCAGAATCCATAGCAAGGTCGACGATAGTCTGAATTTTATAATGGAAAATTCGCGCATGCACCTTCTCTATGGAGGGATCAGATATGTGGTCAGATGTCTTCAATCATCACATAACGGTGGTTGAAATGCACCACTTCTTTCGAGCAGGCCCCTGAATCCCAAAGACACACTGCACAGCTTTGGTGACAGGAATGACGTAGGACTTGTCAAATACAATTCCAGCACATCAAACCACAATCCACCGAGGTGGAATGTGTTGTGATGGAATCTGGGACCATCATGCTGTGCTAAAGGTGTTGAGGTTTCGAGCGGCGGGCGCCAATTTGCATGCCAAGGGTCGACGGCGTCTCTGCTGGCCTGGGCCAAAATCAACAATTCTGACTGGCTTGCCATCAGGCCTTTGATTCCAGTGATGTAAGGTGAGTGGGCACCACTTTATGCTCTCTAGGAGCACGACCGTGCGTCATGCCCGTGCGGCCGACCAGAAAAGCAGCTCTTGAAGCAAAACGCAAGATAAAGGAAAACGCTCCTGGGGAAAGCGAGCAGGCTGTGCTGATAGCGCCCAAGGCGCCCGCGCAACGCGGCCGGCCCGCGCCATCAAAACCCGAGGAGCCGGACGTGCCTGCTGCCAGGAGGACGAGGGCAGCTGCACAGGCTGCTCGCACTCCTGCAGTCCAAGCAGCTCCCCCTGCCCAAGCGCAGGGCAGAGCAGAGCCTGGCGTGAAGGCAGAGGTGTCAGCAGCGGCCATCGAGGAGGAAGAGCTGCTCCCGGACCCGGAGGAGGATATGAGAGGCAAGGAAGAAGGGGATGAGAAAGCTGGCCCAAGTGGGAAAAAGGATGCAGCAGAGGACGAGGCTTCCACAGCACCATTGCCGGAGAAGGTGCTGCTAATTCTCAATCATTAGATGGGATCTGTTTCATGACATCCATGCAATGTGAATAGCGAGCTGTTAAGGCCTTTTGAAAGGGTTTGCCCTGATTGTCTTGCTGAAGGTACACCTGATGAAGGATGCTCACTGATCAGATCGAATGGTGACACAGCAAGCTCTGAACGCTTTCCTTGATGCTGCAGTGCCAAGTGGGTGGCTCTCCAGTGTACATCGTGGAGCGCAAACTTGGCAAGGGCGGGTTCGGCCAGGTCTATGTAGGCAGAAGAGCTGTACAGACTACGGCAAAGGATGGGCCAAATGCAAATTTTGTAAGTGCAATGCTGTTCTGATGATACACTGGCCTTGATCACTTGCTTCCATCTGTTTTTATTCCCCTTTGGAAACACTGCACCCACCTGTGTAGTCCACCGGTGAATTTATTGCCAAGTGTCGTGGAGTGTTACTGACTGTTAGCTTTTGGAATGGTGCAGGTAGCGCTCAAATTTGAGCATAGAAGTAGTAAAGGCTGCAATTATGGCCCTCCCTATGAGTGGTCAGTCTACAGGTGGGGTGCCACCTCACAAAGCTGGTGTCTCTGATGCTAAATGACGAAGCGGCATACAGATCTGTTCAGTGTTGAAACATGCCCTGTCAATCTTCCCTAAATCACAGTTTCCCACAGTGTCATGCCTAATGATATTGTGCCACTCGCAGCAGCTCACTCGGGGGGATACACGGCATCCCCAGGGTACATTACAAAGGCAGGCAGGGCGACTACTACGTCATGGTGAGTCATTTTGTCACTTGGAAGATAGCTCAAACATTTGCAATGTGCAGATAGTTAGATGCAGGAGACTCTTATATGTGAAGACAGGCTTGTGCCATGAGCTGCGCGATTGAATTGCTGTACACCTTCGATCAGCTGTTGTTTTGCAGGTCATGGACATGTTGGGACCCAGCCTGTGGGACGTGTGGAACTCCCAGGGCCAGGTCATGTCCCAGGAGATGGTGTCGTGCATAGCAGTAGAAGCCCTGTCCATCCTGGAGAAGTTGCATCTCAAAGGGTGCGACGCCACGTTGCTGCCTCAAAGCAGTTGTTTTCATATTGCCACAGTATCCTGGGCTCTTTCTTGGATCCGAATGTTGGTCCTGCACTACCAAGTTGTGCTGTGCATGCGAAGAGATCCAATCTCGGCCAGTGAATTGGCCTCAGATCTGGCAAGTTCTGGACCTTTGAGAGGTGCTGTAAGGTGCTGATGGGCAAGGAATGGCTGTGCGCAGGTATGTGCACGGGGATGTGAAGCCAGAGAACTTCCTGCTTGGGCAGCAGAACACGCCCCAGGAGAAGCGGCTGTACTTGGTGGACCTGGGCCTTGCCACCAGGTGGCGCGAGTCAGTCTGTGGAACGCATGTAGAGTACGATCAGCGGCCAGACGTGTTCAGGTGAGCCCATTCAAACTTGTGAACTCTTGCATAACACCTGATTTATTCTAGAAGCTGTAATTTTTGCCTTGGATGGCATTTGCACTGCACATCTTGGCTTTTGTGCAATGGACTGCTGTGTTGCAGCTTAGCATTGGCTCATCAGTGCCCAAGTGCTGTGCGCATGCTTCTCTGTCAAATTGTGACATTTGCATGGCTGACTAATATTTTTTTATGCACAGAGGGACGGTGCGGTATGCGAGCGTGCATGCGCACCTGGGCCGGACCGCCAGCAGGAGGGACGATCTGGAGTCCCTGGCGTACACCCTCCTCTTCCTGCTCAAGGGCCGCCTCCCATGGCAGGGCTACCAGGTACCTGCCTCTCACTTGTGGTGCATTTATTTGTCAGGATGGCGTAATATTGCAGAGGAGCAGTGTTGTCCTTGACACCACAGGTACTGTGCCTACCATCGTCTTTACATGTCTGTCCCAACATGCCCATTGATCTGCAAGAGGGCACGGAAACCGGAGTGGCACGTGTGGAGTTGGTAGGTACTGTTTCTGTGGGTTGGGTGTCCCCTTTCAGCGGTGAAGTCATGCAAGGGGAGCTAACCATCTGAGTCTGGTGTGTTTGCAGGGAGACAACAAGGGCTTCCTGGTGTGCAAGAAGAAGATGGCGACGAGCGCGGACCTGCTGTGCCGCTACACGCCGCCAGCCTTCCGCCAGTTCACCGAGGCCGTGGTCAACCTCAAGTTTGACGAGGAGCCCAAGTACACCGCCTACGTGGCGCTGTTTGAGCCACTGTGCGGGCCCGGCCCGGCGCGGCCCATCCTGCTGGAAGAGAAGCCCAAGGTCGGCCAGAAGCGCGGCCGCGAGGCCATCGAGGAGGACGTCGAGATTGTGCGCCCCCACTCCCTCCCCTGCTCTCTAACGCCCCTTTCCCTCGTTGAACCAATTTTATAGGCACTCCCTGGACGCGGAGATTGTGTGCCCCATCTTCCTCTCCTGCTTTTGTGCCCTCTCCTGGTTCAGGCCTGCTGTTGGCATGCACTTCATCACGCACCTAGAGTCCATAGTGTTTGCCAAAGTAAGTGATGGAGCATTCGTGCTTGAGGACCGAGACCGCTTTCTCCCCGGCCCTCTGTTGCCCCTTCCCCAGTTGATCCATTGCCCTAGACATGCGATTCCTGATCCTGCAGCCTTCAGATTGCGACATGTTTATACAAATCAAGTGATGGAATCAGGGTGCTTCTGGACCAGGATTTGGCACATGCTAGGCTTCTGCGTAGCAATCGCCCTTCATTCTTTGCTCAGCATCGCGCCGAGCACCTTCCTGAACTATGTCCTTCTGTCAGGGCGCGCCACGCGTCCTTGTCAGCAGCTCGTGATCCAGAACGACTCGAGCATGCGATGATAGCTTCATCAAAAACCTTGCCAGAATTGGCGCTTCTGATAACTTGGAGCTTTGACAGAGCGGTGGCGCTCCTAACTGAGTAGAGTCTTGACAGAGTGGCGGATTTGCTGGCGCAGGTGCCGAAGAAGAAAATCCGGCTGGGCCTGCCGGCGACGCAGTGGATCACGGTGTACAACGCGCACCGGCCGATGAAGCAGCGCTACCACTACAACGTGGCCAACACGCGCGTGGACCAGCACGTGGAGAAGGGCAACGACGACGGCCTCTACATCTCCTCAGTCGCCTGCTGCCACGAGCTTTGGGCCCTCATTATGGATGCCGGCACCGGCTTTGCCGCGCAGGTTTGCACCCTGCTACTTGTTCCCTTATACACTGGCAGTGCCTGATGGGCCCCCAATCATATGCACCTACTCTGCACTGCGACAGCCTCTTCAGGTCTTATGTCATGGTCAGACGGTCGCCGCGACACATGTCCAGATTACTTTTGAGTAAAAATGGATACATTTGATGGCAGTTGTCTTCTGACCTTGGCAAGGGTTTGCCGGTTGCTCTGGGGAGTGATCGTGTGAACACGTGCTGCTGATTGTTGCCCTGTATTATATATATGCCTGTTGCAGGAATTCTAAGTTGGCAGCCGATGTGGCTCCTCTATTTCTGACGGATTTGGGGGCTTTGTGGCTGTCCAGGTGTATGAGCTGAGCAGCATGCACTTCCTGCCCAAGGACTGGATCATGGAGCGCTGGGAGGAAGGATTCTACATCACAGCCATGGCCGGATCCGCTGGTGGCTCCTCCCTTGTAGTCATGTCCAAGGGCACTCCCTACACCCAGCAGAGCTACAAGGTGGGCCTTCCCTTTGCCGCATCATACCCCCTGTATGCCAGGGAACATGGTCAAAGAATTGTAAGATGACAGCAGGCGTCTTCAATAAGAGTCCTGTTAAGCAACGTAGCCTCAATTGGTAGCCCGGACTGCCTGACCAACAGCCTTGTTGTGCTAATGAGCATAGGAGTTGTCTTAATGCCAAGTAAAAGATCAGTCAGGTGGGATATTAACTGGGGTGTCAATCTGAGGGTAAGGGGTATTCTTGGCTGGCAGCAGAGCAATACTGTTAACATGTGACACGTGGTGCCTGCCAGGTTTCGGACTCGTTCCCCTTCAAGTGGATCAACAAGAAGTGGAAGGAGGGCTTCTACGTGACATCCATGGCCACCTCGCACACGCGCTGGGCCGTCGTCATGTCGCGCAACGCCGGCTATGTGGACCAGTGCGTCGAGCTCGACTTCCAATATCCCTCTGAAGGCATCCATCGCAGATGGGATGCAGGTGGTTAGTTTTTTTCCTCTCCCCCCGTTCCGTGCGCAAACCTGACGCTGCCCAATGCTGTCCCACCCTCTGATCAGTGATCTGCTTGCCTGTCATTGCTTGTGTATAATTGCCGTGACTCCCATTGGACATGCGGAAGTGCAGGCTATTTGATGCTTGTTGATCCACGATAGGTGACTAAGTGCATTCAAGTGTCTGTCTGAACCTCGTCTATGGCTGGAGATCACCATGTCGATGCTTTTTGGAAGCGTCGCAGGCTGGCTGGTGCTGCTTGATCAGCAACATGTGTCTAGTCTGGTCTTGAGTACATGTCTGCTCTTTATACTGAATTGACCCAACCTATGAAGTCTGGCCTTGAGTGCATGTCTGCTCCTCCTCATTAACGGCTCGAGAAGACAGATGTGAGGTCTCCAGTCCTGTGCTGCAGGCTACAGGATCACGGCCTGCGCGGCGACGCCGGACCAGGCGGCCTTCGTGCTGAGCGTGCCGCGGAGACGGCCGGTGGACGAGACGCAGGAGACGCTGCGCACTTCGGCCTTCCCATCCACGCACGTCAAGGACAAGTGGGCCAAGAACCTCTACATTGCCGGCGTCGCGTACGGCCGCACAGTGTCGTGAGCTGTGGCCCTGCAGCCGTCCTCATCTGGCTGGCTGTGCAAGGAATCCGTGCCGCCGCCTTGCCCAGGAGTGCTTGGCTGCACAGTGTCATGAGTTACGGTGCTATGCAACGGTCCTCATCTGCCTCCATAAAAAGGAGTTCATGCAGCGGTCTTCATCTGGCTGTGTCGGGGGCACTATGCTGCCGCTATGCCAAGGATTGCATGCATGCAGAACAGACGGCTTAAGAGTCTAGCGATGGAGGATTGCAGGTACTGCCGCGGTGCCCGTGTGGCTGTGCAAGGGGGCCCTGGCAATGGAGTGCCTGCGGAACTGATGGTATCGATGTCAGCAATGGAGGATTGTGGGACTTGCAGTGTCTGATGGTTGGTCAGTTGGTTGAGGTGATATCAGCGAGATGGTAGCACTGACAGGCATGCTTGGGCTAAGAGTGGCAAGCATGCTGTAGCAGTCCTTGGAAGGTAGGCAGACACTCTGCACGTGATCTGCAGTTACACTAGATGTGCAGAGCCTGCCACAGAGTGTGTGATTGTGCACTTCGAATCTGTTGAACAAGGGAGACTGGTTGGTGTGGGCTGCTGCGCGACTGTGCCAACCTCCGCCCCGTGTGATAGCAATCTCTGTTGGGGTCTTATGATAGTTGGTGCAAATCAACGTTCTCGCCATGTAGACTGTCAACAACATCTGCCATGCTTCAGTCCCGCTCATCACTGATGATGGAGGGACGGATGCGGAATTAGACAGGAACTAGATTTCCTATTTGATCCAGGATGATACAAATCTGCACACATGTGATCCAGGCACTACTGTAAAGCCAGTGCCCAGAGAATGTACCATAGCTATCACTGCTGAGAGATCTCTTTTTTCTCTGTCGATGATGCATCAATACGATAGGAGTTTACTGGCCTCAGCAGACCACTGATATTGGTCTAAACTTCCAAGATATTCTGTGTCGGACAAATGCTGTAAAAGCTTCAGAGCTAATTAGTTGGCCTATGATTACACTTCACACGAGCACAAACACGAACCCATGCGCATTCTCTTCTCATACGTACAAGTTTTGCGCGAACAAGAAGGCCAGCATGCACATCAGTCCTTTTAAACATCACTCGAGTCCCGTTTGATCATTTTGCGCCAAAAGTATAAGGCCAAGGTCAGATCTATCCCGAGCTTGCTGAGCTAGCTTCTCCACTCTCACTGCCCATAATTCTCCATGAGGCACCACCACAATTCTTCGCCACCGCCTGTCAACATAGTCACCTTCTTCCTCATCATAATCTTCCTCTCTCGCATTTTCTGTACTGCTGCTTGCTCTCTCAATCTTCTCCCTCATGCCCTGCTCCCCTGAGATCCGATCCTTGCTGTCCTGTAATGGCATCATCGTAAAGAAATTGATGCATTTGTTCGACTCCTTCGTATCAAAAATCTTGGCTTGGCACGGCTCCACCCACCTCTGAGAGCAGGTGCATGTGGACTGCCAGATGGGACGAAGGAGTGCAGCTGCCAAGGCGCTCAGCCCATTCAAACAAGCAGATGCCACTGCTCAGAGCATCGTCTAGCTCCAGCCTGCCAAGCTCTGACGGCCCAGCCAGTCTGTACAAATCAAAGTGGTGCACAATCTCTCCTGCGCTAAATTTAAGTTAGAGCTTGGATCAGGATTGCAATGACATCTCTAGGATTCAGTCCAGGGTGCTGCATGCAATTTGCAAACCGCACCTTTGGCGTTGTCATATGTGTTCTGCAGCAGATAGGTCGGGGAGGGCACGGGCAGATCGGGATCATCAGTAAACGCCCTGATGAATGCTCGACTGCAAGGAGCACATGAAGACTGATCAGTCATGCTCGACATGGTGCAGCAACGTTTGCCTAGCACTAGAGATTGACTAAGGAGTCAATGAAGTACCTGAAGACGCTCTTCCCTGCCCCAACATCGCCATACAGGCAGACGCAGTCCATTACATCTGCTCCTCTTGCAAGATATGCGGCCAGTGTATTCGTAGTCCGTTCATTGGGGGACAGGAACGTCAAAGAGGAGCCATACTGTGACGCTGTCGCACACGTGCGCTGCATGCATAATCTCAATGGAACATTTATTTTTCGGAATTGATGAGAAGGCAAACGATAACAGTTTCGCAACAGAGCTAGACTACCCATGTCCCATCCCGATCAGACGGCATTCAATGATATATCAGGCCAAATGTGGCTGGGTCAAATTTGCGATGAAAACTAGCCTTTCCAACTTCCTGCATTTACGATTGTGAGCACATTGCTGATAAAATTGGCTGGAATGAAGGAAATTCATGACACGTGGTATCACATGTGTAATGGGATTGATCAAGAGGCGTTCCTGGCCTGGAGGTCTTCTTCCTTGCAGATAAATCCATTTGAGACAACATTATTGCTCGCAGCGTTGCGAGAGGGCTGTTGTTGGCTTGATGACACATGAAGTCACACCTAGGGTGTGCACTGTCATGTCCTCGGCTCCGATCACGTCGCGCATAGGGGATGCAGTCAATTTTGAAGTGATTTAGAAGGATCCCTCCACGACGCTTGGCGGAGTGGTGATGTGCAAACTATCTGCGTCCACGAATGGTTCCTGAATTGGATCCCATGTTCCGTCTCCGGCATCGATGTTGCCTTCCGCCCACGATGGTCAGGTATGAGCAGACTTTTGCAACCGCTTTCCAGGACGTAGTTGGCGTGGCTTCTACATGCAATGAATAGGAAATTTTTTCTAGAGATTGTTATCATGTCAGGCATCTCCGTATTTTTTCAGGCATACCAGCCGCCACCATGGTTTGGCCCCGCATTCGAGGTTCTGGTTCACACGTCGGAGAGACTTGACTAGCTTCATTCGTCGCACAGAATTTGCTAAAATAAGAAGCCCTAATGGGTGCTGTCTCCTGGTCGATGATGCAAAAGATTCCATACAAAGACTCTGAACAGCACATGTCAGACACAAGAATCATGCACCACTATCTGAGACCAGGAGCTGCATTCTACATTATATTATATTGCACTATATTGCACTATATTCCTTCTCTGCACTGATGCAAGTTTTTGGTCAAAACTGACACTGCCAGACTCACCTCTGTGTTCCTGCCAGGTGGGGAATGGAGTGCGGCTGCTGAGACGGCGACAGCTGTCGTCAAGCTGCAGACATGACTCCTGCTTCACAGCTCATGGGCAAACACCAATGATGCGTCATGGATGAAAATTGAGCAAGGTAAGAGCGCAGCACGAAGGGCCACTCTCGGTGGAAACCATGGCAAAACCCCCCGCAAGGGGGGAGCACATTGCATGAGACTCTGATGAGACCACCGGGCGAAAGTCCCCGGGCAACGAGGCAGAAAGTGCCACCCCGAAAGGGAAGGACCCCGCAGCGCACGGGTCCCCTCCGGGGGATTACGGGCCTGGGGGCAGCTTGCCGTAGCAACAGTTATGTGGCCAGTGGGGACACAACCCACCAACACAACGGGGCTTACTCTCGTGCTGACGCTCCCACCACTTTTCATAGGTGCCATCTCTAGTGGATGTGGCGGGGAGAAGACGGCTGGTTCAGGACTGAAGGACGCCTCTACAATCGCCAGCTGGGCGCATATAGATGGCTCAGGACTGGAGAACATTAGTCCTGGACTTCCCATTATTCACTAGGTAAGCATCTGGCTCGGTAAGTTGTCTTTGGAAGCTGTCTGGAGAAGCATCATTGGTTGAATCTTGAGGTGGGGGCTGCTGGCATGGAATGATGATACAAATGAACCTATCACAGACCTGATCTGATTTCCTGATTGAGACATTCATGCACCACTCTGACCATACCGCAGCCCCTCCTCAGCTTGAAGTAGTTGGTGCCTGTCATAGTTGAGATTGTTTCGATGAAAATTTGCAACGTATATCTGCTGTCATGCCTTCTGTGCATTGGGATCTGCACCAGAGCACATTATCATGCACCCTGGACCTCCCAGTGACCGGTGCTGGGCTTGTTTTGCAGGTGCTGCCAGGCGCCAGTGGCGCCTAAAGGAATCGGCCTTTTGCTTGCCTCACGCACCGCCATGCAATGGACCCGATGTTGAAGGGAGGTTGGCACAATGAAGATTAGTTATTTTGCCTGTCACTGCACACTGCAGGAATAGCTAGCTACAGCCTGAACATACCACGGCCAGTGCGCTGCCTTGCAAGCCTTGCAAGCCCACTGATTGCTTTGTCAGCCTTGGCAAAGTCTGTGAATGTCGGCTGGAAATTTGCTTGCAGAAGATTTGATAATGAAGAATGTAAAGGCTTGTGATGTCCTGCTGGGGGAGAGCCTCGAGACTTGATCATAAGTGCTCTTTGGATGTGGCTCCATGACGATAGTATGTCCCTGCATCGCTGCATGACACGTTGGTTTCAATATAACATTTCTCGGAAGTACCGATATCCAATGCACGAGCTTGCTGGAGGCGTCGAGGTCTCCACATCACCGGTTGATGATCACCCTGATCTTTGATTCAACGATCTCCTCAGATCTGAAACATCAAGTGCAGTAGTGTTGGCTTGTCCTGTGAACAACGCATCCCCTGTTGCCGACCCAAGAAAACGACCGAGGGTTGTGTTGGGAGAGATCGTACTATTGTTGAACGCCCGGGAGGCACTTGGTAGAGTTTGGACGCAATGAGAGGGATGGTCTGTGTTCTTAGACAGGCGACAGTGGTAGCCGGGCTGTGTCTAGCCCTTGCGACCTTGGGGGATCCTGTCGAGGCTGTCACCTGCCGACAGGGACCTCTGGCCGCTTCGAAGTACTGTACTCTGCCAGAGGGCTTAGGAAACTTCCAGGGTACGCTGTTTTCATGCCCAGATCCGCAAACACTGAATTTTGGCCGAGACAAGGTAGCTATTTTCTTGATGGTTGCGGGAGTCCGATTGAACAGTATTTTCGCTCTGCAGGATACTACCGATGCGCAGACAGCGTGGCGTTAGGAAAGCCGACCAACAAGTCCGAACTGACCGAAATTATCGGACGCTACAAGCGCGTGAAGGGTGTTGGAGTGGGGCACAGGCAGGCCTACAGACCATTGCCTTCGTCACCTGGGACTCCGCTGTCCTAGAAGCGCAGGATTGTTTGAATCCTGCAGTCTGCGAAATTGGGGATCTCGATCAGCAGATCAAAGGATCCAATCTGATTGCGCATGCCTTCGTTGGATTGTTGCAAGGCAAAAGAACTAAAAGCCATTGCTGTGCCTTGCAGCTGGTGGCAGCAGCAGTTCTGTGCAGGGGATGGTGCTGATGCAGTGGGCATCGTCACTACAGAAATGACCAACACACTACCACAGTGAGTCTCTGTGCCCGTTCTTTGTCAAGTGGGTCAGTAGCTGGCATGGGCTCCCTCGGTCATCTTGCAGGCAGCTGTCAGCGGCCTTGCATGTAGAGCAGAAGCAGTGGTGCATCTTGGAAAAATTGCCCAAGGCCGATTATTCCCTGTACAGTCCTAAAAACGCATTCTCACCAGCTCAGATGTCCAAGTAAGGTCTGGTTCTGATGCAGGATTGTGAATCCAACGTATGCAAAGCAATCAGATGCAGTCTTTCCCATCCAAGTCAACGAGGAGGCCCGGACGGTCAGGGTGCAGTCAGGGATTACTCAGCGCATCCTTCTGGACTACCTGGCAAATTACACGTGCGCCCAAAAATTACTCTCTGTAAATCCGCAGCTGTGAGCACTTTCCCTGGCCACTCATCCGCAATTCAGCATCAAGCACTGACAAGCCCTCCAAATGCAATATATTATCTGCCAGCTCCCATGTTGGCAATGGGGCAGCCACTGACCAAGAATTTGTAATGCATCGTGTGCACTCCTGATATGGAGCAGCAAGACAAATGTGCACCTTCCGCAACGACACATAGTATGCACGCTTGCAAAGGATTACCAGGAAAATTGGCATCGGGCTTTAGTGAGTCGTGCTTGAGATTGTGCAGGACCGCAAAGGCGCCATATGGGTATGTGCTGCCGGCGTTTGCCTGGTATGTGGACCAGACTGTGGGAGGGGCTGTCTCCACTGGAACCCACGGCTCCACCATGTTCTGGGGCAGCCTGTCATCCCAGGTGTGCATCTACTTGAGCTTTGTAAAATTGTCTATCCTCTCTGAAGAGAGACCGATAGCAACCTTCCAGCCTTCGGTGTTTGGCTGAGATGTCTTACCAGATCATTGAAGAACATCCTCCATGCTTGCCTTTTGGAGCTGTTGCATGTGCGTATATAAAAGGCAGATGAATGCAGCATGCACCATCAGAAAATGCAACAGAGTTGCCTGAGAAGGGAAAGATGTGCAGGCGGTGAGGATTGAGTTGGCGCTGGCGAATGGCACTCTGCTGGTCCTGACGCCTGACAGCAACCCCCACCTGTGGAAGGCCGGCCAGGTATGACATTTCGACAACCCCTGTATATTTAGACAGATTTAGACAGATGCATCATTCATTCCCTCTACTGCCTGCCTTACACCTGTCACAGAGTGCTCACATTTGCATGCCAACATGCCTTCTATCTGGCTTTCTTTTCACGCCATTCTAGTGCAATCCTTGTACTTCCTGCATCATATTCCAATTCATCTTACATTCAATCCATTGAGGGGAGGTGCTCTTAGATAAAAAGGAATGCAGGCATCGAGGCAGAGCAAGCGCCAGAAGATAGGAGGAAGGGCTGCCTTGCAAGTGCATGTCATGCAACAATAAGATCATTTTCCGGCCCAGGAGCACTGAATGACCATGCATACAAGTGTGGTTAAACGATGTATGTGTGGGTGTGCAGCTGGCAGTGGGGCGGCTGGGTATAATCACAGAGATCGACTTCAAGATCGTGCCGCAGCGGCTGCTGACGCGCAAAGTGGTGCCCCAGACCTTTGACGCATTCCTGGAATGGACCCTGGCCGCCCAGGACCGCTACAAGGAAGCTGTCGCCGGCGGCTCAGAAGCCGCCATTTCAGCCTCCCTCGCTGAGGTGGACATGACGCAGGTGCGCGCAACCTGATCCTGCGCTTACTCATCGCTGACTGATCATCACCGTTCCGTGAAGCAGCCCGGAGGCAATCGGTTCCTTCGCTTCACCGGCAATTAGTCACCCACCACTCACTGATGCCGAATGGTTCACAGTGGAACCTGTGTGTCTATACAATGACTGGCTAGTTGGATAATGACTGTGCACCTGAAACTTGTGCTCACTAGCGCATGTACAGGCATTTAGAATCAGAGCAGCATGTATGACGGACCACAGTGCAGGGCAAGGTGGTAATTTTTCAGAAGAGCCATGTAGCAATTCTGGAGTGATCATTAATTTGTCAACTTGAGCCTGGATTCCAAAGTTCCAAAGTCTCCCGACAATTTGCTCAGTGAGCCTGCCTGGAACACTATGGTCACACGTTCTCTGCTGGTGCAGCTCTTCTGGTTTGTGCCGCTCAACCAGACAATCCTGATCACCTACAACAGCTCGGACATCCCCCGCCAATTTGTGGGCGGAAAACAACCGGCCACCGCAATGGGACCCTCTGTTATGGCCCAGTCAACCACCGGCCGCCGCCTCCTGCAAAGCGAGCTCCCCTTCTGCATATCTTCACCTTACTATCATTATCGCAAGATGCAGCCTAAGGCCGGGATCTTCAGAAACGCTGCCTTGAAGGGAGTGAGCCTTGCGTGCCAAGACAGGCTTCACATGTCGGGGCCCATGCGTTTTGCATCTGTATTCCTTCTGCAGATGGTTTTACAGTACTTTTTCTTTAGACACCCTCTTGCACAATACGTTAGCCTTCAAAAGTGTAGTTGCATGTCCGGCATTCTTTGCGCAAGTCTTGCCCTGATAACCTGACACCAGACAGAAGAGCCTAGCGTCTCTACTGTGACATAAATGGTGTTGCATGCAAGTCAAAGTAGCACCAGCTTGCGAATGATCTCTTGCAAGGTTGGATCGCATGAGCTGATGAATGAGAGCTGATGAAAATCTGCTGTGCCATGCAGAGGAGCTGTCCGAAGGGGTGTACGCCCAGGCACCTTCACCCACCCTGGGTCCCAATATTGCCATCACCCAGAATCCTGTGTGAGTCGCTTTAACCTCCTGTTGTGACAGATCTCGCTGATATACTGGCCCCTCGGGGCAGCTTTGGTTGCAAAGATTCCCTGCTCTTTATCTCTTCACTTGAAAAATACCAAGCACGCTGATTTTGCATGAGTGGTCACTGGAAGTTGTGGAAGCGAGATTGGTGTGACTTTTCAGGGCTTTCAATTTCCTCTACAAGGCAGCCATGAGCGGCATTTTCCAGAACGGGACCCTGACAGAGAGACAGTAAGCTCTCCCCCACAATTCCCTCGAGATGTGAGAGATTCTTGTGCTGCGATCAAAGCTGCCTCAAAATTTGGCTGTGGTTCTTTTCGAAAGCATGGCTGCAAATTCTTGTCTGAGTGCCGTGCAGGGCCATCCTCAACGAGAATGAGTTCATCAACAAGCAGACTTCAGACACCGATCCGTGCGCCCATTGAACCACTGTTCCTTGGAAAGTCTGCTGTGCTTTTTCTGGCTGCATGATGTCAGCAGATCACTTGTCAGATATCAAGCATGACATTCCTCTGCAGCTTCCCAAGTTATACACGATTAGCCTCTGCCGCTACCCAAGGCTGGGAGACGCTTGTTTGTCAAACAAGACGAGGGTTTCACTGGTGATGTGCGACACTTATGCATGGAATTGCATGTGTGCAGGTACGACCAGTACGAGGTGTCTGTGCCCCTGCAAATTGCTGGCGACTGCCTCAAGAAGGCAAGCCCCCCAATGTTCCCTGACAGCATTCCAATCGAACAACACCGGCATGATGACAGCTTCTGTGAGAAGCATGAAACCCATGAAGTCAGCACATGCCTCTCAGTCAGAAATACCCCAAATGACCCAGAGCAGGACACCCTCATTTAAATTTATATTTCAAAAGTGCTGACGGAAAGGTGCAAACACTCAGCACCGTGCCCACGGTTGATTGGGTCTTGCTTGGATCTGGCAAGTCCAACAAGGGGGAAGGATTTGGCAGCCTTTACAGGCAGCTTGTCTGCAGACACACCTTGCCACCTGTGGTGTGAACAATAATTATGAAGTGCCGCGTCTCCTGAATACTCAGTAGAGTCTGCGCGTACCCTGCATGCACTCTGGTGCTTGAGCCAATTGCCGAGAATTCTGTTGCCAGATTCAAATTCAAAATCGCCACTGCAGGTCGGTGACGCGGTGATCGCTGAGAACCTGGGGCCCGGATTCGCGGTGCCGCCGCTGATCCGATTTGTGAACGGGGAGGAGGCGTACCTGGCCAACACCAACGGCGGGCCGCGCATGTTCTTCAACATCGAGGACCACCTCTCAATGTCCACCGGCGTCGACAATACCAAATTCCAGGCGCGGCTCAGCTCCCAGTTCGACCCCTGAGAATGTCTCCTTTTTCCTTTTGGTTTTTAATTCCAACTGCGGTACAGGCTACTCCTGCAGATGGAAGCTGAAAAACACTTTTTCGTGGTAGGAACTTTTTAGGACTTTGCAAAGTGTTCACTGCCTCCATCATGCTCCTGTGCTGCTCTAATCATGGAAGAGAGTTTGGGACCTTGAATCCCGCTGCCTGGATCTGACAAGCGCCTCAGCAGCTGTATAATTGTCAGGGCATCGTTTGATATTCAAGCCTGGTTCAGAGGATGCAGTCTTCGAAGCTGAGGATTTCGGGGTCGTGGAATTGGCGCAGAGGGTGATGGGGATATTCCGGCAGGAGTGTGGCGCACGCATGCACTGGGGCAAGGCTGGCTGGCCGCGCTGGGCCGCATGCTTCGACGGCGCCAAAGAGTTCCCCGACACCTGGTGCAGCTTTGGCTGCGCTGTCAGGGTGCGTGGCCCCCTAACAATTATTATTATTATTATCACACGCTTTTCCTGCCAGAAGCAAGGTGCGCCTGCAGACACGCTGCACTAAAGGCTGCCAAAATCCTACCCCCTTGTTGGACTCGCCAGATCCAAGCAAGACCCAATCAACCGTGGGCACGGTGCTCAGTATTTATACCGCCCCCGGCCAGCCGTGGCCAACAATATATTTATTTGAAACCTGTGATGCCCAGTTCTGCTGCTGTTGTGGGGCCAGTGCATGCTTTGTGCCCTTCCCCCATTCTTCGGATGGCCCATCTCTGGCTGCGCTTTCAGGAACCTGTGGCACCCAGTCATGATGGTGTTGTGCTGCGTTGCATGCTGTTGTTGTCTCATCCTTGGTCATTTTCTGACTGTCGAGCTCAGTTCCTTCACACCTGCATCTAGCTCCTTCCTGGCCATCAGATGTTGTCCTCAACTTGTCTGAATATCCTGTTCCCATGAGGCAAATCCAACGCCAATGGATCACCCTGGGCAGCAGTGTAAGTTGATCTGCACGTCCACAATACAATTCAACAGCAGGTTTGAACAGAGCCTGATCAGGCGTGTGGCTGGTGCGCGCAGGAGCTGGACCCGACCGGCAAGTTCCGCTCGATGAGTGATGTGTGGACATGGAACGCCGCCGACCGGAATGGCACTACTGTCCCCCTGGATGACTGCTGCACTCCTGATGGATTCAAGGCCGAGTGCACCTGCATGCACCGGCCCCCATGCAGCGCCTGATCTGGCATCGGCTGATGCAATGTGGGCAATGAGGCAAATATCTGCATTCAAATCTGTCTCGAGGCCGAGTGCACCTGCATGCACCAGGCCCCATGCAGCGCCTGATCTGGACTGCAGCGGCTGCTCATTGTGCCAGTGAGCATAGTTGCACGACACGGCTGGTCAAAATTTGGGAGCGCGTTTGGGAACGCTCGCGACACCGTGACACCGCGACACGCGTGTCGAAACCTGAGGACGTTAGTAACCATGTAATCGAGGGATGACTACAGGTTACTAAGGCTGACGGAACCTAAGAATGCTGTTTCCGGACCCGACAACGCATCAAAATACATCGGAATTGTCTCTAAACACCTTTATAAGCGTGTTATATGTGTTTGGGGTGTTGTTAGATCATTTCCCAGCGTCCAAGCGGCCAAAAACGGTTAGAAACGGTCAAACGTAACCCTTACGTAATCCGGTGTCGGAGCGGTGTCGGAAATGGCCAAAAACTCGACACGCGTTTGGGAACGTTCCCGACACTCCGACACCGACACCCCGTGTCAGGTGTCGTGCAACTATGCCAGTGAGGCAAAATTGGAAAATCCAAATCTGTGTCGAGTGTCGAGATGCCTGCACCAGCCCCCATGCAGCGCGTGATCTGCTGTCAACAGCAGCTGTTGGGCATGCATGCTATGTGGGTCAAAGAGATGTCGGATTCGAAATTCAAATCTGCATTGAGTCATGAGGGCATGCAGGAAGCATTCCTTGCCCAAATGCCCTACAACTATGCACAATTAAAGGTGAGAAAAGGAATGTAGCAGGCAGGAAGCAGCAGTGCAGGCAAATAGGACCATTCTGTGGGACTGCAATGTGTTTCATCTCCCCAGAGCAGGAATTCATGCCACAACGGGCCAGTAGCAGAGCTGCTGCAATACAATTCCTCGGGTTGTAGCAGGCGCCTGCAGTCATGTAGGCTAAGCCCTGCCAGTCCTTCTACATGCTCAAGATCAGAAAGGAAAGCATTCCATTGGTTTGATGTCTGAACCTGCCCTTGTGGTTTGGAGCTGAAAATTGTTTAGGCACGCCATTGTTGTCAGCAATAAATCCCAGGTGTTGCATACCGTAATTTATTAGCAGTTACTTGGAGCCGAAGATTGTATAGGCAAGTGAGATGTTGTTCTTTGCAGCTGCAGCACTTCGGGATGGAATATGGCCAGCATATGATCTGTTGCTGGGCCTCCTCTCATGCGGTGAGATATTGCTGCAGTAGGTGGTCATGACTTCTGTAGATATCCGAGTCGGTTTGTGGTCAAATGACTAATGCCGCACCCCAGCATGCCGTGCCATGCAGTGTATTTCCCTGAAAATGCACGCATCTTTGTAGTCAGCAATCATTGTTGTGTAGGCACTTAGGACTAGACACCAAAGGTGATCTGCAGATAGCAGCTGAGAGAGGCTCTAGAGCCGGCTGAAGCATGGGCCTCAGGCCGGGCCTGCATGCTGAATTCAGGACGCCTGAGGCTCTGATAGTCTGTACAGTGGGGGCTCACATTGGCTGACCCAGAGACTTGGCGAGCATTTCTAGTGTCTGACACTGAATGTGGGAGGTGTGTCATATTGTAAAAGCCAAGCCAAGGCCAAGCACGCTAGCCGAGCTCTATGTTCTGCATGGCTGCAAACACCCTACATAACCCTTGGATCACTGCAACTCCCCGCGCCTGAAAGGGTTCCTGAGTTCCTGTTGCTGACCAACCGTCCACCTCTTATCGCAATTATAATTAGAACTCCTGCCAGACTGCCTGTTTGAGATATAGATCGTTGCTGTATGCTACAGACCTGCTCTTTTAATAAAAGATTTGGGAAAGGAGATGTTTCTTGGAATGTAGGAACACTGATGGACTTTTTTCCAGCAATTTGACGCCTTCCAGAGTCAAGCAGGAATGGAAGATGGCCTCTCGTGGATTTTCGGGATTTCTGTGGTGGTCGCTTTTGCTTTCGCCTTTGGGATCGGAGCCAACGATGTTGCAAACAGTTTCGGTACCAGCATCGGGAGTGGGGCTCTCACGATGGGCCAGGCCATTGTCATTGCGAGCATTTTTGAGGTGACAGGCGCCGTCACATTGGGAGCAGGGGTGCGTATTCTTGCACACGCTAAGTTATCAGAACCTTGGAACTGTCTATGTGGGCGGTATGGGAGACAAGGAAAGATCGCCTTGCTTGATCTTGTTCACGCAGTATCCTCAGCAGCACCAAATCATGAACATTCTTGAACCTCGGGAGGGAGTTCCTGCTTGATGTTCTGTCTCTCCCTTGTTGCACGCTGTTTGTTAATAGTCTTGGTCACTGCATGCAGGTCTCAGATACCATCCTGAGGCAAATATCCAAACTAGAGGATGCTGCATGCTGGGATTGCGGCGGGTCCAGCGGCCGAATGCAAGTGTTCATGCTTGGTGAGTCTCAGCACGTGCCCGGCGGTCCAAGGCACACAGGCGAAACATGCCCAAAACTATTCATTTTCTCCAATAATGCCTCCCCAGCATCACTCCAGGATCCGGTCATTCTTCTTTGGCATGCCTAGACAGCTGCGTCCTGCCCAGCCAAGCTCACAGGTCATCAGTAATTTTTGAGTCACCATGAGTCATGATGCCGCCTGAACAGGAATGGCATGCGCGCTGGCGTCCGGAGCAATGTTCATGCTGGTGGCGACCTGGGCAGCGATGCCAGTGTCGACCACGCATGCCATCGTGGGAGCGGTGCTGGGAATGACAGTGGTGGGGGCGGGGGCCACCTGCGTCAAGTGGGGCTACCCGGGGCTGCTGGCGATTGTCGCGTCGTGGTTTGTGTCGCCGGTGTTCGCCGGCCTCCTTTCCGGCGCCATCCTGGTCGCCATCAAACGCTTTGTGCTGGAGGCAAGCCCCTCTTGTTGCGCCCTGCACAATACACACCTGCCTTGATGTCGAGTGTGTTCTTCGCTGTGCTGCATACGTGTCACATTGAGCAGGGTGCCCAAAGAGGCATTCGAAGATCCTGACCTGTGCATCAGCCCTCTGGGCGGCTTAGCGCTTGATCGCAAGGGTTGCCAATAAGCAGCATTTTCTGGGGCTCTGCTTGCTCTCCGTCATCTATCAGCTATTGTCATCTCACTCTACCTGCACACCATACCAGATTTTCAGCTTGTATGCCTGACCGCTGGTGAAAGGTGCGGGAGCCGGAGAAGCGCGCATTCCAGCTGCTGCCGGGGCTGTTTGGGGGGACTGTGGCGGTGGTTCTGGCGCTGGTGCTGCTCAAGGCGACGGCCACGCAGGACTGGCCGGCCTGGATGCGCGCAGTGGTGGTATTGGGAGTGGGGCTTTCAGTAGCGGGCGTGGTGCAGGCGTACTTGGTCCCCCACCTGCGCGAGAAGGTGCAGCGGCTGGGGCATGTTGGGGAGGTGCGTTCTTCTGCGCGCAGCTCTGGTGCCGAGAGTATCCGGAAGCTGTTGTCTTCCTGGTGTTTTTCTGCGAACAGCTTGCAAGGGTGCTGTTGTCCTGGTTGTCTGATCATGGCAAGACATGCAGATTCTCTCAGTGGACGGATCTTCTCGAAGACAAGTGCACGGGAATGGACAGCCTAGCTTGCCATGCTCTGAGGGTTACGTGAGGTCTCCAAGGCATTGATGAAGAGATGCCGATGCGCTGTCTGTGCCATCATAGGTCAAAAGGTGTGGACAGCCAGCAATGAACGGTGCTGGCTTGTGCAGGATGCGCGTGGGGTGTGGAGGGATCCGGTGGAGGCCAAGTACATTGCCCGGGCAGGGGTGCAGCTCAGCCCTGCTCTCAGCGCTGTTTCACCTCAGCATGTCACCGTCCTGAAAGCTCTGTACGTCCCCCTCCTGACCATAAATATTGCTGCAATAATATAATATTCAATAACAAGTCCCCAAGAATATGTGCAGACCTCTGTTGCTTTCTGCGACGCAATGTATTTGGATAAGCTTTATTACAGGGCAAGCATGGAAGGAAGCTCAGTGCGCAGGCCGTCAGAAGGGCCAGTATCTGGACAGGGGGGAGGAGTGAGCTCCCAGGAGGAGCATCTCTTGCTGGGGCCTTCCGTGTCTAGGAGCAGCGATGAGGCAGAGAAAAGCAGTCCTGAGCCGGTGCGTGGGACAAGGGCGGCGGGGCTTCAGGGCACTGGGAAGGCCACTGTGGCTAAGAGAAAGGCCTCAACTGGTGCGATAGTCCTCTTGAGCATCTTGAGTGCTGGCTGTGTGAGGTCCACTCTGTTAAGGCAGAAGCAACTCTGAAGATAAGCAAATATCATGCTTGTGGCACCTGCATCTTTAAATGCAAGAACGGCAACCGTGTTCCCAGGGTGACTCTGCTATGGCTTTGATGTACTTGCAGTCTGCACTCATGCATTAAGTGTGTATGATATGTGTAATATTGCTGCATCTTTTTATTCGGCAGCAATGATATGGGACTGTCAGTTGCGTGACTTGCAGACTGACTGGTTCCGGTGACTATCCCATTCCACTGAATTGCGAGGGATCAAGCTGTGGGCATTGATCAAGGTGTGTTGTGTTCAGATGAGGAAGATGATCCATTCTGGTTGGAGGAGGAGTCACACCCTGGGCATGAAGGGCACCAATTCCCTGCGGCTCTGCCAGATCGGGCAAATGGGGGAAGGGCGGGTGCTCTTGAACTGAACCTGGCAGATGATCCTGAGCTTGCCAGACTCGGGGGCATCCCTCCTGCAGAGCGAGTGTTCATGTATCTTCAGGTAAGGCTCAGCCTTTCCTCAGCGCTATGTTGCAAGATCGATTGCTGCTCTGGTAGATTGTACACATGTATTGATATGTGCCATTGGTGGAGAAAGTGCCAAGACAGGGAAGGCTGGAGGGTAATTGCTGAGAGGCTGCTGCAAGGCAGTTAGCCCTGTGGCCTGCAACTAGCTTGTAATCTCAATTATATGTAATTTAGGAAAACATTCCTCTTCTTTTGTTTGGCATGCAACAGAGAAGAAGTATATAGATGGCTGAAGCTATTCTCCTATGGTAGAACCACCCATATCGTGCACAATCATCTAGTATCCTGCCTGCCACATGCGCGCAGGTGCTGACTGCATGTCTGAAGAGCTATGCACATGGCGCCAATGACACAGCAAACGCGGCGGGCCCCTTTGCAGCGGTCCAAGCCCTCTACATGCAGGGGCTTGACGACTGCGGCAAAGTCTCGACCCCCATCTGGGTGCTGGTGTTCTGCGGCATGGGCATTGTGGCAGTGAGAATCTCCTTTCCTTCCCTCATGCAGCAAAACCAGAGGCTTTCCTGGACCATACCTGCTTCAATCTACCTTGCAGTTACTTGCCCACAGTCCGGCTCACAAGTCTTCCATTGTGACATCCTGTGGTGATAGCTCAGGAATTCGCCTTACTGTCTCCACGGCGGGTGATACAGAGTATCCTTCATGCATCCCCTCGTTTTGTCAGTCAGACCTGAAGGGAGTAAAGGGTCTTTTATTTCCCCCTGTGTTGCAGGGGTTGGGAGTGCTGGGGCACAGGGTGATGGAGACGGTGGGCAGGGATATAACGGACATCAACTTCTCACGCGGCTTCGCCATCGAGCTCGGCTCCACCTTGAGCGTGGTTCTGGCCTCTGTAGCAGGCAAGCCCATCTGTCGACCTGCACACGTGCAACATTAAGTCAATGGAAGGTTGCACTCGAAAGAGGTGCACGATACATTGTCACGCCCATTTGGCATGATTTTGTATGGATTCCCCTGCAATGGAAAGGGCGAAAGCGGGGGAACTTCGGCCAAGCTGCAACTGGCATGGATGCAAGCTCTTAGCAGGAGCTGACGGAAGCTGAGCTGGCGGCCGGCGAGGACGAGTTGCCTGAAGAGGCCGCGCTGGCATTCGATGCATCATGAAGATGACCATTCTGTTTCCCACATGCACACGGAGCATGAAAGTGCAAACTCTGCATGAGGGCCCCGGGCCATAATGAGTGAGAGAGGGTCCATGTCTTGTGTGCAGGCATGCCGGTCAGCAGCACGCACTGCCAGATAGGCTCCATAGTGGCGGTGGGCATGATTGAGAGCGGCCCCAAGAGCGTGCAGTGGAGCGTGCTCAGCAAAATAGTGGTGGCCTGGGTTGTCACTGTGCCCTTGGCAGCGGCCGTTGCTGCCATGCTGCTGGCTGCTCTGCGACCCATTCTGTCGCTGTAGCCTGCAATTTCGCATTTACATTCAGACCTACTTGTAAATATAGCCAGCTTCTGAATCATACATTATGTAACGTATGTAGTACATGCACAATGATGACCGCAAGTCTCTAGACAATACGTGACTTCACAGCTGTGGCTGCAATTTTCATATGGAGGTTTGGCATGCCACCATCTATGGGGATCAACATAATTCGATCATGATGATCATGAGTGAACGGCTTATATGTATGCTCGGCTGCATGCGGGCTGCACGCCGCGCGTGCAATCAAAATTGTTGCAAAAAGATTTGGTGTAAAGCGTTTGTACCAGGAATGTGGTTGGTACAGAGGAAGGACCAAAAGTTTCACATTTCATGGTTACAGTAGTCAGAAACCTCCTGACGTCACGCCTTCGAGGTCAGGGCACCCGAGTAATCAAAATCCACTACTTTAGTGGATGTAAACGCTACTAATGTGGTGGATTATTGGCAATCAGGGGCCATGCCACCTGGTAACACATTCCATAGCATGCCATTTTGGTAATAAAAATTAGGCCTTTCGTCAGTAAGCATGGAGAATGATCAGTGATGTGTTTCTGTACCGAGCATGTCACTTATTATTGCTAGGATCCCGTGTTACAAGTGTGGCAGTGACAAGGAGAAGCTTCATCCGAACTGCGCAAGTTCAGAACGCTTGACTCGCTGTGTAGGTTGTGATTATATTATCAGATTCTATTCAGAAGGTCTGACAAAGGACGAATACGGCCACGACGCTGTTGCCGACTGGGTCTTCAAACAAGAGGCAAGGGTGCCATTGCAACGTTGCAATGCCGTGGACTCAGGGGTCAGATATTTCCATCAGAGCTGCCTTGGCCGAGATGAACCTTCAGCATTGTCCAGAGCTAATGGCTACTATTCTATTCGCGGGAAGATTGAGAGCGAAAAGTATCCAGAGCTCAGAAATATTACCCACAAATGCTGTGAGGACTGCGTCATTGCAGCCCAAACCAGGGGCAAGGATCTCAATGAGGATAAGTTGAATTTTATCATGCATCAAGGAGTGATTGGTAGGTCTCAATAAGCACTCCATCTTTGAAGGTTGGGAACACCTATGTTTTGAATCTCCCCATGACCTTGACACAGAGTAACTAACTCTGACTTTTGCGTTGCGTTCAGAGGCAGAGACCGGCGACTTGGAGAGGAAGAGAGCCGATAGGCGATCAAGCAAGATTCGAGGCATCATTGGTGGTCAGCAGGCTCGCCTCGAAGACAATGGGACGACTTCGACCGCCATCTTTGCAACGAGACACCTCAATCAGAAAGTCAGCTTCAGCAAGAGCGCCAGCAGATTGCTGGCAGCAGTGCCCAACCTGAACAGGACAGTGATGGCAGCCTCGTATCTCCAGGCCAGTGGACTTCAGGCAGGCCAGACAGCCCAAGGACAGGCGCAGAGGGGCGCCACAGCTGCAGCAGGCGGCATGCAGGGTCCCGCAGCCCCAGAGGCAGAAGCTGCAGGACCTTCGCAAGCGCCACAGCCAGGGATCAGCCGCAGGCAGCTCAGCGCTCAGGGAGCCGAGCAGGACATCGTCCAACGGTGGCTTGCGTTCAGCCTCAAGGCCTCATCCACCGTTGCAGAGCTGAAGCGGTTCCTGCTTGACAGAGGCCAGCGGCCAGTGATCTTCACCAGAAGCGCGCTGCTCGCCAGGGTGGAAGGGCTGCTTAGATTTGAGCATCCAGAAGGTAGCTATCCATGATGGCTGTAACGATCAGCGCCTACACATCTTATGCCTGGCAAATTAATAACATGTCCTCACCATTTCCTCTGGACATCTTATGCGCTGGCAGCTAATGGATGCTGTCATGCAGGTGGACTGGAGCCGAGTGCGGCGGCGGTTGAAGAGATCACAGCCGCTGTTGAGGCCGCAGCCCAACCGGCACGGCAAAGACCAGCAAGGCAGAAGGTGGGCATCTTGTTGAGGATCCTTATGTTTGCATGTGCTTTGTGAACGCCTCTCATCTGTCAAGCTGCTGGTGCAGTGAAAGCGAGTTTGGCTGAACACACTGATTGTAAGTTATTGTTGTTACAGGCGCCGAAGAAGTCACAGCTTCAGATGGAAGCGGCCAAGTCCATTGTTAACAAGGGTGAGTGGGCGCTCTCAGCTGGAAGCTCTGATCACCTGGTGACTGTTGCACACCCGAGAAGGCTTTAACTTCTGCAGATTTGATGGAAGGGAATGATAGCCAGTCAATTGAGGCGCTCACATGTTTGCAGGAGTGAGCAGCGGCCTGCCCGTGGTCAAACTCAAGCAGATTGACGAGTTGCTCTGGACCTTCGACAAGTGCCACTACCTGCCGCAGTTGGGGGAGAGCACTCCCTCGATTGGTGTCGCTCTCTGGGCCGTCACAAGCACGCTGCACCGCGACGGGGAGTTCCCAGCACGCAACTTGTCCCAGTTGGGTCGTGCTGCCAAGGCTCCTGTTGGTTTGGTGCGCGCTGTGCAGCCAGGCAGCGATGGCACCCAGCTGCATATGGAGATATGGTTCCTCGAGGCGCGCGTGCAGACAGATAGCCAGGGGGAGCCCGAGGCAGCGGTGGCAGGGGAAGGCGGTGGGGCACGCGCAGATGTGGAGGGACGGGGTGCAGGAGAGGCAGCCACCGGTGGGGGCGTGCAGGAAGGGCATGGGCGGGGTCGGGGCAGGAAGCGTGGCCGCCGCGGCACAGGCGGGGCGCGTGGCAGCAATCGGCCCAGAAGGGGCAGCCGAGGCAGGCTCAGGCGCCCAACCGCCAGAGCCGCAGAGTTTTGGGGTCCCCCCACTGAGGGCGACGAAGACGAGGTTGGGAACCTCTTCTCTGAGTCAGATGCGGATGACCAGCCAGCGCAGCAGCACAGTGACCCAGCAGAGCCAGAAGGGCAGGCAGAGGGTGTCCTGCCTGAGGCCAGCGAAGTGCCGCCGCAGCCCACAGCTTGTGCGAGCCAGTCGCCGTTGCACGGCTGCTTGCTGGCAGATGAGTCGCCGCAGCCTGTGCCAGTCCCCAACGTGCGGCTGAGCATGCAGGGGCATGCCGCATCGCCGGCCAAAATGGCTGTGCTGGTGATCGACTACCGGCACATTGCAGCGGCCCTCTGTCATCCAAAACGGCTGAAGGTGGCTCTCGGAGGCGCTGCCGGGAGCTCGCCCATGAACGTCGAAGAGGCTGCAACTGGTGTGGCGCTGGCAATGTTGCTGGCTGAGGAGCAGAATGCGGCGCGCGCCGGAGAAGGTGAGGAGCCATCATGGCTCTCTTTGTCCTGGCTTATATGATTCCACTCACAGTGAGTTTCTAAGTTATAATGCCATGCGAATCATACCCCGAAGGTTTATCGACAGGTAATTGTCAGCAATAAGCTGACGACAGGCATGTGTTGTCTAGGTGGGAGTGCTACGGCAGCGGAGCAGTCGCAGTCAGCCTTGGAGCAGTCACCGCTGTCTGGCGCCATGGTCTTCTTTGATCCTGCTCTGGAGCTCGCTGCCGATGAGGAGCCAGCTTCCTCCTACCGCTCTGCAGATGGCCCAGCAGGCATGTACAAAATCCTGCTCTGTCATTCCTGTGAACTTGTCAACTGACTGCTCTCATACGCTGGTGTAGTTGATTTGTTCATGTCTTGTCTCTCAATGCTGAAGTGTCTGCTTGCCCCTTTGCCTGAGCCATGCCTGTCTTTCACGCACCCTGCTCCACATGCTGTGCTTGCCCCTTTGCCTGAGTCATGCCTGTCACTCACGCACCCTGCTACATATGATGTGGTAGAGTGCCGCACCTAAGGGTCATCTGGGTAATACTAACAACAGGAATAAATTTGAGCTTGACATCCTAGCAAGACACTAGGGAAGATATTGCTTGAATGCGGTAATAATCGCGGATTGTAAGCAGCTGTGTGTTGGTGCGCGCAGGTCGACCGTCCCTGGAAGTTTCCTCCCCTGGGATCAACATGGAAGCTGCAATGGGTGTCATCGCAGGGCTGGCATGTCAGCTGAACCCCTCGCCGCAAGCCAGAGGCCATTCGAGCGCGCACAGTGACGTGCAGATTCTGCCAGATGACACAGTCTATGTCCTAACAGATGACAGGAGGATAGTGGGGACGGCAGAGGTGGTGCATATTGGGCCTGGCACACGGTTCCACGGTGCTGAGCTTGAGGGGTTTGGTGTTATTTGCGGGCTCACCATCACAGACGCAACTGGGGCTGGACACCAGAAGGCATGGTTGAGCGACACAGATGAAGTCAGAGCAGGCAGAACACCCTTGGAAGCAATTGGGGGCAATCAGATGGTGGCAGTTCCCGAGAGGTGCCTTCGCTTTCTGAGGCGCCCACCGGCGGCTGGAGAGTGACTTGCAATGTGATCTTTGCACTTTCAAGCTAAGTCAGTTTCAAGCTTAGTCAGAATTGGCGTGTGAGCATGACGCAAATGTAGCATCAATTTTTTTTATGTCCTAAATTTGATATTGCAATGAGGACTGTAGTAGGTTGTGACCAAGTCTGCCTCACTACAAGGCGTTGCACATCCATGCGCTCTACGCAACTAATATTAGTCACTCACTTGTCCCTCTCTGCACATGTGCGCAACAATCATGACGGTAACCAGATATCATGCATGTAACAATCTGTAAGGTAATTCTGCTCCCGGTTGCCTCACATGCTCAACCTTCGAATCTGAAGTGGCCAGTGGGATGGAGCACTTCTGCTTGAAGACAGAGCACTGCTGCTGACCGCCACAAGGTAGTGGCGGTGGAGGGCAAGAAAATAAATCCCCTGAGCCTATCTTATAATATTATTAACCCCATCTGTCATTGAGCAGCCTGGCTCGTTCTTGCTGTTTCTCTACGATGTCGGTGTCGAAATCCACTCACATAGAATGTTGAACGTGGAAGAATTGCTACAAGATTCTTCTCAGCATCATCGCACTTCTTGGTCGCTGCATAAAGACACACGGCATGTCACATCAGATGGCGCAAAGGTGATGCCCTTATCTTGCCGGCACCCACGCT